GGACCGCTGCTGTTGGCCATGCCGAACACGCAGCATTTACGGAGCCATATAAGCAAGTATACGGCAGTTCGGCCACGCATCATAACATGTCAATATAATCCGAGCCTCGAACACCCAACGCCGTTAAAGTCAAATGCTCTACGGGGAATTTTCGAGGCGACGCCTTCTAAGCATCCCCATTTCTTGCCATTATTTCTATTGTGTGTTTTTTTCCGCAAAATACCAAAATCACATAATGACAAGGACAGCAGCGGCAGCAACAAAATCAAAGTGTAAAATGTTGAAAATCGAATTTGCTGCCAGCATGGCAGAGAAACAGAAATAAAACAAGAAAAATATATATATATATATAAAAAGGGAAAACGGAAACGGATGCGAGGGCGGGGAATCGAGGTGACTGTCAGACATGCCATTATTTGTTGATGTATTAAAGCTTTTATTTACGTGCAGGTGAGCGCCATTTGTTTATATTTGTATTTGTATTCAATCAGCGTCAACAAGAGCCAAAAAAATACAACAGAAAAAAGAGAGAAAGGAATCGAGAAATCACATGAAAAGTGAAGGCAAATCAAATAAAATCAAATCACTGGGTCGACACTTTTTTCTGTAGAATTCCCGCAGTAGCAAGAAAATGTCAGCGCCCAAGTGGTAAACACTCTAAGGGCCTCTTTACCAGCTTTTTGGGCCAACTAATGGCTGCAATTTCGCGCTGCCTGTTCATTATCAAGCCTGCGATAATGTACTCTCGCCCGATGACGATGATTATGTTGACTGACATCGAGGGGGGGGGATGGGTTCCCATCGAGAGCTGGGAAAACTAGCTGCCTGCCTGGCCAGATAATAATATGTCTAGGCCAGAGCCAAATGGGTTGCACATGGCCTACTTGCCAGCGCCTGTCCTTCGGCGATGGGTGGTTTGGGATGGTTATTGGTGGCCCATCCCCACCGAACCATCCAAGTTCCATCAGGCAGCGCCGTAATGAAGCTATAATTAGATAAGCGAACTACTATCGCAGCCCACCTGGCACTATGGAACCACCTATGGAGTCTCGGATACACACGCTGTATTTTTAGCCAGCGAAATGTAACAAACGTTTGACTAACCAAACTCCAGCTGACAGATGAGCAGGCCCGAATGGGGGGCCTGTGTTTATGAATGGCTGATTCCTTTTCCCCTTTCCCTTCTCCACCACCTCACCCATCCATCCACAATGGCCTCGCATCTCCATGTGTGCCCGTCTATTTGCTGGCAGCTAGTTAGTTGGGCATACACTGTCAACGGGCATCCGCTGCGTATACGTAACGTGGCTTGATTTTCGGCAGACGAGTTGATTGAGTTATTTCGCAAGAATTGCGATTTGTCTATCTCTAATCATGTGAATATACAAATTGCCTGAATAACTATTCACAGGGTAATTATGTAGGTAAATAGGTAATTAGGGATATCATTCTTATAGGAACATTGTATACTAAAACATTTAACTGGTATACGGATAAAAAACTAGCATAAATGAACAACAGATTTTTTTAAGTTTTTTCTTCTAATTCCTAACCTAAATTATTACATGTTTCATTAAGTATAACAAGCTTCGGCTTTTCAAGCTAGCTTCCGTTCTCGTTTTAAATTTATACACTAGCTTAAATCATTAAAATTTTCTATGTCCAAGTGTTATACAAATTGAAAAGCTTCACTTACCAATTTAGATTGATTTTCAATTAACCTTTTCCTACCTCGGACAAATCCCTTTTTATCCAATTGAATAAGATAATTGAGTTGCCATTCAATCAACTGCCAGACAAAGGACCATTATAGCAGGACCATAAGCTTATTAATAACACACTCCAATTTATTTCCAGCCAGGTCATCAATCAAAACCGGCCACCGTGCTCCGTCCAGTTGCAAGTCAGTGCAGCGATGGACTTCTCAAGGTCGAATATCTATAGCTGACCCCATATCCTGGCTATTATTAACAGCGTGTTCCGCCCCCAATAAACAGCCCGGTTATCCGCTTACTTAGCCTTGACGGGCTGGCCAATTAAAAGCCAAACAAAGTGCGGTATCGGGCAATGAAAATCAAATCAGATGAACTTGAAGATGAAGATGCAGGCAATTCATTGATGATGATGGCCCCTGAAGCCATCAATCAAACAATCACTTAATGAACTACTTCAAAAGCAGACGATGGCCCATCCTCATTTTCAGGCCAGAAACAAAGGCACGCACAACAATCGCAGACAAACACGCCAATTTCCACTCACAGTTTTGTTTTCCTGCTTTTTTGGGCATTAATTGGCTGGTGGTGCTGCTTTTATGCCATCGATTGAAAAACTTTTCTAAGCACCCTCGCCCTCATCCGTCTTTTCCCGACACCTAAGTACTATGCCACAAAAGTTTGGCAGCACATAAAACGCTTAAAATGCGTTTAATTGAGAGTCATACTCGAAGTCTGAGTTGGGCCAAAAACCCGAAAACTTTTAGCCAACTATGCAAACGGCTTTGGTCCCAGCAAAATATTATGGCAAATAATTCGTTTAGACAGTTTACACATTGTTAAGCGATACCCAATCTGGGTCAAATTGAGCTACCAGGTATTTTTGTAAAATTCGAATTGTTTTCTTACCCTTTCAGGTGGTCGATGTAGTGTGGGTTGAAATTAATATTGAAATTGTGGCCACAAATTCCACTTGTAGTTGGGCCAAGTATATCCCGAAAAGTTTGTCCGCCCTGTTTGTTCGAGTATTTCTGGTGGACGACCGCAATTTGCCGAAAAACTTTTGAACTTTTTCGAAAAGTTTACTTTATCAACTTCTTGTTCATAGTTGGGTAAGACAAATCAAAAAAGCTAAGGATAATGCCTGTGTAAGGGCGGGGGTGGAAACCAAATTACTGCCCTAATGCCTAACAAATCGATTGACTACGTGACAGTTGCCAGTTTAATTAAAATGAAATGCGCTAATGGAAATCCAAACCCACACACGCACACCCACCGCCCCCGCATTATATATACAAATACAGGGGTGTATATATATAGGTGAACCGCATTTCGTTATGATTAAACAGGCCCACGAGTCCTGATGCGCGAATAAACAACCGTCATGTTGGGGGAAGTCGGAGAAAGTCGGAGAAAGCGAGGGAATGCCGCAGTCAGCCGTGTGTGGAAAGCATTTTCAGTCGGTCATGTCTATATTTCGGTACGTGAAATATTAATAATTCCATTTTGAACAGCTCAAGGCTGGGATAAGCTTGTCGACGGGCCGGGCTTTATTTTTAGACACTCGGAACCCACAGAGTGAACGTGGGCAGGTGAGTTGGTGGCACTGAGCTGAGGTGGGCAGAGACCGATACAGATACCGAGGGCCACTTGAAGCATAGGAAAACTATTAAAATTTATGCGTGGCTAACAAGGACACCAAAGCACAACAACGCAACTGTCGAGCCATTACTCACACTCGCATTCGCAGCAGGAGACGGCGGGGAAAAAGGACATGTAAATGCTGACAAACAATAAAATGTGGCCAGCGGAGCTGCGCGGATGGAGTAATCCCTCCTGCTGACAAGTGCCAGGACCTTGGGCGGAGTTCGCCGAACCGCCGGGCGGAGCATAAGAGCCTACATCAACGAATCCTGCCGAGATCCTGGGGGACACCCCGGGGATATTCTACGGAAAATATGCCATATGTAGCCACACAAATTTTAGGCTATGACTTAAAGTGGTTGAGGCAGAAATGAATCAGCACCTTAACTAGGATATTTACCCATTTTATTGGCTTGTAAATTTTAACGAAGTATTAAATTTAATTTAAGAGGGAATGTTGAAATGGATTGCCTATTGGCATTTGGAAAATAATTAATTCCAGGCAAACGACAGAATAGTTTCAACCATTTCTTTATTTAAATACGAATAACTAAATTTAAGGCAATCCAAATATTATTCGATCATTGAAATATTACAAATTCCTTAAATTGGAATGCAGAAATATATTGCTTTTCGCATTTTGGTATTTGGGAAATAAAAAGTTTAAAGCAGATTTTGGTTTGAAGTAGTTGGTTAGTTTTCGTGAATACACATAAATAAATTCATACTTAGAAAGGATGGTTTAATTTATGAACTAATAACAAACTGATAAAATGCCAGGAGATAAAAACGTTCAAGAACAAAATGCCAAAGTCTCAGTAGCGAACAAAATAAATTATCGTCAATTATGAATGTTTAAAGCCAAAAATATTTCTGCTGAAATATTCTAGCAGAGTCAATTAACGCTTACCTTATATATAAATAAATTTATAGTTTTAAAGCTAAAGTAGAGTTGTGGTAATCAGTCAAAAACTTTGTTTGCTTGAATTAATTATGCCAACTTTATGCAAACATAAAATGTTAAAAAACCTTGCTAATTAGTGCAGTGCTAGTTTGAGTAGGTAATTACAAATAACTTTCCATTAAAAAAAGGTAAATAGCTTTCATTGTTTTTGTGCACACGAAAGTTGTTAATTGAATTAAAAGCGAAAGTTTTTAATTTATGTTCTTGCCATGCCATCACTTTTTTCACTTTCGCAGCCAACTGGGAAGCTAGTGTCCTGAATTTGCATGTAAAACGCCGCACTTTTCGCGATCTTTAAAATTCAATAAGGAACTACACAAAAAAGTGCCCAAAACCGTTGACAAGCTGATGGCTAGCGGGTTTTTCCCAGCCGCCAGCAAAGCTGCTTACACAGATTTTTGTTTGCCATTATGGCCTGAGCCCCGCGAGACAGGGCATGGAAAACTTGGGCACGGGATGGCCAACTTAACGCCTGCGACTTGTAAAACACTTAGCGGTTATTTCGTGTTTTTCCTGCCCTCCACAGTGCTCCCCTTCAGGAAAAGGGCGGGATGGGGATCAGAGTGAAGTGAAGTGGAGTGGAGTGGATGGCACGAGCACACGCGAAGAAATCCGCGCCAGGCAACATTTCTGCTGTGTTGTAAGATAATTTAGCGCAATTTACGTGCAAATTTGCTTACGTTAGTCGCCAGTGGAGGGAGATAGCGCACAGGTGTGTGCCCGAGCTGGCTCCGAGAAAGTCGAGGTCCCCGACTCAGGCAGGATATTCAGGATGTACACAGTCACCGGAGCGCGAACACAACCGACAGCAGCAAAGGACAACGCACGACTGCGGCCGTCGACCAGGAGCCGATGCTCCACCACGATGGAGCCGAGAACGATGTCGATGGCGAATCCGAATCCAAATCCGAATCCGAGCGACTGCGACGTCGTCATCGTCGTGGGTTCCATCGTTGTTGGTGGAAAGTAAGCGGAATTAGAAATATGAACAAGAAAGCACGCCACGGCCGAGTGACCCGACTATTGGATTCCTTAAGGTCCCCAGGGTATCTTAAAATCTGTTGACTAGTTCGGGGGATTTTCCTATAGCAAGATATGATTCTTTAGAATTTAACGCCATTTTTTGTTTGAGTTATTATCGTTAATAATATTATTCCAAGGTAAGGTTTTTAATACAAATAAAAAACTTAAATGATTTCACTTCAATGTTAATTAAAGAATTATTATTCAATGTAACACCCTGTTTTATATTGTTTATTTTTACTATGCTTTTACATTAAAAGACTGACTTTTTAATGGGAATTTCTTTGTGAAAGTGTTATTCATTACCCTCATTTCCAGGAATCCAGCATACCCTCGAGTATAGGAGTATTTCGAGCATAAAGGAAGTAACCAAAATAGTAGCTGGGGCGGCGGAGCCAACTCCGTCTCAAATAAATCGCTAGTAGATTATTCGTGCTGGCACCCAGTTGCTCCTGCCACATCATATTCCCTGCCTGGCAGGCTTCTTTTTCCTTATCCAAACTTTTTTGCTGAGGACCCGCGCCTGTGTGTATGCTACGAAAAATTGACAGCCACAACGCAAAGGGGACACTTTTTGTAAGGAGTTTTGGAGTAGCAGTCGCCGTCTGCCCTCGCCTTCGTATAAGTAATTCTCGCTGTTGCCATTTAATTTATGACTCGTGCTTCCGTCTTGTTTCATTATTTGCCTTTTATTAATTTGTTTATTTGTTTATCTTGGGCATCGCTCTGCTCGACGCTGGGCTGCTCACTTTTTCCGGAAAGCCGTGCCAGGCCACCAGGCATTCCTGGCCAGCATTTTATGTACTTTTAAGACACTCACATAACCTGAAGCGGGCTTAGGCAGCTTCATGCAACCCATACATGTTGCCTTGGCTCTACTGTGCGCCGTTCTACTGTTGCTTCAGTTCGGTTCCGGCGGCGGGTGAAAGTTTTCTTGGACGCTTTTATCTCAGGCGTGGGCGAAGCCGTCGACATTTCACCATCCTCGGCAGGACTCTCCGCCCCTGTTGCATGCACATCAGGCAGGGTCGTAAACATCTTCGTCCACAGGCAGTGATGAGTGATGTCTAGGTGGCTGTACCTATTTGGGTACTTTGTACAATTCCATCACTAGGTATGGCATTCATTCCTCAATAATTATGCCATTAACATTTTTAACTATTACCCAGAACATATAAACTTTTTAATTTGAACTGAGAATAACATTTATGACACGTTTTATTACCTATCGCACGAACAGCACATAAAAATATCTGATTGTCTTAGAATGATTCATAGGTTTATAACAAATTATGTAGTATACAAATATTACTGATTATTTTCCAAAAATTCTCTTTAAGTACTCAATTTGTACAGAAATATTATCAAAGCTTGGTGAAATATATTTTAGTCTTATCATCCCTCGTGAAAACCCAGTTTGATCCCTCTCTGCGTTTATTATACTTTTACTTCTAGAGGTATTATAAGGGTGTTAGTTTGGAAGAGGTGGATTAATTAGAGTCCTAAAATTGTGGATCAAGATAGACCATCATTCTAGCTATGTAGTTTTGTGTCACTTAGCAAATAAAATCTTTTGCTTTACTGCGACTTAAAGTGAAGTGTGGTAGAACCTTGCCTTCCCATGTTCCTGATGTACTCAGATTTTACTTTTAATGAACTTTAGTTTACACACTCATTTCTTCGGGGCTTCCAAACAGTTCGCCCTGCACTCAGGCATTTTAGTGGCCATCCAATGGGAACTTGAGCTTTACGAACGGGTACTTATTTGCCGGCGCTTGTTGCTCACTTGAGGCATAACGCTCATACGCCTTGTTGCACAAGTCGCATAAAGATGATGGCATATTTTTTGGTTTAGTGCGGGCCACTTAATAGACCACAAAACGCAGCCAGAGCCTCGTAAAGCACCAGAGCACACACACACACACAAATGTACAACCAGCAAATGGCCACAAATGACACGTTTGGTGTTAAATGGAGGTCGTCCAGCACGCTTACCGAGTTCCCATCGTACGTGTGTGCTTGTGTGAGTGTTGAGGCAGGCTATCGCTGTGTGTGTGTGTGTGTGTGTGTGTGAGTGTGTCGCAGTTACAGCTAAATTGTTTGTACAACATGCATGTAGAACAAGCATAAATCCCGACCACATCCACTTTCACATCCACATCCACAGAAACACGGCCAGACAAACTGAGCCCAACCGAATGGCAATTAAAGCCGCTGAGCTCCAGCTCTCGCACACATATGCGCCGGCTATACACACACGGGTACAGGTGAGACTCAGTGTGATGGCCCCCAAACAGTGGCTTTTGTTTCACTCTCGGTATGGACACAATCGCTTAATCGTATTAACCATTGCCACAATAAATCAATCGGAATTGTTTGCACCCAGACCGGCAATATGGCCTGTTCCTTGTACGGTGAAGCCCCGTTATGTTAGGCACTTAAAATAAATGTCTATTTAAAGTATAAATAAAAGAAGTATTTGCAATATACAAATATAAATAGTTTTCTAATTTTGAAACCAACTTTAAATTAAGTCTGATAAATTTTATTATTGTCATATCTATGAAATAGAATTAAATATTTTTGGGAGATAATTGTTTATAATTTATGTATTCTGTGTCAGAAGTCAACATTTTTATATAATCAAAATAATTATGGTAAATCCAGGTTTTACTGTATGTTTTTAAGTACAATACGATTGTGTGATCGTGGCGCTTACGACATTGTTGAATTTAAGTTAACCGAGTCGCGATATCAGTGTTATCCTGCGCTGTGTGTGTGGTAGTGGCTGTCCTCGGCTCTTGTGTGTGCATGTGTGCTGCTGCTAATGAGCTGTAACCAAAGGCAACAGAAGCGACCACAAGTCCCACAAGCCGAGTCAGACCAACAATACATTTACGGCAAATTGAATTCAACAATAACTACAGACTCGACATACATGAGAAAGCCCGCCGGCCGTCAATCACACTCACACTCACACTCGCACACACACACACTGGGGAGAAAGGTGAAAGTATTTGGGAGGGGGAAGCAGGAGGAGGCAGAGCAATGTGTCGTGAGCTGTCGCCATTGTGACTTTTATTGCAGGAGGCAGTTGCCATTGCTGCCGCTGCTGTTTCCACTGCAATTATCAGCTGTAGCTGTATGTGTAGGTGTTCCCATTACCAATACACCCACACTGAACTCCAGCCAAACAGAAGCATCCAATTAAATAGCACTCCCGTAAAAAAAATAACACATTTTCTATAGTCGATTTGGCGATGACTCTCTTAAACATAAATAAAAAGCCAGCAAGTTCTTGGATTTTTTTTACATTAATTAATAATTTATTTCATGTTTAAAGTACACATCAGCTTTCTGAGTATTTTTTTACACACTTACTATTATTGTGAACCCAAGTGTAAATACCCACTGCACTTAGACAATTTGTCTTGGCTCCAGAAAGCCAAAAGCAGAAGCCAGCAGGAGGTATAGAAAAAAGGACCAGGAGCTGGCAGCTTTAATTGCATGGAGCAGAAAAACCAGCCAGAACAAAAACATTGCACGATGTGCCGGGCAAAGAGAACAAAAAGCCAAATTGGCTTTTGGCTAAAACAGCAGGGAAGAGGGGAAGGAGGGGGAAGGAAGGGCGACCAAAGTAACACCCGAACGGAAAACCAAAACAAAAGCAAAGATTTCTTTGCGCACTTGTTGTAATACAATGGCGTTGCCAGACGGAACATATAAATACATTTAATGTTAAATTATACATTACTACTAATGTGTTATTTCCAAAAATTCAACAAATGATTATCATTTTAAAGATTACAGCTGAAAATTGACCCATCATTAATGAACCTAAAACGAGTTGAAAAGACCCCAGATAACTTAAATTAAAAAAATGGAAAAAATGCCGAAGCCCAAAATAATGTAAGATATTGTCGATATGTCAGATATATTTTTAATTATGAGTGGGAAGACGAAAATATATAGATGACAAACAGAATTAAGAATATTTAATGTTTCCTTTTAACATAAAAAAACAAGAACAATTGAAATCAATTCTGATTGTCAACCGAATGCTGATATTTTTTTTATTTTGGAACAGAGAAAATTGACCTTTTAGAAAGAACTCATGGCCCAGCTATTGATGCCGATAAGAAAAAATTCTTTATTGCGATTACTGATAATTGTATATTCAATTTCTTTTTTTTTTGTATTCTTTGGTTTTATTTAACTTTAACATTTGGAATTGAATATTCTGTCTTTGGTCGTTTGTATGGTATATTCCACGGAAAGATCTGTAATTTAAGATATTTTAAAATTTGTTTAAAGCTTGCAAATAATTAAATTTACCAGTGAGCATTCTTTTTTTGTTTAGTGTAATTTTCGATAGCCTCTTCCTTGTTCTTGTTAAATGTGATTTGACTTTATTTTTAATAATTCTTCTGCATGATATTTTACTGCTTTATTGATATTAATAATCTCCTCGTTTATATGTTTAATTTCATTATCTTTTTTAATAATAAGTAAGCCTTTAAGCTTCAACTCCTCCTTTGTAGCTTTTAACTGATTTTCCAAGTCTTTAATTCTATCTTTTAAAGTATTTAATTTGTTATCAGTGCTTTTGAGCATTTCGCTTTTATTTTCGATTTCTTTTTTTTGTTCATTTAAGATTTCATCTTTTATTCTGATTTCTTCGTTAGCATTAACATTCTCACTCCGCAAACCCTGGATAGTTTTAGTCATTGTATTTAAATCCCTGATTGTAATATTATGTTGTATTTCTAGCTCCATAATTTTCTCATTTAGCTGTTTAATTGTATCCATGTTCTGTGAATCTTTTAGACTAAATAGATCGCCTTTCATGGCGAATACTCCGTGAAGATCATTAAACTCGTCCTGCAAGTCCTTGATAGTTTCATTAAATTTATTTGCACTGTTTTTTTTATCCTGGAGTGCTTTACTGAGCTCTTCTTCCTTGTGAAGTATTAAGTTTTGTTTTACGGTAATTTGAATATCAGCTAATTTTAATTCATACTCCAAATCTGTCATTTCTCTGTTTTTAGTATAAGGATCCTGGCTTAGGGCATCGTTTTTGTCGGCTTTTTCTTTTAGACTTTCGTAGTTATCGATAATGGTCTTTAGAAGTTTAGAATAATCTAAAGCTGGAGCTGCCTCGATTTGATATAGCTTCGCGAAAAGCAAAACCGTCGCAATAATCACTAAATTTAACGACCTCATTATTTGGAACAACCGTATCGCACCACGCTCTCAACTGAACTGAAATCAACAAATGAGCCACACACAGAATAAATAGCCAGCAAGTCTATATTTTAAATTTATAATACCCTTGTAGAGGGTATTATAATTTTAGAAATAAGTTTACAACGCAGAGAAGGGCACATTTCCGATATTCTGATGTTCTTGATCAGCATCACCATTACTTTTCGTTCCATTCCAGAGGTCATGGGATTTTTCGGTAGCGCTCAATGAACGACAAGTAAATCTATTGATTCATCAACGTTAAACGTTAAATATTAATCGATAGCATCTTACTCAAAAATGTAACCACTGCTAAACTTTGTTTGTACAAAATATTAGATAAACTTTATTTGGAACTTCTGTGGCTTTGTTGCATGATCGGATTAAGAAGATTTATAAGTCTACAAGTCCATGTATATTTTTAAGCCCAGTGAAATGTTTAAATTTCTAGAAACTCAGCCTTTAACATTAATATATTTAAACTAAGAAACATACATAGCCAAATTTAACCAGGGCTACACAGCTAGCGAGTACACCCACCATTTTATTTGCCTTTTAGTGATGGAAAAATAATGGCTGATGCCCTGATGAGCATCGATGACATCGATGTTTCTCGACTAGGCGGCATCGATAGTATCGAAAAGAATCGATTCCAGCTCATGAGTCAGGCGGTTTAACGTGCAGCAGTATTTGATTTGTCTCGTTTTTTATTAAAACTCGCCGAAAACCGAAAGAAAATGTCGACCTTGGCCCCTTCTCTGTCCATCGCTGGCACCCGCCAATCGGGCGCATCCGTGCGCACACAGAACGGTGAGAATCCCGGGGATTTGCCGACATCTGCGATGCGTCTGCCGGCGAAGCACGTTTCTTAATCACCAGGCGGTCACGCATTATACGAAGAATGTTCCGGAACAAAATCGGGGGAGGGCTTTCCAATCAGACAGATTGGAAATCTTAGAGAAACCTTACAACTTGAGGAGTTCCAAATCCCAACAGACAAGCCCTGCAAAGTGAGGTTATGACTGCAACTGTGATTCTTTATCCTTTCAGTTATGGCTGCTCTCTCCATATCCAACATCGTAAAGAGCTCCTTGGGACCCGTAGGTCTGGACAAGATGCTGGTGGACGACATCGGCGATGTGACAGTGACCAACGACGGAGCCACCATACTGCGACTGCTGGAAGTGGAGCACCCGGCTGCCAAGTGAGTAACATAGTTGTGGCGCACGGGAAGGCCCTATAAATCCACTAATTCAACCTATTTTTAAGGGTCCTGGTTGAGCTGGCTCAGCTGCAGGACGAAGAGGTCGGCGATGGCACCACCTCGGTGGTTATCCTGGCCGCCGAGCTGCTGAAGAACGCCGACGAGCTGGTCAAACAGAAGATCCACCCCACCTCAATCATCTCGGGCTATCGTATTGCCTGCAAGGAGGCCTGCAAGTACATCTCCGAGCACTTGACCGCCCCCGTGGATGAACTGGGTCGCGACTCCCTTATCAACATTGCCAAGACCTCGATGAGCTCCAAGATCATTGGCGCCGATGCCGAGTTCTTCTCCGCCATGGTTGTGGACGCCGCCCAGTCGGTGAAGATCACAGATCCCCGTGGCCAGACCGCCTACTCGATCAAGGCCATCAACGTCCTGAAAGCCCATGGCAAGTCCGCCCGGGAGTCCGTGCTGATTCCTGGCTACGCCCTGAACTGCACCATTGCTTCCCAGCAGATGCCCAAGAAGATTGTGAACGCAAAGATCGCCTGCCTGGACTTTTCGCTGCAGAAGACCAAGATGAAGATGGGCGTCCAGGTGCTGATCAACGATCCCGACAAGCTGGAGGCCATCCGTGCTCGCGAGCTTGACATCACCAAGGAGCGCATCAACATGATCCTGGGCACTGGAGTCAATGTAGTGCTCGTCAGCGGCGGAGTCGATGATCTGTGCATGAAGTATTTCGTTGAGGCTGGAGCCATGGCTGTGCGTCGCGTGAAGAAGAGTGATCTTAAGATCATTGCCAAGGCTACTGGCGCTGCCTTCCTGACCTCGCTGACCAACATGGACGGAGAGGAGAGCTTCGATGCCTCCATGGTGGGAGAGGCTGCTGAGGTGGCCCAGGAGCGCATCTGCGATGATGAGCTCATTCTCATCAAGGGCACAAAGGCGCGGTGAGTTTAAATCTGCTGGAAATCTTGAATTCCAATGATTATATTTTATTTACCTTCCTTAGTGCTGCTGCCTCCATTATCCTGCGTGGTCCCAACGACTTCTACTGTGATGAGATGGAGCGCTCCGTCCACGACGCCCTGTGCGTGGTGAAGCGTGTGCTGGAGAGCAAGAAGGTGGTGGCCGGCGGTGGCTGTGTGGAGGCCGCCCTTTCCATCTACCTGGAGAACTTCGCCACCTCGCTGGCCTCCCGCGAGCAGTTGGCCATCGCCGAGTTCGCCAAGTCGCTGCTGGTCATTCCCAAGACTCTGTCCGTGAACGCCGCCAAGGATGCCACGGATCTGGTGGCCAAGCTGAGGTCCTATCACAACTCCAGCCAGACGAAGCCCGAGCGCTCGGACCTCAAGTGGACCGGCCTGGATCTGATCGAGGGACTAGTAAGGGACAACAAGAAGGCTGGTGTGCTGGAGCCGGCCATGTCCAAGATCAAGTCGCTGAAGTTCGCCACAGAGGCGGCCATTACCATTTTGCGTATTGACGACATGATCAAGCTGAATCCGGAGGACAAGAGCGGAAAGAGCTATGCCGATGCCTGCGCTGCCGGCGAGCTGGACGGTTAAACATTCTTCTCTGCGAGCGAAGCACATTTCTTCTACTCTGTTTAGGCATTTAATTTTAATCAAATCACTCACTTTCAATTGTCGCCCCATTTGATTGTAACAACAATTTAATTGTGTTGCCCTAAGCGATCTGTATTAACACCGCACATCCGTAATCCTTTCTCATCCACGCTTCAATGTATAATAAATTGAACTTCAGAATACGCTGAGGCGCAAACTAAACTGGAGGGAAAATGGTTTGTTATTTCGGGAGAGTGATCTAGCCAAGAGCAGGCACAGAGCGCGCCGGAGAGAGGGAACTCCTATAAATAGCGTCTGCATCTATTTGGTCTATTAATACAAAAAGAAAACACAACCCAAAGGCACGGAAAACGCACATTGCTCAACGATTCTTTTAGTTTTAAAAAGTATTCTCCAATAAAATGGCCGATAATAACGAGGAGGGAGCCGTGGGCGGCGATCTGAACAACAATGTCACAGGTAATGGCCAGGAGGAAGTGCACCAGCCGGAACAGCCGCAGAACGAACTGCTCGACATGGTTTTCACGTTGGAGAGCGAAAAACAGGCGCTGCTAGAGGAGTCTCGCAAGCGAATCGGAGCACTCCGCAAAGACTTTGAGGTTAGTTGACCCGTTTCCATGGGCTGCACCCATCCACTGACCCTGATTGCAGGAAGCCAAGGTGGAAAATGAGCGGCTAAAGCGGCGAGTGGTCCAGCTAGAACAGTCCCTCAAGCAGTCAGTCATGCTGGGCGGCACAGATGCACCCAAATCCCGGCAAGAACAGGAGGAGCTGCTTCTCAAGGCCAAAACTCTGCTGTTTGAGAAGACCAAGGTAAACAAGCAGCAGGAGCAGCAGATAGCCGTGCTCAAGACTCAAGTGGAGACGATCAAGGATGTGCTGCAGGTGACAAAGGACATGCTGCAGCTGAAGAATGCCGAATGCGACCACACGCAGGCGCGTCTCGAGAAGAGCCAGCTGTGGATCAAGGCGGAACAGGACAAGTGTGCGCTCACAGAGAAGAAATTGGTCATCTCGAAGGGAGTGTACGACAAGCTGCGTTCGGAGTACGACACCCAGTCGAGGATATTCAAGGTGCTTTGGGATCACAGCCAGTCCTTTTCTTAGCTTACATCTTCCTTTCTTACAGGATCTGAAGTCTGCATACGAGCAAAAGCTAAAGGTTCTCACCGTGGCATTGGAAGAGGCCAAAAAGTAGCTGAACAATTTAATAAACTATGTTAATTAAATGCACACATCTCGTTTATAGGTTTAATAATTTAATGCTCTCTGTGTCTGTCTCGGTCGTGATGGGAGGTGGTCCTAGGAGCTCTGTGTGGCCGCTGGCTGGGATTGCTGCTGTGCCTGCAGCATCTTTGCGGCAGCCGCTTGCTTCAGTTCTAGCACACCGATCACAGAGTTGAGGAAGCGCGTCTTCTGCAGGATCCATATCTCGATTTTCTCGATCTGCTCCTGAACGTAATCCACGCGCCGCTTGAAGTAGTCCTTGGAGCCATCAAGATCCTGTTCAAGAAACAGATGGCTGTTAGCAGATGGTGCGGTTGGGTTGGAGAATCTTATGTACCTTTTCGATGTAGTAGCCGGTGCCGATGTCTATGACAAAGTTGTTGAGATCCTTGACGCGTCCTGGCACATACATACTGCTGGTCAGCGGCACCAGGATCTGGCGGTTCTCCCAGTTGGACTGAAAGGTTTCCAGCGCCTCCTTGGAGCCGGCGTACTTGGCTTTGCAGCCGTGCAGCGTCGACAGCGAGTCCTGTATTTTGGTCATCTCCTGGGGATCACATAAATTCAGCGATTTTTAGAAGCATGTGCCATTTGCAGCGGAGCCCCTCCTCCCGAAACCCCACACCCCGCTCCTGACTCATCGCTCACCCACATGCGGCCCTCACCTGCTCTAACTCCTGCTTGATCTGCATCAGCTGTTCCGGGTTCAGCTTGGTCAGGTCGATCATCTCGGTCTTGCCCGGGGCGCTTGGGGTGGCAGCCATTGTTTATGCTTATAATTTAATAAAACAATTTTTATTCCAATTTTATACAGTCGCCGTGTGTGGTTGCCACCTTTGCGATTTCTGCTGAACAAGGATGCCACTTTTGGCCAGTGGAGTAAAACAGGGCTGATTTGCAGGGCTGTCACTTCATTCCAACTTCGCGGTATCGAAAAGTTATCGAAAGTTTGGCGCGAAATTTTAAAATTACTTACATATGTATAGTTTAAAACTATTTATATATCTTTTGAAAATTAAGCCAGAGGTGACAAAAATTATAAAACTCGATTTAAAAATTAAAACTTAAACAAGTTTCAAAAAGAATTACTCCGCTTTAATTCTTTTTCAAAAAATTTCAAGATAAAAGAGTGTTTTCGAAAATAAAAAAATTAAAAATATTATTGACCATTTTTTTTTGCAATCTTGAATTGATTTTAAGTCCCGGCCCAATTCAGACTCAAGCAAGAAAATAGATTCAATAATTTTAAAAAGACATTCAATATTTTGTTTAAATTATATTATCAATGGCTTTAATGGCTCTTCGTTCCTTATTATTTTGCCTTTTGGTTGAATTGATTTTAAGTCCCGGCCCAATTCAGACTCAAGCAAGAAAATAGATTCAATAATTTTAAAAAGACATTCAATATTTTGTTTCAATTATATTATCAATGGCTTTAATGGCTCTTCGTTCCTTATTATTTTGCCTTTTGGTTATTATTACATTTTATTTGGAAACATGTGTTAAGAAACCAATGCTCATCTTATTCAAGGTTATTTTCATTTGTTTCATCCTACCCTTGTGCAGATTTATATATTCATTATGCTGTCAGATTCTGCGGTTTCTGGGCTTTTTTTTTTGCTCGCAAAAATTTTTCACACCTATGATTATCGTGCAGATTGGCCATCGTCTGCCGGCCACTTGGTACCCTCGCTCTCTCACGGCACTTCGACATTTAAATGGATTTCTGTTCAAAGTTTCTCGGGCACCGCTGTGGCCTGTGTCCCAATTGATTTCCAATTTCTAGGGAAACCGTTATCGATTCTTTTTCGGCTTTCAAAGCTTCGCAGAGTAACAGTTTCTGGAGCCAAGGATGTCGAAAAATCAAAATCATAAAAACCTAGCACTTTATCGAGAAGTTTCAAAGCGGGAACTTATGAGAGCAGAAAGGGAATTCGGTATATTTACAAAAATCTAAGACTGTAAGAACGTTTTATTTCAATTCACCATATTTATAATATAAATAAACCAAGAACCAAACCATTGGCACCAATGCAAATGACATTTGATTCCAAGAAACCCTGATTGCTAGTGGGAATTAAATTAAAGTTTAATTAGGAAGACGACGGTTCAATTTCCGTATGGGTAGGAAAAAAAATTAAAAAATGTTTGTGGTTTTTTTTAAGTAGGAGCTAATTAAGGTTGGTCAATAAAAACCGGAAAAGTTAAGAATTGCTATCTAATGAAATAAACTTGACACTGCCTATTATTTTATAAATGTTACTTTCAGTTTCATTTCGACTGAGTTTCGTTTTATTTTTGATCGGACAAGCTAGGCAAAATTTTGATAAAATGATCCTGGTTCGCTTCGTTGTTTTATGTGTTCTCGCAGTAATAGCTTCCACTCAGGGAGCCAATATACTGGGGATCTACAGCGCCCTCAGTCCCTCCCACTTAATCCTCCACATGTCCACGGCCAAGGCTCTGGTCGAAGCAGGACACAACGTGACCGTGGTGACCATGATGCAGCCCAAGGTGATGCACAAGGACATCCACCTGATTGTGGTGCCCGTCACGGAGGAACAGGGGCGCACACTGGATAAAACGATGGCCCTCATGGCTGGGAGCAGGAACGACATTATCAGCACAATGTATCTCCTCTTAAATGAGCTAGATGTGATGATCAGGAACCAGGCTTATCTGCTTTCCGATCCGAGATTCCTGAGAATTTACCAGACCAAATTCGATCTGATGATTTTGGGCTCCTTCTTCAACGACTTCCAGTTGGGAGTTGCAGCCAAGCTGAAGGTTCCTGTAATCGTCGATTTTATGTTACGGCCCAACGTCATGATTGATAAGTTTGTAGCAAACCCCTCTGAGACCTCCTATGTTCCAAATGAATCTACTTTTGCCACCGGTCCCATGAGCTTTCTAAAACGAGCTGAGAACTTGGCCAATCACCTGATTCTCAGTTACTTGACCCTCCGCTTTGATTACAAATTTAATCGCATTTACAATGAAATTTTTACGGAAAGAGATTTTCCAACCCTAAATGAGATGAAAAAGAATATCTCATTGGTCTTCGTCGGTTCCCATTTAATCAGCGAACATCCGATTCGACCACTGGTTCCTGCAATTGTTGAAATCGGAGGAATTCAATTGAAGGACACACCAGATCCGCTGCCCACGGACATTGATAAGTTTCTAGACAGTTCAATCCAGGGAGCCATCTTCGTCTCATTTGGCTCCAACATTAAGAGTCATATGCTGAAGCCGGAAATCGTCAAAATCATGTTCACAGTCCTGTCCGGACTAAAACAAAACATTATCTGGAAGTGGGAGGACTTGGAGAACACGCCAGGCAATGCCTCAAACATCCTGTATAAGGACTGGGTGCCCCAAGTCGATATCCTGGCCCATCCGAACACCAAACTATTGGTCACTCACGCCGGAAAGGGCAGCATTACCGAAGCCCAATTCTATGGTGTACCCATGGTGGTCTTGCCCATTTTCGGAGATCAACCCTTGAACGCTGCCATATTGGTGGAATCGGGATATGGCGTGGCCCTCGACCTGCTCACTATTACGGAAGGCGGTTTCGGCAAGGCCATCCACGAGGTCCTGGGGAATGAAAAGTATGGGCAAGCAGTTCGCGAATTCTCCGCTCTGTACAGGGATCGACCCCAATCTCCACGGCAGTCGGCTGTTTTCTGGACGGAGTACGTCCTGAGACATCATGGTGCGCCCCATTTGCAGAGTCCGGCTGTCCACATGAGCTTCATTGAACTCCACAACCTGGACATCTACGCTCTATTTGTGACGATCCTAGTCCTTCTTGCTCTCCTCATCCGACTCGTCTGGAAGTACGTGGGTATTTGGTATTTAATAAAAAAAATATTTAGAGCTAAGAAATCGATTTAAAATATATTCAATCATTTAAAAAAAAAAACACATTCAATAAAAAAAAACATTCAATATTTTTTTCAATTATATTTTTATTGTATTTATTATATGCAATGTTATAATTCTGTGTTTTGTCAGTCATTCTGTATTTGTATGCGTTTTACAATTTTTGGTTTTTTGTTTTTCTCGTAAATTATAAAATCTAACACAAAACAAAGCAATTTCTTTAACAATCACTGCCGCTACATATACATACACGTTACAATTTGTTAAATATATATATAAGTAGGCACAGCTCAAGCGCCGCGCGTCCAATACATGTTCATATACATATTCTCTGTTATATGTGGGGGAGTTGTGTGTGTCGGTTTATATATATGTATAGATTAGATAACAATGATATTAAGCCTAAGTAGAAGTAAGTTTTAGTACCGATACTCGCGATCGTTCCTCGCCATATGCGCTCCCACTCGCACTCCCACTCGCACCCTGCTCTTGACCTTTCTACCCTTGAACTATTACGTTACATGCTTTAACTATGTTACTGTTACCCATACAACTAACTGTACTCGTCCTTTACGATCCTGTCACTTTATCATACATACATAACATTTACCTTGATTTGCTTTTGATCTCTAATAAAATGTAATTTCTTGGGAAACAATGAAGAAGATTTTTACTTTTGGGGAGCGTGCCGATCCGATATCTCGATCGCGGATACATATATTTAATTCCCATTCTGGATTTAATATCGTGTGCTCGCTGATAATTCGCAAGGCAAATTTGTATAATTAGTTATATTTAATTTGGTTTTCTCTTGAATCTTGAAATGAATAATCGTTTGTGGTTTACTTTAAATGCAGAGTTTTCATTGTGCAGCATTAACATTGTGAAGAGATAGAGAGAAAGTTATCGGGAGAGAGTGTTACATTTATAAGTGGGAATGGTTTTGGTTATCAACAGCTTTTAAAATTTGTGGTTTCTCGTTCGGATTCATTATCAAATCGAAGGGACGTAATACATAATAATCATTGTTCGTTTATTATACTCGTATATGTATATGTTGTATAGATGTACATTTATAAATAGTATAGTTTGAATGTATGCGTATATAATTATGTTTGTCTGCCTATGTACTGTACTGTATGTACTGTGTTTCGCTATGCACTTGTAATTGTAATTGTCCTAGGTGTTCATTTCAGCTAGATTCGCTAGTTTGTCTCGTGATTTCGCCTTTCGCTTCCTTTTTGTATACAAGTTAAGGGTTTTAAAAAACTCGAAAATATATCAAAAGTTTTTTGAAATGCAGTATATATGTTTTTTAGTTGTTAAATATATATATGTTCGTGTATATATAGTACTTTCCTAGGTATATACAGCATACCTCGCCTTTTTTCTTTTAAGAATTTGAGAGAAGTATGTCCAGTAATTTCGCTAGTGTTGAAATGAGTGACTTAGTGAGAGTGTGAGTGAGGTGAGTGTGCGTGTATTAGTTAGTATATCGAGTGTATATAGGTATTTTGTATATCTAATCCAAAATGATACACTAATTGGTATTGATAGTGAGGCAAAAATTTGAATAAAGCGCATCAAAATGATATATGCGATTGTATATGTATACAGAATTTAATGGCGGCTTGCGGAAAATCGAATCTCGCTTCTGTATGTGTGCTGGTGTGTCTGTGTGGGTGTAAGCTTGTGGGTGTGAGTGTGCTGGTGACTGCAGATTGTGTATACGTCACGTTGGCTTCGAAAAATACGCTTAAAGCTGCTATAATACTGTAAAATTGTTGCTTGATTTCCTCGTTCTCTCGACGGTAAAGTAATGTTCGCTCACATTGAATAGCAGTTGTAGTAGAAAAGCTAGGTAGGTTCGCTTCAGTGTTCTTTTTAGAGTGCCGCATGTTTGGTGTGTGATTGTGTCTTGTCTTTTCCTTGATATGTCTGAGTTCATATTGCACGCAGGTCGGTGACAACATATAGTCTCAAATACATATAAAAAGTATATGTGTTGGGCTCGGGAGTGGAAGGGACTAACACAAAGGTCGCATCAAGTTGCTGCACGCAAACGAAAAAGTCGCATCACGTATACGTCAACCAAATCGTGGGTATCTACTGTGTCCTCCGTTTTTCTTTTGTTTTCTTTGATTTCTTTTACTTGTCCTTCAGTATTATCTCATTTACATTTTAACTAATTAAAGCCGGTTTCAATTCAACAAACAATCTGTAGCATAAATTCTTGCATTCCTCATATTAGTATTAATATTATTATTATTGTAGTCAACAAATGTTTTTGTCTCCTACGTTTACAGCACCACATTTTGTAACTTTACACGCGAAGAAAAAAACCCATTCAGAACCTCATTACTTTAAGTTTACATATAAATATATATATATATTTAAGTACGTTTATATTGAATTTCTGCTAAATTGTTTAGTGGTTTTTGCTAGAAGATTTGCAGTTTAATTGGGTTTTCTTCCTTCGAACTTTTCATAGCATACTTTGTGGCGAAATATTTTACACAATTACTTGATTGGCTAGTGGCATAATTTATCGTAACGTTGTGATATATATAATATATATAGTTTGTATTCGTTTAGTGTAATTCATATGCTTATTCGCTGATGGATGTGGCTGCTCTCCAGTGGTAGATCTCTATTAGCAAGTCTTGAGTTGAAGCTATAATTTCTTAGGCTATTCTAAACGTTACTTTTAGGGTGAACCAATGCTCCTGGCCAGATGCACTTGTCTAAAGTATTTGCGTGTCCTTCTGCTTTCTGCTTGCAGCTAACGTAATCAGCCATAGTTAATCGGTTACAGCTTATTACCCACTCATTATTATCCTGGCTCTTCCGTTTGTACACCCAGTGTCCGACTGCTTCCGCTTCTAATTGTTTAATTAACTTTATGAGGCTGCTAAATAAATATATATTTATATACGCTTATGTGTGTGTGTTTGTGTATCTTAGGGGGGACTTTCACTTTCGGCTCGCTTTGCACTATTTGCATTTATTGCTAATTTGACGATAATTCCTTGCGACCGCGTCGCCTTACACATACCACTCCTTGACGTCCTTGGAGTCGCGCTTCTTGGCCTTCGGTTGGACCAGGCCCGCCATCTGGGGTCGTCCATCGCTGCCGTATCCCAGCGACCCACTTCCGCTGGACATCATGCCGCCTCCGCCTCCACCGCCGCCGCCTCCATTTCCGTTTCCGTTGTGGCCATTGTGCATCTGTTGCTGGCCATGGTGCTGCTGTTGTCCTGCCCCTCCACCACCTCCTCCCACTCCCGGCATGTGGTGCTGCCTCTGCTGGTGGTACGACCCATTGGTGCTGGTGTTCCCCAGCAGAGCAGCATTGGGATTGTGCGACCCGTAGGCGGCCGCCTTCTCACTCTCCGTCTTGTAGCCACGATCCCCGTTTGACTTGAGCCACAGGACCAGCAGGATAACCAGCACCACTGCGATGAGTATCCCTGCCACTATGCCTATAATCATGGCGGTGCGTTCCTCCTCAATCGAGTTGATCCTGCCGCCCTTGCCCTTCGGTCGGTAGTTGTTAATGTTGGTGTTGTAGTTGTTGCCACCGTAGGGTCCGTAGGGCGGGGGATCCTGCGGCGGAATCGGTGGCGGGAGTGGTGGCAGCGGGTGGTGCTCATCGGGCAGCTGCATGCGATCGTGATCATTGCGGCCGGATCCGCCCAAGCCACCACCGGCCACATACACATCGTACGTGGTGGTGTCCCGCTCCGTGACCGTGCTCCGGATCTCCGGCGGCGGAGTGGCCTGTGTGGTGGTGGTGGTCGAGGTTGTGGACGTGGTGCTGGTACTCGAGCTGGTGCTGCTGCTGGTGGCCCGTTGCGTGGATGTGCTGGCCACGCTGCTGGTGGTGCTCACTTGGCCCTGCGGCGTGCTGCTCCCCGATCCTCCTCCTCCTCCTCCGCTGCTGCTGCTCGAGGACTGGGTGGTGGCGTAGGATGGAGTGCTGCCGCTGCTGCCGGTGCTACTGCTGCCATGCTGCTGCTCCGTGGTCACATCACTGCGTCCCGTGGTGGTGATCGTGACCATCTCATTGTTGGATTCTGCAATCAGTCGGTTGGGGTTTATTTAAGTGTTCTCAAGTGGGTGCTCTATGTATATGTTTTTGCAATTGTGTGTGCTCAGTGGGTTAATCACTATCCTAATTTTTACTCAAACCCCATTATCCGAAAAACATAAACTGATCCCTTTTACTATTAAGAAAGTTTAAAAATTATGTTCAACTAATATCACATAACCGAATAAAGCGTTACTTTTCTTCCAATAAATATGAACAATTATTAAGATCAGATTTATAAAACATTATTAATCAGAATAAGGATGTTTTCATTCCTTTATCTTCCTAAAGATCCAATTTTAGAGGACCAAAATTATTGATTGTTATTCATATTAACTCTTTTATTGGATAAGACAAGAAATTGTAGCAAACTAGACTAATAACTTTTAATGAAAGGGCTTCGCCATTTTTAAAGAGTATTGATGTCTAAATTTTATTTCGAATAAACTTACTTTTAATTTAAATCCTATATATTGTATAATTGTACTTTTTATTAAGCTTTTCCCCCCCGAAAATCATTTGAACCGCCAGTTGTGCTTTGCTTTTTATAGTTTATTCAACACAGTTAGAGAGGATAGAGATTTGTAGATATTTAGAGATATGTTGAGGTGTGTCATTCTTGTTGTTCGGTGCTGGACATTCAATCTTTTCGCACGATATGTACAAATTGGAATTGGAAGAACGGTAGAACTATGCAATCGAGGGAATAAATGTGGAGGAGGAGGAGAAGGAGGAGGAGGAACTGTAGTGGGAAAATCACATCTTACACTGCAGACGCTGCTTTTATCGCTACTATGTACAAAACATATACATCTTCGATCGGGGCACTCGTGTACATATGTATACATATATATGTATATTTATACATATATACTGAGTCCTTGTAACGCTTAACCCTTATCGCTTAACGCTTAACCCTCTCACTCAACCAAAAACCCTCGCCAATGATCGGTGTGGTTGTTGTTGTTCTGGTTGTTGTTGTTGTTGAGTTATAGTTGTTGTTGTTGTTGCATTTTTTAGTTGCTGTTGCTGGTGGTTTAGCTCTCGTTAATGCTAAAGTTAGTTATACAGATTAGACAGAGAGGTCTAGTTGGAAGCTTAGCCTAAGTGCATTGCTTTTGGTTGCATTTGGTTGTTTTGCTTATGGGAATTTACAGAGTATCCATGGCGCGATCACAGTCAGAAATATGAAGGCGATTTCACATTCTGAAAGAGACACATAAGGCGTACTCGTTGTCAGTTCAAATTAGAAGGCAATCGATCATCAGCAACAGGTGGAGATGAAGGATATAGGCGACGATTGTTGCGATACTTTTTTTCAAACATTTCCATTTTTTTTGTTTGTTTTTCTGGGCTGATCTGAGCTGAGATGACAAGGCGATTTGATTGATTTTGGTTTCTTGTTGGGTTGATGCATTGCGAGGGGTGCGATAGAGGCGATATAAATCAGTTTATATATATATATATATGTATATATATTCAGAGCTGATTGGCTGTTTGGATGTAAATGTGTAAGCGGTCAAAGCATTGGCGTTGCATTGGCATTTTAACCTAACTTCCTCGATCTCCGTGGAGCATTGAACAAAACTGAAAAAGGCAAAGCGTCACTAGCTAAACGGTTAAGCGGTTATATGTAGAGCTTTAAGAGATTATGGGAAATAACTCGAACTCGAACTCCAACTGGAACTTAAACACAACTGAACCCACAGCTTAATCGTTAACACGTACTCTACTTTTCTATGGCAGTGTACACTCTGCGTATACTTAATGGCGTATACTTAACTTGAGTTTCGAGTGTGGCTAGCTAATGTCTATGATGAAGTGTTTGTGTGTGTGTGTGCGTGGTGTTTATTGTTTAGTGTTTTCCGTGATTGATCCAAATGCCAATGACAAAATGAGACCAACACCAACACCGCTATAAAACTACTCACCTGAACCCCTGGCCGTGCTCGTTGAGGTGAACTGCTCCGTGGTCTCCCCGTAGTCCCCGGATCCATGGACGCAGTCCTCGTCGTCGCAGGCCCGCTCCGTGCCATTCGTATTGGCTCCGCCACTGTTGTTGCCACCGGTACTCAGGTTATTCCCCTGCTGGGAGGTGGTTGTCTGCTTGGTGGGCGGCACATACACCGGCGTGATCAGATCATCCCCGCTCCCGGACTCAAATGGCGGCGTGCACTCGTCCTCGTCATCGCCGCGACATCCGGATCCGGCTCCCGAGAAGATCAGATCGTCCAGCGCACCCGGATAACCACTTGCCGGCGTCTGTCGAGTAGAGTTCAAAGTCTAATTTTACTTCAGTTGATCTGGCGGCAGCCGGGCCAAGCGATGGTTATTGTATGGGTTTTGTTAACTGGATTAGTAAGTTGGTTAGGTGCTGTTGATTAAGTATATATGTAAGCCAAAGGAGATTGCAACAGGATAATAGTTGTCTTAAAGTCCGCAATACTTTTAAAGAATAATGCTATTTTATGATCTAGAATTGTACTTTTTATTTTAGAAATCTAATACTCAAAAATATTCTTGCTTTTACAGAAATCCTAAGGAGTTTCTTTAAGTTTCCGAAAATTTTTGAAGACTTGGTAGAAAGACTACAATAATACTATCATTTAAGGTTTTATTTAAAGTTCTTATTTTGATTAAGCTTTATATCAGGTCTTTGTGTTATATAGTAACTTCATTAGAGTTAATTTCGACATTACTCAATAAATATTATGATAACTTACAACTCCTGTGGCTTTCACATACTGGTGTTTAAGTGTATTTATGTTTGATGTGAGCTTTGATTAGAGTCATGCAGCATAAGTGCGACGAGTTCTAGTGCATAGTAAATCGTTTCAGTTTATATAGCTGAGTATATATTCACAGTTATTGGTTAATGTGCTGTGCAGCAATGGAAACAAATTCAGAAAAATCAAGTGGCTGGTTAGTGAAAAATCTGGCAATTATCTTTTGTTTTTTTTTGTTATTTTTTTTTGGTGCGTGAAAAGCGTTACAGTAAAAAAAACGAAGGCGCCCGAGGGAAATCATAAAGTCAATTCAAATGCAGCATTTACACTAGGTTATACAGTTAGTTAGCTAATACTTTTGGTTTAGTTGGAACGGTTAACGTTTTGTACTGAATGTCGAACCGAATTTCCCGGATTTGATTATGATGACGATGACTTCAATGTACAAATGTAGTTACATTCGATACGGTTAACGGATATGCATTTAAAATATCGGGATAGTGCTTGGGAACTGTACATTATTCGAATCGGATATCGAATTTTTGGAGGTGCAATCAAATCATGTCAAATCATTTTTGGGAAAAGGGGTTCCACAAACTGATGAAGCGGATTAATACAATAATTTTGGTTAGATTTTCTTTTGGTTTTTTTTTTGTTTTTGGTTTTTAATTAAAGAAAGAATTTTGAATAAACTTGGTTTACGATGAGAAAAATACTTGGAAAGTTGAAAGTTGAGAGGAATTCAAATAAAATTTCAAATAAATTCCCTAACCTGCTGCATTCTCTGCAGATCATTTCTATCTAATACTCCAGTTACCAATTGAACATCTCCGCGGATGGTGATAAGGGGGTCGCGTTCGACGGCCAAGTCCAAAATGCGCAACTTGTTCACCGACAGTCCGGCAATCACGCCGGCGAACGGCCGCTCGATTCGATTGCGGCCGTTCCGACTGAACTTGCCGCCGACCTGAACGTTGGACATGGTATTGAACACGGTCGAGTGGTGGCCTGCAAGTCATCGGAGAAGATCGGAAAGGCATTAGGCATTGGGCATTACCCCCAGATGGAGCCATCCCCCATCCCACCCACTTACTCTGCGGCGTGAGTGCCTGCACATTGTAGTCGTCCAGCTGGAGCGTGGCATTGCCTCCCTTCCGCTGGAACCTCACCACATGGTAGGCGTTGTCGTTCACCTTCGTCCCGATCTCGCCCAGCGGCAGGTCCACGCTCCCAATGTTGTACACCATGAAGATGTTGCCCTCCACAATCTCCAGCTCCATGTAATCTTGCGTGGTGGCGCTCTCCACCCGCAGGAGCACTGCATCAGGCCTGGTGGTTATGAAGCCCATGGCTATGTTGTCCTCCTCGGTATCAGCTTGGGCATTTTCGGCAAAGGTGTACTGCACCATGCCCTTGTTGTTGCCAAATTCATAGGCAATAGATTCTGTGGGAAAATAATAGAATATTGTTTATTTATTTGACTAGCACTTTCTTTCTGTCTTTGATATTGTTTTTTTTTATAAAACCCATTAAGTTTCCCCAGATTACCACCAACTTACCATCATAACAGGTGGGTCCTGTGTAGGAGGTCATGTCGCACTCGCAGGCATAGGCATTCCACTGCTGCACACAGTTTCCCCGATTGGCACAGGCATTCTGGCTGCACTTGGTGGGTCCCTCGCAGCCACTGACCACCAGGGAGCTGGGAACCACTGCATCGCTGGTCAGCGAGGGAGAGGCATCTCCCAGATCCAGAGAGGCCAGGCAGCCCTCGAATCCAGACCTCGAGGAGATCGAGGCCGGCAGCTTGGAGTACATGTCTTTGAAGACGCCTCCCACGTACAGAATACCCGCCAGCTCCAAGTGCATGTTATTTCCAGTTAGACTAACGATCTCGAACGAGTCATCCACGGTGAGTGTGTGCGTCTTGGGTCCCGGTCGCCTAATGCTGACCTGATGCCACCGGTTGTCGTTCATGTGGATGCGGGACTTGTCCCTCATCGTGACCGGTCCATCGCCCAAGTCGAAGGTGTAATGGATGTGTCCGTTTACCAGCTCCACTGCCACGAAGTCGTTGCGTCGTCCGCCATTGAAGACCAGCAAGCCATTCGGCTCCACGGTCTTAAAGCGGAAGTCAATGGAGATGCTGTTGTAGGCCTTCAGCATGGCCAATCCCACGTAGGAGTGCTTGGAGCGGAAGGTGGCCGCATGGTAGGGCTGCCCCGCCGGAGAGTTCACGAAGCGGGCCGTCAACTTAAAAGTGGCACTGGGCAGAGCCGAAAGTTCGGGTCCCAGGCTCTTGGCAATGTCCAAATAGCTGAGGGAAAAAATCAAAAATAGGGATTTAAAAATCAATAGGATTACACTGGTACCCACCGCTGGCCATTGAACACCAATCCCTGCATCTGGCCCACAAAGTTCGGCATGGTGGAGGTCATCTGGATCTCCTCCTCGGCATGGAAGAGACCGCCCAGGTGGATCGATCGGATCTCCATGGTGCTGTGGCGACCCAGGATCGTTTCGGCTGTGGAAGGAATATTTCCAAAAACAAGAGATGGATAAAACTCGGTGGCCTCGCCATTGGGGTTTGTCTAGCCGGGATCGGCTTTGCTCTAAGTTGTTGACTAGGCGGAGTACCGTTAACATTGGTTACATTGGTTATGGATATACGTTGGTTGGATATATATATAGGTAGTTGGGTACGAGTAGTATATGGAGTATAGTTGGTGACAAGAAGCACATACGCATATGTAGTCAAAGAGTATATAAGAGTATAGAATAGGTATAGGTATGCGGTTTTAGTAGACATAGATCTAGTTGTTTTTGGTTCATAGATTTTTTTCAAGCATTTTGTATTTTATTCACTCGACAGGTGGCTGAATGTAGTTGGAATTCGATTGGAGTATTATTATTGTTATTTAGTTTGTTGCAGCTTGGTACATTCTAAAGAAAGGTGCAGATTACATTACATACAATGTACTGGTACGGATAGTAGTTGTAGTTGTTAATTAAGACAAAACGAAATCGATAATCGAAAATCGCTGTCACAGCGCAAACCAAAGGAAAGTAAGTAAAAGTAAAGAGTTCGCTAAAGTTGGTTAGATAAGTTAGTAAGTTGGTGCGCATTTTGTTCTGGTTTACATACGAATATGCATGGTTTGACATTTTTTAAGGAATGTATCATTTTCATAGACTAGTTTTGGTGTGTGAGATACATTTTCAATACGATTACGGTGGCGGTGACGTTTTTAGATAATTTCATTTAATTTCTCAGCTGTGCGTGTAAACCGAGGAAAAATATATATTATATATGAGAAAAACATTTTACTGAGGCAACCTACGGTCTAAAAATGGTAACTGAAAAAGGACAATATCGGTAATAACCAGAATAATTGAAACGAAAACGAAACCGAACAAAAAATGTGTAACTTTGCTTAACGACATTGAACTAAACATCGATGGGTATCGTATTGGGTATAAATTGTCCATGTTTTCTGTAAATGTCAGTGTGTTAATCTGTGCCCTAGAGAGGTCTGTGTGTGTATGAGTGGGTGTGTGTTTCGACTACGACTAAGTTAATAAGGGTGCATTAGCCTTAACGAGTGGCCACATTGCGCATACGACGCGTTGGCCCACCGAATGATTGACATCTCGACATGCAAATGACTGCGGCGACAGAGACAGAGATAGAGAAATAGCAAGAGCAAAAGAGAGAGAGCTATAGAGCTGGAGAAAGAGGGGGGGCGATGTGGCGTAGGGTGGTCGGTGGTTGGTGGGCGGAAGTCGAAGTAGGGCACTGTTGTTGCAGCTGGCAATTTGGCGCATTTACAGTTACTTATTCATACACTTGAATGACTAAGTGAGCTGAGTGATACGATGCGATGTCGAACGATACGGTATACGATATATAGTACGAAACAAAGATATACACTATTCACACTGTACAGGGCTAGCCCGATTCGGGCTCAGACTTAGGGACTTTGTGAGCGGTTCATGCGGTTGTTGGCTATATCATTCCTGACTGACAATCATTTTGCTTGTTATTTTATAGGTATTATTATCATTTTTTCATTGCTGCTGCTGCTTGAGTTTGGGTGCTCACATGCAAACGCGTCACGTGTGTGTTCTTTTTTGTGCAACGGTGCTTGACAGAGTGTGGGTGAGTGCCTGTGCAGGTGTGCGAGACTTCCAGTTGACAATGTGTGTATGTGTGTTAGCTCGAGGCTGGAGCAGGATCCGGCTACACAGAAAACTCTTATATAAGCTCCGAAAGATTAAACTCTATTTTTTTTTGTACCTTAACATATTTTTGTATCTTTACTTGTTTTGCTTTCATAAGATTTTAAGATCTAAATTTAAGATTACTGAAGCATACATCAAGGATAAGAAAGGCAACGTAATGTTACAAATTCATTAAAATAGCAATCAAAATATTTGAAAGTTAGTTTAACTTCTTTAGGAAGAAGAGTATTAAATGTGACTACATATTTATTTTCTTTATTGCTAGCATTAGGTATTTATCAATCAATTATACAGGCCCCTTTCAGAGCTAATGAGTTCCCTAATTAACAAAAATATTAACATGATTTGAGTCATATCGATCTGATATTTGGATTGTCCCTCATATCCTGTAGTTCTTTTTTCGGTGTAGCCTTCTCCATCGCCTGCCTTTCGTTTCTAATATTTTTCAGTTAGGTGTTTTTATTTTCTTTTTGAACACACTTACACAACAAGAATCTAATTTTACGTGAGACACGTTAGGCTTGATTAGTTAGTTGCAATTTGGTTGCGGTTGCGGTATTGTTGTATTGATGTTTACGATAGTTGAGTTTACTTAACACAAAGCTAATTACATATTAAATGGTGCAAAATTACAGCCCTGGGCGCTTTCAAACATTGTTTTGCCCTCTCGTCTCAAGAAGCCGCCGCTAATGCCATTTTGCAATGGCACTCGAATCCAATCGCAATCGCAATTTGCCGATAGCGTGACTTTCATCGAGCGATTTGGGCAAAAAAATGTTTCACCGAGTTCTTGCGTGTCGATTTTTTTCTCTCGCCTAAAACATGAAACGAAAAACGATATTGTACATTGAAATTATTTACGTTGCGTTCCCGTCATTTTGCATTGTTTGCCTTACTCATTTTTGCTTTATTGTATTTTTACTTTTCTCGCTTGCTCGCATTTCGCTTTTTTTCGAAAGAAGGTCATTTAGATCACGTTCGTGATTAGGGAATTGCATTTGCATTTGACATTGTTTTAACTTGTTGTAGTGGTTAAACACCATGGTTGTTGTTCGCTGTTCTACATTCGGTAGACGTCTGAAACAAACACCTTTTAACGTTAACATACCGCACGTGTCGTTTAAGTTATGGTACAGCAATTATTTAAATTATTTTAATTGTTTAGATTATCATAGAACTGTAAACGAAAACTCTTTTCCAGATACATATTTACAGAAAATAATAAAAAACATAATCATAAAACGATCAAAAATTTGGTTCTTAAGTTGTTGAGTTGGGCCCAGGGATTAAGGCAATTAGAATGTGAAGAACGTTTCTTGAGATATGAAATCAAAGTCTGATTAATTTTTAAAATCTAATAAAACTCAGAAAATTAAAGAAAGTTCCCTTGACCATTCACTCAACAACGTAAAAAGAGCAACTTAATTACCAAAATTTTAGTTAAAACCAAATACTATAGCTCGATAATCAAGGACAAAACAATGTACAAGACAATCAATATAATGGTATTTATAACACTTAAGGCTGAAACTTTACAGCTGTCCAACTTTCTTTGCTTTCGTATTAACTCTTATTCGATTACAATACTTTCTGTGTGGGCTTAGGAATTGGAGTTGAGTTGTAATTGGAATTGAATTGGCAATCGTAATTGGGAAATCAAACAAAGTAAGTATCGCAAATAAAAACACAACATCGAGATGTTTGAAAGAGTTTTGAGAGAGGAACTTACAAGAGCAAAATATATAAGAAATCATTACGAATGAGTTATTTGAGTATGCAATCAAAGGATTCCCATCTGATGGGCTCTTCGATGTAATGATTTAAACAAACTTTCAGAGAGGCGTACAATGTGTGGAATGGTGTGGATGTGGAGCCGGGTGTCTTATGATGTTCAAACTATATATTGCAGATGCTTAACGATGTTCAGAGAGGTACAGAGCGAGGTAGACAAAGGTGGATAGTTAGATAGAGCTGTCAGTTCATCATCATCGTTGGAGAAGGAAAGTTCGAGAAATGTGTCATGAGAAATGAGAGATAAATAAACTTGCTAAATACTTTTCAATTTCCATCGATAGTTTCATTTTTTTTGTAGTATTTTTACTGCATTTCGTTTAAGTGTATTCGCTCGTGTTCGTATGTGTGCGTGTTTGTGAGACGGTGTTGGTGTGGGAATCGTTGTTAACTGAAAAGCTCTCAAAAGAAAAAGTTTAAGTGGAACTTAAAACGGAAATCGCGCCGCTGACTGCACTTTCCTTTTTTATTGATTTTTTCCTTCTTTTTTTTATTGGCTTGCTTGTATCTTTTTCTTGAGACTTATGCTCCTTAACTGTCCTGAAGCACCTTCACACACCTTCCCGCTAAAGAGGGGCATTCCTACTTGAACTTGAACCTGAATGGCGGTGCGTGGAGCACCTTTTGTGGCTCGGAAGCTAATCGCTGGAGGGGGATGTTCCTGTGGCCCAAGGGACTCTGGCCAGGAGTTGGTAGGTTGTCGATTGGTTGGTTTAGTTGGTTGGTAAAAAAAACGACACGGCACGACACGTAGTAGGGCATAGATGTGCTGTTGATACATACATAACATACCCCTGACGGGGGGAGCCCCGTCGACTTGCAGCCGCAGATTGGAGGCTCTGCGCGAGAACCGGATCGTGTGCCAGTTGTTGTCGTTGAGCACCGACTGGCCGGCCAGCAGGTTCTGCAAGGATTAACACACTCAGATAACTGTCCCGATGCCTAAGAAAATCGCCTTTAACTTTGACAGTCGTGGAAAAAGTCCAACTGTTTTCAACGGATATTACAATTATCAAGTACTTTCAATCTTAATGTTTTTGAAGAACAGTAAACACATCAGGAAATATGACTCTAAAACTTTTTTAAGCCAACAAATAATAATATATAAATTTAAAAAAGTACCCTTATAATCCTAAAATGTATTAGAAAAAGTAGTTAAAAATAACAATAAAGCCCTATCACTTTATACAAATATACGAATAGGATATAGCGAAAGACTTATGTCATTTTAAAACTCATCAAAATTATATTCTTAACTCTACCTAAAATTTTTGAGAGAAAAGAAATATGAAAGGTACCACTAAAGATTAATTAGTTAGATAATTCAATGAGTAGTATTTAACCGGGGCTGAAAGCTGAAGGCGATTTTCAAAGTCAAGGACGAATGTGGTCAGGTTGAGTACCTCCCCCTGTTTATCCCTGACTCACCTTCTCGCGGTCACTCAACCGCACACTGGCCCGCACCCTTCCCGCCACCAGAGCGATCTCCAGTCGATCCGGGGAGTTGGACTCGGCGCTGGTCAGCAGCAGGAGTCCCGCTGGACGCGAGGTCTTAAAACGGATGACCAGCTCCTCGGTCTGCGTCTTGGTTCCTTGTCCATTGCCCAACCAGATGGTCATGTGCTGGCTGCCGTTGAAGGCCAGCGTGGCCAGCTCCCTTCCGCAGGTGGGTCCTCCGTACAAAGTGGCCGAGCAGTCGCAGATGGGCCGGTTCCAGCCCTCCAGGCAGGTGCCTCCGTTCAGGCAGGGATTCCCGTTGCAGACGTTGGCCTGCACATGGCACGATGGCTTCACGGAGGCTGCTCCCCAAGTGGGTTACGGGTTATGGGCAACGGGTGACGGGTTAAGGATTATCGTTATCGCTGGCGTGACTTTCACTCACCCGAATCCTGGACGCGTGCAAAGGCCGCTATATCGATCGCCTTGCCACTCAGCACCAGGTCACGCAAACAGCCGACGAATCCCTGGCGCAGCGTGGCCGTCCAAATGGCCGCCGGCCAGGCCACGCTATTGTAGGCGGGCCCCACTCCGCCCAGGTACATGTGCCCGTCCAGCTCGAGGATGGTGCCGTCGCCGGGCGTCCGGAAGTCGTTCCACACCCCGTCCACGCTCACCTTGGCGTCGCGTCCATTCCGCCGGAGAATCAGGTCATGCCAGTCGCCATCGTCCACGCGACGTCGCGAGGCTCGCACCTTGGAGGCTCCGGATCCCAGGTCCAAATGGATGTAGATGTGGCCATTTAGTAGCTCAATGGCAATCAAAACGGGCTGATGGATAAGTTCGGATGTTTTAAACAGCATCAGAAAACTTACTAAGACAACTTACATTCTTTGCTCTTGGTTGCTTAGATCCTGTGGCCAGGACAATAATGCCATTGGGTTCCTTGGTGCGGAACTTGAAACTTATAGAACTCTGCTTGCCAGTTTCCCAAGGGGGCAGAACCTTTATAAATAATTGAAAATGATTATTATTGATTTTCTGTTAGTTCGAACTAGGATATAACTTACCAAATGCGATTCGCGGGTGGTAAAGGTCACGGGATCCTGTGGATCTCCACTTGGGCACTGGTACTCCAGATTGCCAGCCACCTGGATCAGCTTAGAGCCGCTCTTGGCCAGGTCTATAAGGTTCAGATTCAACGTATCCGCCGAGAACTCCACTTTGCGCAGGCAACCCACAAAATTGGTGTGGACACGGGCTCCCAAAAGAGCCCTGGGATTAACAGCACCACCCACATAAACCCGCGAGGAGGAGAGCATGGTGAACTTTCCGGCGATGTGCGAGTGGTCCGTGTAGACGTCGTCCACCACAGTGACCAGCTGGGGGATAAAGGAATCCATATACAATCCATTACCAAGCAATTCTCAGAAATACCCACCCGACAGAAGCTGGTGATGGAGGAGATCTCCTGGATGCGGCGGTGCACGGTGACCTTGTGCCACTGGTGATCATCGAAGCGTACCTTCGAGGGCTTGATGTGCATCTCCTGCTTGCCGTTGGCCAATCCCATGGTCAAAGAGACGCCTCCATCCCGCAGCGCCAGATTTAGATAGTCCGTGCCGTGGCCCGTGTAGAACAAGAGGCCATTCGGCTGGCGCGTGCGAAAGTAGAAGGATATAGCATCCTGGGCACTCACTATCGGCTCGGCGCCCGTCTGGCCCAAGTCGTACGAGAGGAACTGTGTACCGCGGAACGTTGCTTCCGATGGCGCCTTCTCCTTCTCACAATACTGGCCATCGTACTCGAGGTTTCGACACTCGCAAATTGGACCGGAATCAGTGGATATGCAGATGCCGCCGTGCTGGCAAGGATCGTTCCGTTCGCAGGCATCGGTAGTGTTGCCACGAACGCCCTGCAGGATTAATTTCAAAGGATGTTTTATACATTTTATTCGTCCGTTCGGATTAGTAGGTCTTGTATAGTCTAGTTAGAATAAGTTAATCAACCATATGGTTTTATAATGATTTTTCTAAGATCCTAAAGTAAAGTAACTCTATCTTTATTCGTAATAGTTTAATATAGTTACATACCTTTAATAATAACCTAGAAACCCTTCAAAGCCATTGTTGTGTATAAAAACAATTAAAATGTGTAACAAATAAGAACTTATATCCCATATACATAAAAATATTCAATCAGTTAGTTTATAATCTTGCAAAATCTATAATCTTTCATCGTTAAAAGTTATATGATAAAAAAGGTTATCCCTTGGATAATTTGTAAAGGAAAGTTCAATGTTATTTTAATTATTTAGTAAATAAAATAAAATTAATATTGCAATGCGGTTTCAGGAAAAGTTAAGAGCTATGAGCAAACTATAGTTTACAAACTTGATTTTGAAGGACTCACCCTGAGGGGCCTTTCGCGGGCGGGCAGCTCGCCGTGGTCGCAGGGCACATCGCCGCACTTGATATCCCGCTGCTGCTTGATCTCCTGGCGCCTGGTGGAGCCGCCCGGCTGGTCCGCGTAGACCAGGTTCCGGATGGCGCCCCGGAAACGCGGCTCGAAGATGACGCTGGGCAGGGCGAGCAGAGCCAGCTTGCTGGCATACCAATTGGGCATTCCGCCCACATAGACGTCCGAGTTGCTGGCGAACTTGCCGAACTGGAACTCCTTGCCCTTGGTGGACCGCTGCTGCGAGACTCCATCCACGATGAGCGAGGTCTGCTCGTCGTTTCGAAGGACCTGCACCTTGTGCCAGTGGCCATCGTGCAGCTCCCTGCCCACGGTGATGATCTGGGCCCCGCCGCCCAGGTTGTATCTCAACCGGAGGGCTCCCTCCACCAGTTTCAGTTCGAAGAAGTCGTAGGTGCCACCGTCGTCGGTGTAGAGGACCAATCCGTTCGGCTGCTCCGTCTTGAATTCCAGTTCGAGGGTTCCGTTCAGGCCGGTGTACCACTTGCGGAACGTGTAGAAGGAGTTCTGGGATCCGTCCAGCTGGAAGCCAGCGCTCAGGGTCACGAAACTGGCCGCCAGGCTGACCAGCAGGGCGCTGACGATGAGCACGCGGTACGAGCGCCGGTATTCCACGATTACCGGAGGCACTTGCTCACTTCTCCGCCGGCGACGAGCCTTGTTGAACCGCAAGTCCGGGGATGCGAAGGCGGAGGCGGAGGTGTTGGAGGGTGAGGCATGGCCGTTGCTGCGCTGGGCGGGCAGGAGCCGCAGCTCCCGCTGCTGATCCCTGTCCATGTTCGGCTGTCGTCTTCTGGCTGTCATGGCCGCAGGAGCATAGTTATCCTGATATGTTGCACTATGTGGCGCCTTCATTCACACACAGGCTGCTCACCCACACAGAGGCACCTACGCACGTTGCGCGCGTAAACGTAAAGGGACACTCTCTCTCTCTTCTCGCGTATTCCAGTCCTTGAGCGCGAGCTTTTCGCGTGTCCTTGTGTTGGTGCTAGTCGGGAATCCGTTTTATCCGCGCCTGCCAAAGAGAGAGCGGGAGAGCGCAGGAGAGCGAAAGCTCGGTGAGGAGAGTTAACAATACTGTTAACGATACTCGTCCACTGTTAACGGCACTGCACTGATTATTGCTTGTAATTTCGACTGGTTTCTTGGTCCTTAATGGTAAGATTTTGGCATTTTGTACGCTTGTTTTTCTTAATGCTTGGCAAACTAATTAAAAACGGGCACATATTTCGCATCGATGCAGGGTCAGACAACCGTTATTCGGACAGAGTCGGCTGTACTACCAATACTGGGGGTTATGGTCTGGCCAAAAGCTCGCGGGATACCCCTGCCACCCGATTCCGTGGCGCCCACGAGCGCTACAACGTACATGTACATACTAAAAATCGGAAAAAATTTTCACTGCATGTCGCGAAAAAATTTCTAAGCACCTCACTCCAAATGCCCCTAAAAGGGTACTTTTCTAAGTTATTTTATAAGTTATTTATGTGTATCGATTGATTTATTGATTAAATATGACTTATTTATTGCACACACTTTGATTTTTTCAATTACACAATTATTATGTAGTATTTGAGCGTTAGCTCAGTCGGTTTTATTTTATGTAACAGTTTGGATTGGCTTTTAGCACGACGCGTTTTTGTTTTAGTAGGAGAAGTAATTTTTGCTGATTTTTCGGTTTAATTTTGAGGGGTAGAAAAATTTTGTGTGTCGAAATTTGCTAAGCAGCGCCTTCCGCTGTTCTTGGCTCCGATATCGATCCGCGCTGCATCCACGACAAGACTGAACTGCAATTTCAAACTTAATTTCTTCGCACTGTTTCCAATGGATAACGAAAGCTCCGCCAGCTTATTCACAAAAAGCCATTGGCTTGGCCTAGACGACTCGCAAAAGAGCGCTGTAATGGGTTTTAAGGAAGGAAGTTTTACTTATTTTTCCTTAAAGTTAGTTAAAAAGGTTTAGGAGCAATTAAAATTGACTAATTTGCACTACTAGTTGGGTGCTCTTTGTTTTGCTCAAAAAAGTATGCTATAAAAAATGAATGGACCTTTTGATTTGTGTGTAGTGTATGGGAATGCCAAAAATTAAAAGCTCGCTTACTTCGCACGAGGCATGCATATGCGTACTACTAACACACTCACACCCACACACATACACACCAGCTGCCCACTCACACATGCGTAATGCGCGCAGAGCACGCAGGTTCATAACCTGCACCACTAATATGTGTTAGATGCCTACACCTACACGGATACACATGTATGTACTTAGTGTGGGTGTCCTGTGGTCACACACACTCCCGCACTGACACCCACACACTCATACAGGCCCACTATCTCTGAGACGACCCGAGTAAATTCCTTGACATTTACTACGCAACTTCAACCATTCGGTGTCAAATTCGATTTGCATTTGCATTGGCATTGGAATGTTTAGTCCTGTAACCTCTTTGTATGTGTGAGAAAATCCTCCAACTCCCCCTTCCCCCGCCTCTTCCAGGAGAACAATTGCAAGGCCGTAACCTCCATTAATCCTCGTCCTAGCCAGCACATTAACTTGAGCACACCAATCACGCACTGACCATTATTACAGGGACACTGTCCCCCAGGACTTACATTTTTTAATAATAATTTAACACGCGCTAAAGGCTAAACAAATGCCAGCACGTGCTGTCCATTGTCCTTCGGTACTGTGACGTTCAAGTGGACTAACCAGGACTGGGAATGCCAAAAAGCTGAAGGAAAAGCAAAAAGCTTTAATTTAAATTAAGCGGCCATCTGCTTTTTGGCAGTCAGGCAGCTCTGGCTTTCTAATTTCTTATATTTTTTTAAAACTCCCCACAGTAGTATAGGAGCGCTTATTTTTTTTTTTTTTATTAAAAAAGTATATTTTTATTTAAAGTTTAACAAGTTTTCTGCTACCTATGTGGCAGCTTGACCAGGTTGTAAATATAATATTGATAGCATAATTATAATATAATATACAATAGTTATCATTTCTTGTTCAAGAGTATATAATTTTTAGCTTGGAAATAATAATATTAGTTTATATTTATATATATCTCGATGGAAGATCGTGTGGGTGGAATCTTTTCAGTCTTCTTTTTGTTGGTCTACGAGTAAGTCTTCTGGCCAGGGAGTTAGGATGAGAGCCAAGTCGGCTGATGTAATTTAGGAGCGCTTATTAATATTAATTATAATTCTAAGAAATTAGCACCATAACTTGATTTATTTGAATACTCTATACGTGTATGTTTTATTTATTTATTAATTTCTGTTAAGCTTGATAGGATAAACTTGCTGAAAAAATAACGGTCATCAAACATTTTTGACCAGGTGGAATATTGCTTCACCGCGTGTGCAGCCACACTAATCCGATCGTTTACTTACAGCTGTTCTTATCAATCAGCTGTAATCAGCGGAACCATATCAAGTGCACTTTACAAAGCGTCGTGTGTAAAGATTTGGACAAGCCGCAAACCATTTTCTGAATATCTGAAGTGCACTCCAGAAACAACTAAGTTTGTTACCATACTCCAAAATCCCCGTACGATCCCGCTTACGTAATGCTGAGCAATCTGGGAAGGCGATTGGGTTCACCCCTCTACAGGCGATTTGTGCACACGGAGCGGAAAGTAAGGGTTAATGGCTCCGATCTACACATTGTAGAGAGCGGCAGCGGAGAACAGAGTTTGCTCCTGATGCCCGGAGCCCTGGGATCTGCTTGGACGGACTTTAAGCCGCAGATTGAACAGCTGCCGAAACTTTTGCCTGGTCACACGATCATCGCCTGGGATCCGCCAGGTTATGGAAAATCAGTACCTCCCCAACGAAAGTTCGGACTAGATTTCTTCCAGGAGGATGCCCAGGCAGCTGTGGATTTGATGCGGGCTCTGGACAGGCCAAGGTTTTCCATTTTGGGCTGGAGTGATGGAGGAATCACCGCCCTAATCATAGCAGGTCGCCATGCCGAGGCTGTGGAGCGCCTGGCCATTTGGGGAGCAGGTGCCTACCTAAACGCTGATGAAGTCAAGGCCCTCAGAAACATCCGGGATGTAGCCAAGTGGTCTCCCCGCATGCGTGAGCCCATGGAGAAGGTGTACGGCGTGGAGAGATTCCCCCAATTGTGGGCCGAATGGGTAGACGCCGCCTGCTCCTTCTATGACCAAAGGGACGGCGATTTCTGTCGCTCTGAAGTGGAACAAATAAAGGCACCTACTTTTATACTGCATGGAAAGAAGGATCCCATGATAGCAGCGGAACACGTTCCCTGGCTAAGGGAGAGGTTGCCCCAGGCAAAGTACCACGAGTTCCCTGAGGGCAAGCACAATATTCATCTACGTTATGCGGAGGAGTTCAACAAACTGGTTGCCGATTTCTTAAAGAAAAAAGATTAGGATCTTTTATATATTTTAACAGTCGATATTACTTAACTCGAATTTTCAAATAGTAAACACATTTATTAATAATGCAATTGAAAAATACACTCTTGATCCAAAAGTGGTTTATAAACCCCTTTTTGTGGCAGATAGTGGTTCGAGTTAAATAATTTCGACTGAAATAGGAAATAGATATCAGAAATGAGAAGGCAACTGTCCAGGGTCCAATATACTACAAAAAAGCTGATAGTTTTGATGAATCAAATTCATATCTAAACTAAAGGAAATTGTATATCTATTGTATGATTCATGAAACTAATTGAGGAATAACCATATCTCTTAGCTTAGCAAGATTGCAGTAAAGGAAATAAATGAAAGTGACAACTACCGAAGAAAAAATCGCCAACAAGGTTATAAATAAATATAGGTACGACTTTCTGAAAGAATTAACAGCCTAAAGCTCTCAGAAAATTTGAGTCACCTTAAATCAAATTAAGCCAAATTAATTAAAAAGCATTATCTAATAAAAGTTTGTAAAAAAATTGTCAGCGGCTTATATATTCAGAGATCCTACGGAAATCTTAAATATCCTTGAACTCAACCCGCCAACAAGGTAAAAAGCTATGTTTGTATGATAACTAGTATTTAAAATTTATTATTTCACAGAGAGCTGATCAGTTGGGGGCCAGATTACTGGACCGTCTCGATGAGGGTCTTGACGTAGTCATCGTACTGGGCCTGGAAGAAGTTGCCGGCCACGGGACCGCCGAAGCTGTACTTCTGGATGTAGTCGCGGGCCTTGACGTTGATGCGGCCGGTACGGCTGGTCTTGGACACGAACTTCTCGGTGGTGATCTTCTCGTTCTGCTTGAACACCAGGAAGACGTAGCGGTGCAGGCCGGTTCCCTCGCGGGGACCAGCTCCGATGTACTCGGCGATGGTCTGGCCCTCAGACACCTTGTTGCCGGGAATGTTGATCACCAGCCAGTGGAGCAGCTCACGGAACTTGGGGTCCTCGCGGCTGGGTGCGTCGGGGTCGACCAACAGGATGGTGTACAGGGAGCCGGCATCGGCATCGTAGGTGACCGTGGGCTGGTCCTTCACCTGCGTGGGAGTCAACTCCTTGCCCAGCTCAACCTGAACGCCGGAAGGATAGGTGATGGTAGCCTTCGAGGCGGGCTTGACGTCGATGATGTCGGGAATGATGCCGGCGGTGTCCATGTTAGCTGGTAGTTCTGCTGCTTCTGCTCGGTGTGGCGTTAGCGAGGTGACTCTGGCCCGGATCCCCGATGGCCTGCCTTTTATCGCCGGACGGAGTCGCAGTCCGTCGCCTAATCATTTCGCCGCACTTTACGGCTAATACCCCAGTGCAGAGATAGAGAGATAAGATGGTTCGACTTTATTGACTCAAAAAATGAAAGCCCGGCATGATATATGCAAAAGCCTAGCCGGTGAATGTTTTGTTCCGGATTGGCACAAAGTCATCGTACTGGGCCTGGTAATAATTGGCTGCAATGGGTTCCCCCAATCCATGCTTGGTGGCGAAATCCCGAGCATTGAAGTTCAAACGACCTGCACGAGTGCTGTGAATTGGAAGAGCTTGGTCAGAATTTCTTTTCACCAATAAATATGAAGTAATGTATCTTACGTATTGGAAATAGTGGGCGTCTCATCGATCTTGTTCTCCTGTTGGTAGAGCAGAAAAATATAGCGATGAAGGCCGGTGCCCTCTGGCGGACCGGAACCAACATAGGCTGCTAACGGATAGCCTTCGGATGGATTGATGTTGCTGCCCGGAATGTTGACAACAGCCCAGTGTAGGATTTCACGGTACTTGGGATCCTGACGAGTCGGAGCATCGGGATCCACCATAAGCAGCGTGACCAGGTTGGACTTTCCCTCGAGCCCAGACCAACTGACATTCGGCACATCCTTCACCTGGGTGGGGGTCAGCTCGTTGCCCTGCTTCACCTCAAGATCATCGGCGTAGGTGACCTGCACGGTGCCAGCGGGAACCGCATCCACAACATCCGGAACTATGTCATCCATGTTACGTGTAACGTGTCTGACGAAAAAGATGGACGATACCGCCTTGTCGCGCTCTTATCACTGATGACCAAGCCGGCTGGGTGATAACAAAGCAAAAGCTTCCCACTAACACAGCGGATGTCTTGCGGTTTTATTAAAATTTCCAGTCCAATTAATTAATATCTGAATGTTGAAACCACTCAAGGTTATCCGGCGCTGGCAACAGCTAACACCTATAAATAATAGTTTTATAGAGAGTGAAATAAAAAGGTTATCGCGGTGGGTAAACTGATTGGTCAGTGTTTCGACATTGATTTCTTTTCGATGGAAAATTGTGAAAAGCCCTTAGCCAAAAGCAAAGCTTTTATGCGTACTGGCATTATTTAGGCATTTTTTACTACAAACGCAAAGATCACTAAAAAAAATCTCTTTGAATTTGGTATGATGAGTCATAGCTTAAAACTAGTTTTTACTTCTTTGGGAATGATACAATTTCATATTTAATTATGTCCCAAAGAATTTAAAAACGAGTTGAGTTTGAACCAATGTGCACACCTGATATCAAAGACAGCACTTGAAGGTATCATAAAGTCATATATTGTTCATTTATGAGGGTGTAATGGTACCTTTTCGATTTATTACCTTAGGCCATCAATCTATCAGTACGATATTATGAAAGTCCTATAGAAAGTAGGAACTGAGCATACCACCAAAGAACAAAACTTCAATTTAGTATATATCATGCTAATTTATTAAACAATTCGAATATTATTAACACTTGAATATCAATATTGATAGCGCTGACAGAGAGTTTTGGTCTATTAAATACGCTTAGTTGCATTTATCGCCTTTGTTCTTTGCACAATGAAAATAATGATTAATATATATATTTATAATACGATAATACAAATAATAATTAGAGTTGTGAAAACGTGAGCGTGAGATTTGAGAGGCGTCCCGCGACGCATATAAAAACAACATAGTTTACAATTACATAGTAGGGGTAAATAATAGTACCTAGTGGTATGTCTATAGGGAACACGCCCCGCCCGCATAACCAGTGCTCGCGGAGGCCGTGTGTGCGGTATACGGCATATGGTGTCCGGGGTGGACCCGCTACTCGGGCATCCTCCGGACTTGCTGGAACTAATCTTGGAATACATTAACTGCTGGTTCAATTTGATTGAGGAAATACCAATAGATGCGGTAACACGTTCTCCATTCGTTTCGTTAAATTCAACTGTGATACTCTTGCTCCGTGATGGCGATGGTTGGCCGCCCTAGCAGCGCGTCTCGTAGAGTCCGCTACGTCCGATATAACGTACCCACTTGACCACGTCGTGGTCGGAGTAGTTCAGCTTGGGCTCAAACACCTTGAGGTAGCGCACCTTAAAGCCGGATGGCGCGAACGGCACCTCGAAGTTCATAGAGATGGGCGGCCGTGTCCACTTCTTCTTGGTGTCCGTCTCGAGCAGCTCGATCTCAGCCGAGAGCTGCGTCTCCTTCATGCCCGCCATGCGCTTGATCTTCCACACGATCGCGTTCTCCGAGGCCTTGTACTTGGCCTTGCCCTTCAGGCAGATCAATTGCACTCCCGACGTATTCAGCGGTGTGGGAATCTTAACCTCTATCTTCTGGCCCAGCAGCGAGGGCTTAAAGTTCGATTTAAGCACCACCTTGACCTCCATCTTGGTGCGTCCCACCTCGCGAACCAGCGGAATGACTCGGAATGGCAGCGAAATGTCTTTGGTGGTGCGGTAGCGCATCAGCTCAAACTCTCCGTCCGGCGGGATGAAGCTGATCGAGTGCTCCGTCTCGAATTTGCTTAGCTTGACACACTGATGGAACTGGCAGTCATCGATGACCACAACGGGTTTGCCGGAGCGTGAGGTTTCCGCCTCGGAGTTTCCGGAGAGGCCGCGTCCCTTGGACTCCATAACGATCTTGTCGTTGATCCCGAACTTGCACTCGGGCATGCCTGTGAAGCAGCATTGTTAACGGAACTCGTTTTTATATGGATTATCTCAACTTACCCGACAAATACGACTTCATCACTACCTTGCCCGCCACATGGGCGGACAGAACCTGACCCTGCGGACTCATCAGCAGGTTCACATACTCCAGGACGTCCAAGAAGAGCTCGTTGCGCCGGTACTTGATGCCCTCGCGACGCCAGCCAATCTGGCCGGTGACCTGCGAGGTGATCTGCATCTGCTCCTCCTTGGTGGCCGACTTGATGCCCTGCTGCGTGATGAAAGTCTTTAGGGTACCGGAGTCCGTGTTCTGCGGGTAGCCAAAGTCCAGAATTTCGTCGAGCAGCTCGTAGATGAGCACAAAGTTGTTCTTGATGTTCTCCTCGGAAATCTTGCCGAAGTACGACTGCATCACCTCGATGATCTTCAGCAGGAACTCGAACACCATGGCTGCGTTTACATTTTGCTTGGTCACAGCCGCCAGCCAAATGTTGGCCCGCTGTGGGAAGAGATTAAGCGATAAGAGGGATAGGGAATAGGATTGCGACTTGGAACACCCACCTTGATGTGGAAGAAGCTGGTCCGCGCTATGTTGGTCACTGGCGAACGGACTTGCTGGCGGGCGTGGATGACGTTGACTCGAAAGGCGTCCACGGCATTGCGACCGATGTCGTCGCGGTAAACTCGCGAGATTAGAACCTCGCCCTTGTGGTTGTAGACGAACAGGCCGCCGATCATCTTGTGCGCTTTCTGCTGGTTACTCTGAGTCGATCCACCTTTTTCTAACCTGAACGGGGAGTTTGCCACCAAAGGATTCGCACCGAGCTCCAAGCGAAAATTTTTATCAGAAAATCAATTTCACTCCCCTTTAGTGTGGCCGTTCGTGGAAGAATATGTACCGAAAGTTTTACGGTCACACGGTTATGTCGTTATGCGGTTATGACACGGCTTTAATATTGAACCCATATATTTTGCAGATTATAACGACTGTTAACAAACTATATTGTAAATATAGCTTTGTAAATAAAGGGCATAGGTTAAATACAACTTTTTCTAAGAAAGTCGAAAAAAATAACGTTGAAAGGCTATTAAATTAGATCCATTATGCACGGTATGGGAAAATATGTCGTGGAAGGAAATTATTTCTTACAAATGAAGTAAAACTGAAAATTTATACATTTTAGTTTCAATAAAAATTCAAAGACGCTAATCGTCAAAAAAGGACTTTAGTTTAAGTGCCGTATCGCTGCTTTAAAACATTTTCGCAGAATTCAACTTGAATTAAGAACTCAACTTACGAACTCATTACACATAGATAGATATTTTATTACCGAACGGAGCACTCTTAAGCATTTAAAGCAAAAAAAAAAAGCTATAAAATTATAATCGGTGGTGTTTACTGTAATGCCAAACAAATTATTTAAAATACAGTTTTTTTATTAATATGATTTTTAGCGGCAGTGTAAAAGGGCATTTCACAGTCCACAGCAATCGATAACTTACTCTCAAGTCTGGCAACGCCACAGCACAACCAACTTCACGTCGTACATGACTTTGCGGCTTTGACAAAAACAAAATCCAATTTTGTTAAGGAAAATTAACAATTTCTCTGTGTCAAACAAAGGCTACATCCATAAATACGATCACAATGCCCGCCGAAAACCTGGAGGAGCAGGGTCTGGAGAAGAACCCGAACCTGGAGCTGGCCCAGACCAAATTCCTGCTCACCCTGGCGGAGTACAAGCAGGATGCGGCCCTGAAGGCGAAGCTTCTGGAGGCGATTCGCACGGAGAACATGGCTCCGTGGTACGAGCACATCTGCACGGAACTCGGCTGGGCCGTGGACAAAGATCTGCTGGCGCGCATGAAGGAGAACAACCGCGTCGAGGTGGAACAGCTGGACGCGGCCATCGAGGACGCGGAAAAGAATCTGGGTGAGATGGAGGTGCGCGAGGCGAACCTGAAGAAGTCCGAGTACTTGTGCCGCATTGGAGATAAGACTGCGGCGGAGACGGCCTTCCGCAAGACCTACGAAAAGACCGTATCGCTGGGTCACCGCCTCGACATAGTGTTCCATTTGATCCGCTTGGGGCTTTTCTATCTCGATCACGATCTCATTACGCGCAACATCGACAAGGCCAAGTATTTGATTGAGGAGGGTGGCGACTGGGACCGACGCAACCGACTGAAGGTCTACCAGGGTGTCTACTCGGTGGCGGTGCGCGACTTCAAAGCTGCGGCCACCTTCTTTCTAGACACCGTCAGCACGTTCACCTCCTACGAGCTGATGGACTACCCCACCTTTGTGCGCTATACCGTTTACGTGGCCATGATCGCCCTGCCGCGAAATGAGCTGCGCGACAAGGTGATCAAGGGCTCCGAGATCCAGGAAGTGCTCCATGGCCTGCCCGATGTCAAACAGTTCCTTTTCGCCCTATACAACTGTCAGTACGAGAACTTCTATGTGCATTTGGCCGGCGTAGAAAAGCAGCTGCGCTCGGACTACCTCATTCATCCCCACTACCGCTACTACGTGCGCGAGATGCGCATCCTGGGCTACACCCAACTGCTGGAGTCGTACCGCTCCCTCACCCTGCAGTATATGGCCGAGTCTTTCGGCGTCACCGTGGACTACATCGACCAGGAGCTGGCCCGCTTCATCGCCGCCGGACGGCTGCACGCCAAGGTGGATCGCGTAGGCGGCATCGTGGAGACCAATCGACCGGACAACAAGAACTGGCAGTACCAGGCCACCATCAAGCAGGGCGATCTGCTGCTCAACCGCATCCAGAAGCTGAGCCGCGTGATAAACATCTAATGTAGTTCATATAAAAAGGTTTATTCAAATTCAACATTTATTACAGTGTAAAGCTAACGCAACGTACAATAATAAAAACGATATAAAAACTCATGGAAATGCTCTAGTGGATTGTACGTTCGCTTATGTATTAACTAAATTCTTTGGAATTGTTTTGGTCACGCCGTCTTTAGTGTATTTGAGTATTATTGCAATCATTCCATGTTTTGTACTTAACTGTCATTGGACCTGCTATTTAAATGTAAGCCTAAGCATCACCCTCCCCCTTCTCCTTCCACGACGGCTCCTCTTTGGGATCGTGGGCGTGGCTGTGGCCGGATTCGCTGCCCGGGAAGGCGATTGAGGGCTTGTTGTTGGCCATGAAAGTGCGTGCCATCTCCTCAAGCACCGCCGAGGATCGGAGTCCGCAGTCGAGCGGCTCCTCCATATCCTGCGCCCGCTGCCGCTGTTGTTGCTGATGATGCTGCTGCTCCGCCGATGCCTTGGCCGCCATTTCGTGCAGATTCTGGACCATATCGTGGATGGGCGAGCCCTGGGCCAGAATCTCCGGAACCATTGGGAGGGAAACCACCCCGCCCATATTGTGGCGCCGCATATCCGCCAGTCGAGTCGTGCTCATGTTGATCAGGGCGTTCATCATCACCTTGTTGCGCTGGTAGTCCTTGCGCAGGTGCTGGCGAATTTCCGTGTGGCAGTGCTCATTGTTGGTGACGATGATCTCGCCGGTGTCCGTGGTGGTTACGCGCGCCTTGCAGTTGAACTTGCGCGAGAGGTTGCACTGCCAGTACTTCTTGTCCTTGCGCACGTACTGGATGCCAAAGGTGTGTCCGTCGTGGACCAGCAGCGGCTTGCCCCGCTGGCTCAGCATGAACTCCAGCTTGCCCTGGAACCAGTGCTCGCCGGGTGCGACTAGAAGGACGAGAAGGCTGGTGAGGATCGGTTCGGGTCTGAGGCTGCTCCCTCGGTTGGTAATGTTTTCTTTTGAATGCCAGGACATACACGAATGAGCCCAATTATGTGTGTTTATGTGTGTCATGCAGGGTACTTACCTGCTAGGTGGTAATATAAAGTAGAAATCCCTTTGGACCTGATATTATAAGTTCAATACATCACATTAAATATTAAATGCTGTTAAATATTGCTATCTTATTATATCAGATCCAAAATGCAATTAATTCTATCTTATGAATATAAAACCTATTTCTATTTGGTTAGTGGCTGGCCATTGGAATACCCATTGATATACGCACAGGGCCACGAAACATATCCAAAATTACTCTGGTTAGCTTAATCTGGGATTCATTTCACAGCGCCCATTAGTACTTTTTGGTTTATCGTTTCGCAATAGTTTATCAAATACATTATGCACATCGGTAAGGGTATTTACATTGGTTACTCTCTCTCTCCTTTTCGAATCAAATTCAATTTTCTACTACAAACTCTAGCTAGTCAAAAATAATAAATTACTCCTCGGTTTTCGGGGGCAGTGTGGCGAGGGGGATTCCCCGGCGACAGCCTTACATGTTCTCCATCTTGAAGCTGTGCCTGGTGTTCGGGGATATCGTAACTGAGTTAATCACGTGCGCTGTGCTGGGATCAGTGGATCCCTCCGTGGCTCCTTCTTGCTGCTGCTGTTGGTGTTGTTGCTGCTGCTCCTCCACAGGTTGTGGTGGTGGACTCTGGGCCTGCAGGGAGTGGCTGCTGCGGTTAGATTGCGGACTCTGCTGAAGGTGCGCCGGCGAGAGGAGCACTGCTCCCGATCCCGAGCCACCTCCCAGTTCGAGATTGTGCTGCGGTGGAGGAGGATTGTGTGGCGAGTGTTGTTGGTGATGTTGCTGTTGGTGGTGCGTCTGCGTCTGCAGGTGCATCAGATTCGGATTGTGCATGAGGTTTGCAGAGGCGCCATGCTGATCCATGTGCGGCGGCGCCTGGTGATGCTGCACCAGGAGATTCGGCAGCGGCTGTCCCAGGTGGTGATGATGATGCGGGTGGTGCGGCGTCGATGTCACTGGCAGTGGAGGTGGCGGAGGAGGCGGTGGAGGCGTTTGATTGGCAAACATGTTGCTCACTCGGTTGCCATGCTGCAAGTCCGTGCCCAGGTGGCCACCACCATCCGTCAGAGAGTAGCCCGCCTGGATGGGAATCGGAGCAGAGCCAGAAGGTGTCCCAGAAACTGAAGACGTTGAAGCTGCCGAAGATCCCTGACCGCCGCGCATATGAGGTGTATGGTTGTGAACGCCCGTGGCCGAGATGATCCTGCCCAGGTGGGTGATGCACCTCGCCCGACACATGCTGATCCGGTACGACTTGCACAGCCAGTAGGTCTTCATGCCCTGCTGCGTGGCCACCGTGTTGTTTCGGTTGAACACGCAGTTGCCGTGCAGCAGCGAGGTGGTGGACAGCATCACCATGTTGCTGCCGCCTGCTCCGGACAATGGTGGATCATTAGTGGTCAGTTCTTCGCTGTATAGCGCTCGAAAGGTTTTATTTACAAGGGAAAAGGGCGGGGCAAGCTTTTTAATAGTGGGGAGGAGTCATACCCCTCCTCCTCTTGGAAAATGTGATTGGGTGTGCGTGTTTTTGATACTGTGCGTTTGTAAGGCGTTAGAAGAATTAGGTTTATGAAGCAAATAACTGAAGTAGTTCTATCTTGATACATGGTTATGTGTGAGAACTAAGAGGCACTACTAAAGGTGTCTTAAATGCAGTTTAAGAAGGAATCAAATTGTCAAGTAATCAGTGAACCATAAAATATTTCCTTTAAATTGTTTCAACAACTTTTTTAAATGATTTTATCCGCAAAACAACTAGTATTTTAATAACTTTTGAAAAAGAATGAGAATCTAAAACGATTGCAACCCCTTGAAGCCTACCAGTCTGCCAGATCGATTGAACAACTGGATTCCGCGGGCAATCAGAGATATCTTTGTTTATCTAACTATACCTTCAGTTCAAGTGCTTCTGCTTAAATCTTTTAACCCAGTTAAATCAGCAAATATCCCTCTACAATCAACCGTGGCTGTGTTGTGTTAAGTGCTATTCGGTTCCATTCCTGGTTAAATGCAATGTGGTCAGTGGGCTAGTGGGTACGTGGGATGAATGATGATGTTATGTGAGCCGAATGATGGATGCAAATCAAAACCCAATCTTAGAACGAATAAAATAATAAATAAAAATGAGTGCCAAGCTACATGCAACAGAAAAGTGATCAAAGAGTGCCAAAGGCACGTATATGAAGGCCACCTACTTTGGGGAATGTCCATGTGGTTGGCAAAGTTCTTGGAATAATCGTTGGGCATGTACAGCTCGTTGGGGTACTCAGTGCCTGAGCCGAGACTCACGGATCCATTGTTGTTAATGCCTCCGGGGCCGCCGGAATTATTGGAACTGCCGCTGGGCCCGCTGTTGTTGCCGCTCTTGTAGAAGTTGTAGTTGTCCAGATTGAAGGCCGGTGGGAAGGGATTTCGAATAGGCGCAGAGGAGGAGGCCGAGGAGGTGAGGCTGCCCACGCTGCCCGAACTTCCGCCACCGCCGCCCGACGAAGGCCCATGATGGTGACCATCCGATTCGCGCTTCAGACCTCCGAGATCGTAACGCGGTTCTCCCATTGTAATGTGCGGAATGGGTGGCATGAAAAACTCCTCGGCATTCAGGCTATTGTCCATTCCCGCTGCACTATCCGCATTCTCGCCTCCTCCGCCTTCGCTTCCGCCGGATCCATGATCCTTGAGGGAGCGCCTCAACTGCTTACCCGAGTAAATGGACAGGGAATCGCTGCCGAAATCTGAAGGCATCGGACGTTTGTGGGATGTGTAAAGGTGGCTGGCTTCGCTGGAGGCTCTGCTGGCACCGCCTGGCGAAGTGGTCCTCGCATTGCTCTGCCCCTTGGACTCATTGTGATCTGCTTCTGTTTTGCTATTATTATTGCTATTAGAGTTGGAGTTGTGATGGTTGGTGCTGTTGGTATTGCTGTTGTTTGATTCTTCTGCTGGAGGCTGACTAGAGGACTTCTCGGAGGCACTCGATCCCGGCGATGAGTTGGAATTGGTGGCCAGACCCTTGATCTGCAGCAGTTGGCCAATCTTCATGAAAGACTGCAGCTCCGTGTGCTTTACATTTACCACTCCTTGGTACATGAACTCCAGCAGCTCCATCATAATGTTGAAGCTCACATCTTTGAGTATGACTATAAGAGATAAGGCAATTAAAAAAAATAATTAATGTAAATATTTCTTTCCTCGAACTAATAATCTAATGCCGGAAGCTTGACATAAACTATTAGGTCATTTGGGATTTTTAAGTCTTAATAAATTTTCTAAAGAGATACTCAGTTTCGATCTTTGGGTAAACCCCAATGGATTTTTGAAATTACCAAAAGTGATTTAGTCAAAATATTTACGAATATTTTAATTGCCTTTCTTTTCTTTAGGGGAATTTTGTTTGTTTGGACAGATTAAGAACACCTTTTATGATTTTTCCCTCCCAAAATATTATTCCACGTAATTGCTTGTTTACATAAACACTTGGAACGACAATAACATCAGTACGAAAGGAGGTCAAATTTGTAGTTGAGATGTTATCATCGAAACGCTGAAATACTAAATCAATACATAAAAGCAGCTATGATAAGAAATCTGAAAACTTAAATATAAACTCAACAACAGCAACGCAGTAGCACACAATAATTATAAAATAAGTAGCCTGACATATCATCGGCGTGCTTTCGACACGGCCTAAGAAGCTGTGGAATAGTCCGGGATTCAAATACGATTCCATTCACGTTGGTGCGGATCTGTTATCTCAAGGGTGGTTTGAGATCAGGCCACATTAGTTTTAATATTTAATGGGGACCATGAGAGTAATAAAATTGGTTTTTTTCATTTGGAAGTATTTCAACGAGACTTCTCAAATTTGTTTTAGAGATGGATTTAATTACATTGTTCTCCTAGTTTTGGAATAGACAGAAATCGAGGAGTCAATTGTCAAGAAAGCATTTTCGTGAGATTACAATAAGTTTTTAAATAAAATTCAAATGGGTCATGTTAAAATGATAAGTCATCAGATAGACTTGTTTAAGAACGTATAATTTCTAAACTAACATTTTATTAATCATATTTTTTGTAACTAGTAAATAAAATTATTTTGCGTTCAAATAATAAAGAGAATATCAGAAATTAATTTTAGTACTTAACCCTTTTCAAGGAACTAGGCTTGAACGTTTCTTTCGAGCGATTTATTAAACTTTGCTGATCTAAATCTGATCCTTATCAGCACTCTTCCATCCCCCCTGCCCACTGTGCCTCTCCCTCGCAGCATCAACATCTAGTTAAAAACAATATTATCTCTTGTTCTCAATAACAATTTTATTACACAAACGGGCATACATAAATCGCGAATGTACGGCTGTATGTAAATACAATATTAAATCGCCGATCAGCAACAGACAAGCTCGGTTGCTTAATCTGACCGTGCGCCGACATCAATTGTGCCCTATCATTTGCCGTAGTCGTCATTACGGATCGTTTTGTCTCGCCTATCTATCTATCTGCGCCTTGGAATGTCCGTATTCGACCGAGTGATCGCATGGCGAAAGATCAAAATCCGGGCAATATATTGCTCCAGGGGTACAGTACACACATCGATAGATGTTGATGCCAGATAGATACGGAATCACATATAGGGAGCAGTCAATACTGAATACTATTTGCCTTACTTCTCCGTGCTCCGAAACACAGATACATCCCATCGCGGGAGATAAAGACTGGCCGTGGATCAAGACAAAGAGATCCATACACGGCATTCTCTCGAATCAATAAACCATTTATGAGCCCCGATTGTAGATAAACTCTGTCTAAAGTTCACGGAAACGTGATAAATCCGTGTATGCTGCTGATAAGAAGACCGAATGTACCCAAAAGTCTGAATCGAGCATCTCCGCAGAGCCCAGATCATCGCTTCTCGATCGTTCATTGCTTAAATGTATGCCATATACACCAGGGGCATTAAATGGGCGCCTGACCCGCAGTGATCTCCGCTGATATCAGAGTGGCCCGTAAGTAGATCGAGGGTTTTCAGAATGGGGGGACTGGGCTGGGGAACTGCAGCGATATCTTCCTTGGCTCGTTTTTGATTTGTTTCGGGCTCACAAGATCACGCCCACTCCAAACGCTTCCACCAATCGGATCGCAGGCGATCGATTTCGAAAACAGTTTTATTTTATAATTATGATAAATGTTTATCGAATCAGAACGCCAATAGGTTCGCTGTCGTAGAGCCGTCGGGCTTGACGACATTTCATTTTGACAATGTCGTCGCACGAACATTCATAAATATTTGTTATCTCCAAACGCCATAATAGTCGAGTAGTCGAATCGAATCGTCGTGCTGGTAGTAGTACAACCTGATAAAAACCAAGAAGCCCAGCGACAGGCCCAGCCAACCCAGCTGGTTATAGATTCCGATACCTCCCTTTCCCGCCCAACTCTTTTCGAAAATAAATCTATTGCCAATGTCTCCAAGAAGCCGAAATGACCAGGGATTAGCCCAGCTTAGCCGATTGCCACGTCTATTTGCGACTACTGGCTACTGGCTTCTGGCGGGCCATAAATTACGAATTGTCAACACAAATGGCCAATAAAAGCATTTATGAAATTTCATATGCTCAAAGTCAAAGTTTGATATAATATGAAGAGACCATAAAGTGCTCATTTCCTAAACGTAAACACCTACCAGCTCAATCGATTGGGTAAGGCCAGAAGCGGAAACCGTAGAAGGGTTTTAATAAATTCGATAATACAAAAAGATTCGCACATTAAGTGGCTTTAAAAAATTGTCCTGAATTTTACCCTTACATTAAACTTATAATATAAATCGTTATATTATAAAAAAGACTTTCCTAATGTGGCATCTTTAGTACTTCTTTTAACTGAAGAAACATAGAAAATATCGAAGTTACAATTTTACTTGGATAATTCTGAGTTGTATTTAAAAATGACAAGTTAGCTTTAAACATAGCAAAAGAAATAGTTTTTTTAGGACAAAGGTACAAAATATATTTATTCCGATATGCAAAAAATGAAATAGAAACTTATTGGTATTAATTTTTTTTTTTCCATTTTTTGATTATAATAAAATAAATTTTAAATGATTCTAATTAAACATTTTATATTTATAATACAAATGTAATTGCTAAGAAAAATATTCAAATATTTTAATGTTTTTTTATTTTTAATACCAAAAAATGCCTACTTATACAAATCACTGCCCCTCGATCATGGCACAATTCACTTAGATATTCTGTAGTTTCATGGCAATTAAAGCACTTTTGATAATCTACAGCAAGCTTATAACTTCGAAACAAACAAATTAAAGATTACGCCGTTTGAACTCAAAGTCCAAAATGGTCAAAAATGGATTAATTTGGCGCAAAAAATAGTGAATCCCTCCATAAAAATTGTTTACCCCCTCTGGAGCGAAAATAAAAAAAACACAACGTCTTTGCTTTAGTCACGATCCGGCAATATATTAATAACACAGGGTTTTTAATATTTACGACAAGTCCCCCGATCGATATTATATTATCTTCCCCAACCGGACCGTTTATGGCTGGTAAGCAACCGCTGGCTAAATGCGATCGCCGTGGCTACTTCAAATCGGGAGTGGCAATGGTTACCGAGCGAGGGGGATGTGGATGGGGATGGGGAGTGACTTGGACCTGGTTCTTGGAGAGGCCCAATATCACACATGGCACATGCTGCGGGTGTCTAAGTGCGTTATCTAACGAGCAATAAGTTCAAAATCTTATTTTACGATCAAGAGTGATACCCAGTGGTAAAGTGGTTGGCACTAAACGCAAGGCTGATAAAACACTGCCCCCATACGATGTCCGTCTTGTTTATGCCAATAATAAATAGATAATTTTTGAGGATTAGCATTGTATTGGGACTGTGACTGGGTTGTGGGCCGGGTGGGCCGATATAACCACTTGGCCGGACGGAGTGGATTGATTTACACGGCCGCAGCAGCGGAAACACGTACATATATCAGCCATGCGAAGCTCTCTAATCAATATCTCGAAAACTAAAGTCTTCGAGTGGTTGGACGGGGAGGGGGTGTACAGGGACCCAGTTGCTCAGTTGGGCAATAAATGATTGTTAAACGCGATAAAAAGATAAAAATATTTAGACTATTGTTGTCGCTGCGTGTTACACTCCGACAATGGGTAGACACATAAAGCAACATCGAGACCAAAAGCAACCAGAGCCATTTGGCTTGTTAGCACCTCGATGACTGTTGTTGGTTGGCTTTGGCTTGTTCGCTGGTCTATATTTAATAACTTGCCCCCGCTTGCGTTCAGCGTTATTTATAGGGTATATTAATATTCTTTATCTTTGGAAATACCTCTTGTAGCAGCGTTCGGTGGGTAGGTAGCACCTTTCTGCTGCTACTTGAAAAGATAAAACCTTATTTTTTATGACCGCCTGATCAGATAAAGCCACCGTGCAGCAGGCAGTCGTGTTCAACACGTCCGCGAACGAAATCGAACGGACCGACCAGGAGGGTCGCCCGGCTCGGCGATATCATATCCATATACCATATAACACCACCGTTCTAGAGTCCATTTGAAGTACATTTGATGAGGTCAGCAACGCACCCAATCTCCCCGATCCGATCGAGCGCAAAAGTGGGCCTCTGGTGGCTCATGGACCTTATCACGGTGCATACTCCCGTGCGTGGCGTGGGTAAACAATGTGAGTGTGCCCCTGGAGGCAGAAGACTCCTGCAGCTACCACATAGCCATAGACAACGTGGCGGCAACCGGCTCACTGGAGGATTATCACCAGACCTCGATTCTTTGTGGGTTGCTGCTGTTTGCCTTTAGATTTACGGACAGCAAAATCATCCTACAGTCGAACTCCTATGATTGAAACACTAACTGTAGATAAGAAACTTTAAGCTAAAGTTAAATAACAACACTTTGTAATAAACTTGAGCTTGTGTTCTTGGACTTTGGATTGGGAAATAAAAAAATTTCTGAATTCTAAATAATTATTAAAAATATTTGAGTATTAAATAAATATTATAAATTATTTAGTTGTCGTTTAAGAACATTTTGGTGTATTAAAATAAATTGATTACTCTGATGAAATTTGAGTTAGGTGAATTTTAGTTAAAATTTAATTCAACGAACTTATAGGTGAACAAAAATGCATCATTATCTTACATATTAGTAAGGAATTTCTGGACTTGGAAATTCCAAAATATACTAAACTATGGCTAGTTTGACTCTAAGTCAAGTGGTTTTATAGATGTGCCACTGTCGCACTGGAGCAGACCCTTCACGTGCTACCGTGGATGGGACTCCGACTGGAACTCGGAAACGAACTGGAGGTGGAGCTGCGCTGATAACCGCCCAATGTGTCATGGAATTAAACACAAAGGTTGATTTATATCTAAGCATTTGACAAGAGTGACGAACAGACAGGCTGACGGGCGGGCTCCTCGATAAACTGACACCTCTGTCCCAGTGATAAACTGACCGATTTCTGGAGGATTCGTTTACTTATTTTGGAAATCTTCATATGTATGGCAAGGCCAAGGAAAAGCGAAGACAATGTAACAACTAGCGATAGAATATCCGTATAATACAGCTTTAACAGACCAATATGACTAGGAATAGGTGACACATTGTCTTCTCCATTAAGCATATACATTTGTATTCAATGGCTAAGAAAAACAGAAGTGTAAGAAATATTCGAATAAGACCCCATTCTCTGATATTAGCTGATCAATTTGCAAGGGAATAGGTGATTCGGTTCATTGAGTAACTCAATGTTCTATTAAAGGTAAACATATGTAATACGCAAATAGATTGTGGAAAATGTAAAAACTTGCTAATTTGGGAAGTCGCCGTGTGCTTCATATTAATGGAATGACCAAGAAAACTTAAGACAATGTAGCATGTATTTGTATAAGACCCTAATCCCTGACATTAGCCGACCAATTTGTAAGGGAAGAGGTAGGAACTCAATGTTTTATTAGAAATGTACACATGTATGGCGTCAAAACTGGCTACTTTGTGGGGAATAGGCGGCTCATTGAGGAAGTTGTCGCGTGGACTCGACTTGGGTCATCCATATGCACGATGCAAACAATGTAAGACGCGCCGTATATCTTTGCATTTTTAGTTAGCACACAGCGGTCGCTGGCTAAATTGGACAATCAGATGACCAGATGGCCGAGACTGGGGCTACTCACTGATGGGATGCTGGCAGGGATTGGTGGTGAAGATCTCCTGGAAGTAGGGGCTGCAGATGGCCAGCACAATCTTGTGGGCCTGGAGAAGCTTCCCGTCGCAGGCGAGGGTCACGTCCACCAAGTCGCCGCGGTCGTACAGATTCTGGAAGCCGCTGGCTATGTTGTCCTGGAAGTTCTTCCAGCACAGCTTGAACTCGTCGTCCATGGCGGTTGGTTCGCCGTTCGCCTGGGGAAACTCTACTTTTCCACTTCCGGATAGTAATTTATGAGCACAGACGACTTCTTCGATTCTCGTGCGAATCTGTTTTTTATGGCTTTTGTTTATCCGCTTTGCTCGTGATTCGTTCACCGGCCAAAAATCACAGGTCACGGATTCTCCCGCACACTGCTACTTATTTTTATTTTAGTCAAAAGCGCTGCTTAATCCGCGTTCACGCGCACACGATCTCGAGTCGTTCGCGTCTACTGGCGCATTGATTTTGATTTGGACTCTAATTAACACAGTGTGATTTAAACATTTTTATCGGAAAGCGTGAAAAGCAGCGACGCTGTTTACGTTCCGGCTGATAATGAACGACCCTCCCCGCAACACACCCCTGTGTCCACTTTTGGGGAACAGTGACGACTAGGCGATTCGGAGAGAACGATGAACGGCCACACTGGCAGGTGGTAAACAATTGGCAAGTTTTAATGGGTGTTTCTGAGCTTTAAATCTCAATTTCACTATAAATAATAGTAGTATAATGTATATATTGTATTACCGTAGAATCAAGGAAGCATTTCCTCAAAATGAAAATTAATATAAGGTATTCAATTAGCCAAACTTTGTAGTACAAATATTGTGCAGATTACTAAAATCTTTTTAAATAAATCAATTTAAATTGGTCAAATTTGCTTCGACTTATCAAAATAAAAATCCGTTTATATATTCTATACACTGGTATTTTTTTTTAAATCAAGAATATGAAATAGGCTTCATAAAAACGTAAAATCTGCTACACAACCAAAAATATTCAGTGAATAATTTTGAACTCTGTTTACTTTACTTGAGAAATTCAAAAATTATTTTTTAATTTTAAATGTAAGTGAATGAGACCTTCTTATATAGTTTACAGGAAAAAAAGTTTTTTCCCAAAATAAGCTTAAATATAATGATTATGATAGGAACGATATTTTCAAAACTTTCGCGGTCTATGGTGGAGCGATAGGTTAATCGAGACAAAATTCGATTAACGATTTAACTTAACAATTGAATTTTTAGCGCCAACTATAAAGCTTTAAAAACGGTTTGGCCTGATAAGCGCTTATCTTAATTGGTTTGTTGGTCGCTGCGTGCCGGTTATATCCGACTATCCAAGTGCGCTTTTGCAATAGTTCGGAGCTCTTTTTCACCTAGCTTATGCAGCCGGTGGGGAACTACAGTTTGATAGCAGACCTGCGCCCCATGTTCATAAATAACCCACTTTACATTTTAAACAAAAAGAGAATAAAAGTAACAGCTACGCTTATCAATGAGCCATGAGTCGTTTGCACGCCACAGGTGCACACATACGCATTCCCAGTCAATTGGCCACCGATTTGATTTGCCTGATTTAGTGCTCCAAGAACTTTCGGCAAATTGGCCCACTCGCCTCGAGAATAAGTCAAGAGTATACCATAATGGGTTGTTGTTTTAGTAAGTGATTTACACATATCTGCATAAACAAGAGTGATTAATAAATGGAATGCGTTTACAGGTACGAGTAAATCTGTTGATTTGCCACCAGTTCCGCCGACTCCGGGAAAACAGCGCTCCACCTTGCCGGAATTCCCGGTTTCCGGATCGGTGACCACCACCGCTCCCGGAGGATATGGATCTGGGGCTGGAGGAGCCACCAACGCGGGCCTGGAGGACGACTAAAACCCGGTTAAATTAACCGGCATACGATTACGTCGAGGGGAAAAAGCGAAAATTGCCAAATGGCAGATTGGATAATGAGTCACACGATCGTGCAGACTGCGGATGAACCAAAATCGGAGGCCCTTTAGTTATAAATATAGTAAAAATTCGTTCTTTATTGTTTGACAAAATAAGCTTAATGCTAAATTAAATAAAACTTTAACCATTTTGAATAAGTAGCTGTTTTTGTGCTAGTTAGCATTCTAAGTGCGCGCCAAACGCGGCATTTTTCAACACTGAAGGAAGAGTGGTATTTGACAGTACTTTAAAAACAGCCACACCATTCTCCGCCAGCACGTGTGTGCGGTTGTTTTTTATTTAACTTTTATTTATAACGAACTGTACGATAAATAGGGAAATATTAAAGCACTATGGCCATACAACCCAACCGGCGGAAGAGGAAACACGAGGAGGCGGATGCGGAACAGCAGGACGAAGGCGAGGTGGCAGTGCCCAAGAAACTGCCCAAGGAGTCCGACACTCCAAAGAAAAAGAAGAAAAAGTCTAAAACAGATGAAATCCAGGTGGAAACCACGCCGGAAACAAAAGAAACCGAGTCTGTAGACTCCACACCTTCAAAGAAAAAGGTAAGGAAGCCCAGAACCCCCGTAAAAAATGAAGAGCAACAGGTGGAAATGGAAGTGGAGGAATCTCCGTCTGAGAAACATAAAAAACAAAGGCATGAGCAGAAGGATGAGGATGAAATAAGTCCAGATTCGGGGATTGAACCCGAAGAGACAAGGATACGATTTCCCAACGATTTCAAGATGATGCATTTCCGCACCAAACTCCGTAGCAATAACTTTATAACAGGTGGGTAAATACGATTAAAAGTAAAAGATCTTCTGACCCATTTAATAACTCATCCCAGAACTGCGGCACTTCCTCTTCATGTGCTCCACCAGCCGTCCCAAACTGGCGGCCAAGTACATAGAGAAGCGCGGAAAACCCTTGGAACTGGTCGAGGCCTTCGAAAGGATCGACAAGAGCAATCTTCTGCACGTGGACTACCTCACGGAGGCGCTGCATCGGGTTGTGATGGAAATACTCACCAACCAGAAGAACCACATGGAATCGGCTGCTCATGGCTGCCGCTATTTCCCTAAAGGTCCACGGCGGAGTGCTCGAGAATCTGCTGCAATCCTCGCGACCAAGTCATCGACGCAATGCACTGAAACTGCTGACGGCCATCGTTTGCGTAGAGCCCCAACTAGGTCGCCAGGTTCTAAACTCCTACGATGTCCTCTCTAACGTGACGGTGATGCAGCAGATGCTGTCGCATGCCAAGAACGATTACCAGAACGAGGACACAGTGCGCAAGGCGTATATACATTTTATTCTGGCCTTCCTGGTCGAGGGCAACACTCTACTTATCCGTAACATCCTGGACCGCGGTCAACTGATTGGCGTGCTGGCCAAGGGGTTGGTCTACGATGATCATGTAACCGTCTGCGTGGTGCTGAACGCCCTAAGGCAGTATGTGCTTGAGAACCCTGACATACAAAAGACCAAGAAGGTGCTGGTGTTTGATTTGGAGTGCTGCAAGAATCTGCGGCGCCTTTACGACTGGGAGGGGCCCGTCGGGCTCTCCGTTCTGTTCAACAATGAACGTAAGAAGGTGAAGCAGCCTCCGAAGCCACAGGAGGCGGAAGCCGTATCTGCGGCTGTTCACGAACTGCTATTGGTCCTACTTACTTCCCGCAAGCACGGCGTCTGCTTCGATGCCATGACCCACTACCGACAGAAGCAGAACAAGCTACAAGGCAGATTACTCGGTTCTCTGTACAAACCATTCGATAATCCACGCAAGACGGAGCTGGTCATCCAGACTCTAACAGCCTGCCCTGACTTGGGACGCAATACCGTGAGGAATTTCTCTAGCCTTCTCAGTCCAGCCAGGAACAAGATGGAGGACGTGCCCAAAGCTGCCATTTTCTTGTCCCAGGTCATTGATGCCGTTCCGCCAAATGCTCTTTCAACTGCCTTTGACAAGATGACGCTTACAGATTTCGGATTTTGGATTAAGCAGCTGTGCCTGCCCATCGAAGCTTTGTTGCACATCACAGGCAAAAAGTTCCTAAACGACACTCAATTCCCTTTGCGATTGGCAGTGATACGCCTTCTGCTGTCTATGATGAAGCAGTACAGCAATTACGTGCATGCCATTGCTGTCCGTGAACAGTCGAAAAAGGCCGGTAACTCGTTGCGTAAATTCAAGTTCGATTTGCTGAACCATCTGCTAGTCCACTTCCCCACCATCGAGTCTGTTCTGTACTCGCTTTTCCTTACCATTAAGCAGCAGGAAACGGAGGAAGTGCTAGAGTATTTATCGGTTACCTTAGACCTGGTGCTGCTCATGTGCAAAGAGAATCGAGCTTTTGTGAACAGGACAAGTCAAATTTTGGATTATTTGGATGTTTTGCGACCGCTATACCAGACTGACTTTGATAATCTAAATAAACCGCAAGAGCGTTTTAAGATTCAACTGGAGTTGAAGTCGATTAAAACTATCCTTTTGCTGTTCCCGCGCTCTTTAAACCCTCAGGAAGACCTCTTTGGCAAGGTATTCCAATCGTTCATAAAAGCGTACATGCTGGAGGATGTGGCCATCAAGTCAGAGGCTGGCAACATATTGAATCGCCTGTTTCACAACACAGGACTGTTTGATTCCTGCAGCCACGAGATCAACATTTGGGTAGAGGCACTCATAGGATTTAATGCGGAAACGGTGACTAATGTGGTGGATATCCTTCTGGCAGTACTCTGCTTGGATTGGAGGCAGATACAGGTCCCGGAGCTAAGCGTTGCCGAATCGGCCACTAAGACCAAAAATTTAAGCAAACTGTTTGCCCAAATCGAACAGGGTCAAACAGTGCAGGCTTATGTGGAAACTCTGACCCTGAGCAAGATGATGCCTCTGCTGCTACAGGGTGTGGAATTGGAGAAACCCTACGACGCCTATGTAGAGCTAGTATTTTTCCTGCTCTTCCACTACCACAGCAAGCCGGAGCAAGTGCTGCAGCTTTACGAGGATAACTTAGTGCAGCACACTTCTTACATGAAGAGCTGGTTGCCTGGCAGTTCATACGAGCAGCCAAAAAAACTTCCATCATTCTTCGCCGATAAGTGGCCCCTGCTGAACCAAATGCGCAAGGGTGTCAGCAATAAGAATTCCCAGACCTTCGAACAGATATTCAAAGTGGAGGAACAGGACAAGAACTTTGAGCTGCAACTGGGCGAGGGACAGACCATGTTGTTGCACCCCAGCCTCAGCAATCCTCGACGCAACATGATCTACGTTCAGGATCTGCTCTTTGTTTTCAGCTATTTCTACACCAGTGCGCGATTAAGAAGAGCGCAAGCAGAACTCATAGCAGATTATCTAATCAAGTTCCTCCAAATCGCCAGCCAAGTGAATGATGGCAAGGAAGAGGTGCAAGAGGAAGAAGACGATCAGCAACAGGACGAGACATACACTCAGAGTCTGCTGCACTACATCTACAACATTCGGCTGTGGCAATTGCATCCCACAGAAATGCTGAGCGAAACCAGCGAGACTCGATTGAACTATGTTATTTTCCTTAGGAGACTGACGGAACATTGCCGTAGTTTGCCTCGATTCGAGAACTATACTGCAAACTACCGGCTACACCTGGTTAAGACCCTGGATATTGCTTTGGATACTTCAGTGGAGAAACTGGAACCTCAACAGCAACTTGTTGAGTGTGTGGCCCTGGTGGATTCATTTGAATTGACATCTAGTCAGTGTTCCCAAATGCTGGACTTGCTTACTACCAAAGTGCAAGCAAAGGATTTCATCCCAAACAGTAAACCAAATCATTACTTTGATCTACTGCTTCGCTTGCTGGGACGATTGACCACTCTGAAAGAGCCCATCGATTGCAGAAAATCGTTCAAGGAGCTCCTGAATTTCTACAAGGACTTCTGCGAGCTGAGCGAACAACATTTGGAACCTTTGGAGGCGGCCATTCTGCAGTTCTTACTTAGCTACCATCATCACCTGACAGAGTGCGATAGCGACTTCTTTGCGTGTTTCTTTACATCCTCTCGAAAGCTAAGCAAATCCGCAATACGCCTGGCCAGTTTACTACTCGAACGCCAACCCAGATTGGCAGAGAAATTTGCGGAACTGTTGCCCAGCAATTTGGAGCAAAAGGAACTGGTGTATCCCCTCCTGGATATTGCTTTGACCAAGAACTACCAACTACCTCAACCAGTGCTCCAACGTTGCTATCAGACATACAAAAATGGCTTCATGAAGAGCATCGAAAAGCCACAAAAGGCAGCTTTAATCTACCGTGAGCATCCGGAGGCAAGTGCCCTGCTCATTGCGCTTTGCATGCCCAAGTCCGAGTGCCTGGATTACTGTCAGAAACAGCTCAAACTGGACTCCGTGGAGCTCTTCCAGGTGCGAGTTTTACGGGAAATCTACTGGCAAGCTTTTGCTGCTGCCAAGGATGCCAAGCAAAAGGCTACAGTCTTCGTAAATTACATAAACCTCAACGTCCAACTGCTGGCTCTGGATTTAAAGAAACAGGCTTTGGATCTGCCCAAGCTGGAGCAAATATCTTGGAACTGTTACGAGTGGTGGGAGATGAATCAGGATAAGGATCTACCTCTAGATTGGAGTCGCCTACTGAAAAACCCGCAGTGGCTGAACTTCTGCAAGAGCTGCTTGAAGTTGGCCCTTCATCTCGGTCCGGAACGACAGCCGCTTCAGGATGAAACCAATGGACTGGTGCTGAAGCTAATGGCCTTCCTGTGCAATGGCATGTATGAGGATTATCAGGAGGATGCTCAGCAGGAGGAGGATCCCACGCCAGCACTGCTATACGAAATGATTTGCACGCATTCCTGCTGCTTCGATCATCTCTTGGGCAATCAGAGCGAAACCAAAACTCATCTCCTACAGCTCATGGAGGCACTGGCCAGGAAGGCACCCAGTGCCCTCCAGTCCGCCCACATACCCGTGATTCTGGGCTCTTACCATGCGAAACTCTCTTCCGCAGATCGTTACGGACTAGCTCTGCTGGAGCACTACGAACGATTCGATGTTGGCTTGGATAAGTTCAGACCCTTTATTTGGGGAGAAAGTGCTGTGGCCCATTATGCATTAAGAGCTGCCGACGAGGATGAGCGAGCACGGTTGCAGCAGCAGGAGACGAACGTGGCCCAGGTGCTGGCCCTGATTGTTCGGGAGACCAGCGAGTACACCATTGAGAATTTCCCGATTTGGAGGAGCTTGCATGCCAGTCAACAACTGCCCTCCGTGGAGTTCCACAATCCGGCGAAGAAATCGCAAAGATTCGGCGACAATCAGGTGGAACGAATGGTGGAGGAAGGCCGGGAAGATTTCCCCCAGGATCTAAGGCGCATCTGCCCGAAGCGCGAGAAGGTCTACGATACCTGCTACGATCCTACCTTCCTGCTGCCCCTGATGATGCACTGCTTCGCACCGGAATCCGTGGTCTGGTCTCGCTGGCCGGTGCAGAATGGACTGCTGGCGGTTACCTTCTGTGGCCTATCCTCGCTGGACAAGGACATGAGGTTGGCGGCTGCCAGTTGCCAGCAACGCTATCGCGCCCATTTTGAGCTCTCCAAATTTTACGAGCGTCCGCTGTGGACGCAGGCCTACGACAACATCCAGGCGGGATTGAGCGACCTGAGAAACTCCTGGCTGGCGCAGAGGAGAACGCACGGAGGAACCCCTAGGGTGCCCCTGATCCCAGCCCTGTTTATCGCTCACAGTTTTAACCTGAGCACAGAGCCAACGCATCTGCTGTATAAGAGACTTATGATGTACCTGCGGCTGAAGCAGAGCTTCAACTTCCAGACGATACCCGACTTCAATGTGTTCTTCTACTCCCAAGAGCCGGAGCACCAGCAGTACCGCGAGTTTATCGTGGAGCTTCTTAGGAATGGCATCAAGTGCAGCGCCGATCTCTTCCTGCTGGTATCCACCAACACATTCAAGGTTCTGCTCGGTTACTACGGCTCCAGCTTGGCCACTCTGGAAACGAATCTGCTGCTCCTATCGGTGCTCTCTACTTGCGTGAAGATCCCCGGCGCAGTCAAGATCATGCTGGAGCACGTGGGCATCCTTCCCTGGCTGGTGAGCGTGATCCGTGACACGGAGTTCCATCAGTTCGACATTATCGAGGGCGTCATCAGCATCATCAACAATCTGTGGTATGCCCTGGCCGCCTCCCGAGCGGAACTGCCCGACTACGACCATGTCCAGTTGCGGGTGTATCGTCTGGTGCTGCAAATATTGCCACTGCTCTCGCCACGGATTTCTGTGCCTGGTTTGGGCCGCCTGCTCAACGTTCTGTGGAAGAGTGGCTCGGCCAGTGGCCAGCATCGAGCCTTGTCCGCCGACCAACTGGATGTCCTGCTCGAGTGCATCGCTCGGCAATGGCCGGATCAGCTGGCTAGCGTGCGCTATGTGAGGAACTTCGGTGGCTCTGGCGCCTGTTCTCGATCTGAGTACTGCGACTGGCTGGCCAAGGACCAACAGCTCGAGGCACCGGCCGTCCTCGCCTTGTCCAGTCTGCGGGAGTACGTCATGGATTGGTGGCAAGCCCACAAGGTGGAAGTTAAGGAGGAATCAAAGCAACTGGTGGAGTCAACTGAGTAGGAAATCCTTCTGTTTTGCTCTAGGTTAAGCTATTAAAATGTGTTTAGTGTACAGGCGTAACGAGTCTTCGATATATTAAATTGTATGCAATGAAATTTTAAAACGGATTTTTATCAATTTAAGAAAATAATCATGTCATTAGGAAAAAGTTTATAAGGTCGGCTGATATTTAATTTTAAGAATACAGTATTGCATTTGTATTGATCAGTGTTCCAGAACATTTTTCTATAGTTTTGTATAGATTGAGTATTCCTTTTAGCTCCAAAGCTAAAGCCATAACTCATACTGCATCAATGTTTGTGGGAGTCTGTCGCGACTGCCCCTCAATGCGGATCACTCACAGATGTGTTGAAAATGAACTGTCATGTCTCCGGCTGCTCCATAAGCCTCGTCAACCTTCATTAGTCGGCCCGCAGCGTATGACAAATTACGGATAATCAGCATAACAAAAGATCGGTTAAGCCAAAAAAATGAAAAACCGAAGACAAAGTATTGGACCATGGCAAAACCCTTTAGTGTTTGTTAATTTGGCCAATCCGTTTTCACACGCAGCACAAGTGGGCGTTCACCCATGCCCATTCCCATCCTCGTTCATCCACAAGGTATGTTTGCATCTTGCGCGACCCCAGTCACCACCTACAATTTGTTGGGTCAACAAAATGTTAATCACCCGAATGAGCTTGAGGCAAACAGACCAACTGAGTTTTGGTCTCTGAATTTCTAATATGTAAAGCAAAGTGCGCAAAGTTGACGCAATCGGCGAACGAAAATATTCACAAGATTTATGATTTTGCTAGATGTCTCGAAATCTAAGCCACTTTGTTACATAAAACTCGGGGTTGGGTCGTCGGGCTCTAGAGTTGCAGATGCGGCTGGATCCGACATAATTGATTGATATTGCCTGGCATCTTGTTGTTTATGAGGCGGACGTCATCCCAAAACGTATCAAATGTATCTTTTGGCCTGAAAAATATAGTGGATCGAATAAATGTATAAATTTGATTTGCTCGAGACATAAACAACATGGGAATATACAAATAAAGAAAGCAAATGATCTCGGAAATCATCTCGTATTATCTCATTTGATGGATTACATTAATACGGGATGGCTAACTAGTTATAATCATTAAGCCCTAAAAAATGGGTCGTAAATCGAGGCGCCATTAATTGGCCACATCTTCATAAGTTTGAAGGAAAACAAGTTTTGATTGGGTTGATTGAAAGGTAGAGACTCCTCAGCCAGGTATTGTTTATAAATAAAAATGTTTACCTTGCCTAATATTTGTTTAAAGTAATTAAAACATACCATTTTTTTGCATCTATGGTTTTTTTGAAGTCTTAACCTTTTTTAATTAGTTTTCTGAAAATGGTTTTATAAAAAAAGTTAATTAACCTTTATTATAAGTTTTTTTTTTAAAATTGTGCTTTAAGTACAAAAGCAGTTTCCTATCTGTCAGCTTAAAAAACGTATAAATTTTTAGGTTTCACTTGGAGCAAATGAAATTTCTCTTTCTAAATACCTCAAAATTTCACTTACTTCACGCATCAATCAAAATCCTTCAATTTTCCAGTTTCACTGACATTTGAGTTCCCAAACATATTTCAATCATGGTGAAAAATCACCCAAGAAGCAGCCACCATGGCATTGAACTATGCATAATGGGCCAAAAAAAAGTGGGGTTCAAAAGTTCAGCCGGTAGCCAATAGACAGAAAAGCAGCTGTCCAAAAGTAACAAAATCAAGACAATCCCAGAGTGACCACCGATATCTGGACAATTAAGCCGCTGTCAAATGATTGATTTAGCTTACTTAAAAAGCCATTTTGTCTAATCCGGAACTGACAAGGCCCCGACAAAATGTAACCGAAGACCCCCAATAAAACAAGAGTGGATATTTGGGCATCCCCTGGCCCCTCGCAGCTAAAAGACATTTGGATGCATATTATTATCCGGAGTGCGTTGGCAAATCTTTTCTCGAATTTCAATCTTGTCGCATCCCATGGGGTCCGGAGATTAGAGACGCTTCTGCCGCGTTCATATTTCACACCTTAAACGACAATCTACGATTGCCTCTTTCGACTATTTGCATTTTAAATTATTAGTTCGGCCCTCATTGACACGTTTATTTCGGAGAGCACAAAGGCCTTTGTCTTATGTCAAATCTATGCAATTTATACAAATTTATTTATAAACAAATTTCTCGATTGTCTGACGTGCTTGTGCCATTTATTGAACTCGTTGCTCTTTTTGCTATTTATGGTTTCATTTGCCCTCGTCAATCATAAATGCCTGGGAGCTCCTGGGAATCGAAGTCGAAATATCGGGCTAAGAGGTTCAATCAAGTGTCACAATGAAGCTAAGCCGGAGGCTCCAGGTGATCATCTCCAGATGGATGACTTTATTATGCGGTCTGGTAAAAAATATGTAAACGGTAGTGACTGAAGGGCGTGGCGAATCGAGTAAAGTGGCTAAGGTCATCGGTGGGTTGCCAAATGGAGGGGTCAAAATTGTGGCTTACTTGAGTTATGGCAACTGAGATCACCACCGATCGGATGCCAGTCCGTAACCGCAAAACTTCATTAGGAATCCAGTTCACCTATGTATGTACAGCTACTGAGATATACAACCATGCAACATGCATTTTCAATTAAGCTTGCACTCAGAAAATAAGTAGCTTTGGGTAGGAAAATCGCATGAAAAAAGTCACAATTTATTTCATTTAAAAATGGAGTAAAGTTATCTTAGCTTGAGTCCGAAAACGTTGTTTTTTCGCCATTTTTGCTATAAAAAACATGTTTTAATGCTTTTTCGTTCTTACAAAGCCAACATAACGACTTTTTTGTGTAGCTGAGGTCCTAATCTATCGATTCAAGGTTGATTTGGGAAAATTTATTTTTTGACAGATTTTCGCATTATTCATAAGGGCTTACTTCATGATTATTTGTGAAAAATCGACTAAAATTAAACATTTTATCTGTGAATGCCAATCGATTGGAAATTTTTTAACGGATTTAATGAGGTATGACATTCCAACATGTGACCATTATTTCCTAGGGTTTTGATTAAAAAACCGAAATAAAAGTTGACTTTTACGGATCTTCCGGTTTCTGGCATTTTTCATAGAGGGTTAGCTCATATTTTTTGGCGAAAATCGGCCAATTTATTGAAAGGGTTTTTTTTTTTTAGCATGATTTTTGAATGCCAATCGATTGGAAATTTTACAACGAATTCAACGAAGTATGGCATTCCATCGTGCGACAATTATTTTCCATGGATTTGATAAAAAAACCGAAATAAAAGTTGATTTTTCCGGATCCCTCGGATTTTGGCATTTTTCATAAGGGGATAGTTCATCTTTTTTGGCGAAAAATAGGCCAAAATGAAATTTTTTAGCTGTGAATGCCAATCGATTGGAAATTTTATAGCCAATTCAACGAGGTATGCCATTCCAACGTGTGACCATTATTTCCCATGGTTTTAATCAAAAAACCGAAATAAAACTTGACTTTTTGGAATTCTGGCATTTTTCAAAAGGGGTAATCATGAAGTTTATTTTTAAAAATTGGCAAAAAATGATGTTTTAAGTTATGAATGCCAATTTATTGGAAATTTTATTACGAATTCAACAAGCTATAACACTCCCACATCTGATTATTACTTCCCATGGTTTTGATAAAAAAAATCAGAAAGAAAACCACAAACGAGAAACAATAATAAATAATAATATTCTGTTTGCTTCTTGTCAGTGTCTTCTCTGATTATATTATTAAGGTATCGACCTGAAGAACAAATTTATTGCAAAACTTATAGTTAAAATGTTTTTTTTTTGTTCACCCAAAATGTCTGAGTGTATAAAGGTGGTACTCCACAGCCAACTCCCCGGCCAAATGGCCTGCGGATCGACACGTTCAGCCTCGAGTTGGACAAATGTGCAGCAGCCGTTGTCCTGGCCACAATCAAAATTTGTTCAGCATACAGAGCGGCAAACGACTTTGGACTCGGAAAAGTCAAATTGAAAATGGGAAGGCGAGGCGGGGGAAAATGCATGGAACAGTTGGAAAAGGGTGCAAACGGGTTCAAAAGCTCACCAGGCGGCGGCGTCGAGGCGTCTCGACATCATTTCAAATATCAAAAGTCACGACGAAGAAAGCTGGTTTGCCATTCGACGTTCAACGTGTTCGATGTTTGGTTTTTGGCTCGCTTTTGTGGCTTTCTGTTGGTCTTTACGAAGCATTTGCCAAATAATCTGCCGCTAAGAGATGTGACTCCGACTCTCCTCCCAGTGGCATGTGGAAACTTGTCGGGCGGCGGAAAGTGCTTTTCACTGCCTGCCGATTCCCCATTGACAGGGGAGATGGGTTCCACTCCCCCGCCGACTGCTGATTTCCCAGGCAGGTTACCGCTTACCCAAAAGGTGTTATGCCACCTACCAGCGAGCATTTGGTAATACCCAAAAGATGTTATTAAATGCAATGGTGCATCACTTACTCACCTATCAAAGAAAAACTCTTTGGTACAGAAACCAGTCATCACAATTAAATAACTTATAGTTGTTGATGGGATATGTATAAAAATAATAATCATAATATTAATGTTCCAAATATTCCTATTGCACTAGGTTTAAACCCTGAAATCTTTAATAAGAAATGCGAAATACACTTTTATAGTTTGTAAAAAATGTGAAATAATTTAGTATATTTAATACAAAAATCACCAAGTTTTCCTTAAGATGCGTTTTCTGTTAATTAATATCACCATTAATGGTCAAGAAAAACTTTCAAGCTTAGTCTGCTTGACATTGAGTTGCTCATCACAGCTTCGTGGCGAAAAATAATTGCAAATAGCAAAGATGAACGGAAATGGGAAAAGGCAAGCGGAAATCGAATATTGAAACATGCGTCTTCAGAAATGAGTTAATTTACATGCTGAATTGGCGCTAATTCGAGAGAAATTGGCACCGCGAAGTGGCCCAAAAAAAATGGCCATCCAGCCACTAGGAAGTGGCAGCGATGCCAACTTTGATCTGCGGCACGTGTGTGAGTTGGCCCCAACTGGCTTGGAGCGAAGTGGCTCATTAAGCTGTGGGCAAGGATTTCGAACGAAAGCGAAACCAGCGATGTTGAGCAATGCCGTGGAACTTGGAAAGTCTGCCAGCGAGACACGCATAAAATCCGTATAAAACTGAAAGATAAATAAATGTAAATATAAAACTTAATTAACCCGCCGGCTGCAGTTCCACTAGAATTCCGTTGCGTCATGATGGCCATTAAAGGTGTAGTAAGTTTGCAGTTTGCTGCTGGCCAAGTTCAAGCTTTAAGGCATAATGAGTTGGCTTTCATTCATCGCCGACTGGCAACATGCGCGCCAGCAACATGTTGCCGCCCGGCAGCAACATCTGCAGCATCTTCAGGCCCATGGTTTTATGCTTTTGTCTTCGGCCAGGAAACCTCGGAAAGTTCGCGCCTCAGTCTGCAGTGAGCGTTCAGACGGTTTGGTTTGGTTCAGTTTTTCTCTGCCAGCGGTTTGCCGCCCCAGCGCTTTAAAAAAAAACTCAAAAAAAAAGCAAAGTCAAATAGCAGCCTATAAGGTGAAAAAATACAAAATCTAACTAACTCTGAGCCGCGAAAATTATCGGCCGGTGTGAACTATTGTCCGCTAATTCGAAAATAACGATTCGAAATTTGGCAATTAAACGAAAATAAAGTGCAACGAGGTACGACCGACAGCCAGCGGCATATTGGCATTATACCATACAAATCAAATGAATATAATCCAAATACAATAAAGGAAACGTTAGCAGCTAATTCGCATTTGATTAGTTTATGTTTCTGTCTCGATTCGAATATTTCGATTTGATTGCGTGCATCATTTGGGAGCCAAAGAGAGAGTGAGGTGGAGTGGTCATCAAGCCATCGGATTACAGCGCTATAAATTTGGATATATCCCACTAAAATACATAGCCAACATGCTTGTGGTAAGTACCTGTATAAGGGACTATAATGAACTATATACAAATTTGGATATTTTAATAAATCTGGCATAACAAGCTTGCAATTGTTATTTGGGAAAACCTTTTTACCAAAATCCTAGGAAAACATTTCGAAAACATTAAATGGAATCTTTTATTTCGGACAAGTTACAACAATATATAGGCGTTTTTCCAAAAATCAAAGAAAGTTTTTTCACCATTTATGTTATATGTATTTTGTACAAAAAATGTTTTTCTAAAATACTAATTTGTAAAACAAAAATTAAAGTATAACTTAAAGTTTTCATATATTCTTGACTGCTGATAAATGATAATAAACCTATTTTTCACGAGAAAGATCACTTAGCATTACTTTAATTGATTGCCCTAGGAATCCCCGAACTGTTGGCTTTTTCAAACAGAAAGTTTGACAGACGAACCTCCATTGAAATTTCACCAACTTTACTAATTAAATTACCTCAATTAGTAAGACATAAGACCCCGCCCATATTTGGCACCTCGAAAACTCTGGTGTGGGAGTTACGTTATATGATCTGACAGCTGCGATCGACGCCAATCGATCAGATAGACCAATCATGAATATATGCATGGGATTTTTTTGTTTTTGGCAAGACCAAATTATTGAAAGTCATTTGCCAAGTCATTTGTGTAATGGGTTTTTAATGCCGTTTAATGATTCCATTTCGGAGCCAATAAAACAATTTAATTAGCGACATATGAGACGCATTTAATGCTTATGCCAGCTACCGATCGAGTTGTTTTACGACCGTTAATCACTCAAAGTCCATTTAGTGACTATGCCTGATTAAGACCGTTAAAAGTGACATATAAAGCCGTGACTTTGAGGCCCAAAATGCGAACGGATGGCGTTTATAACAAGCGATCAAACGGCAGGTGGTGGATGATCGTTTAACCCAGTTAGATTGGCCAACACAACATCAAGGATTTATGGGCCTTCTGACCCGCATGTAAGCCAAGATAAAGCCCACACCCCAGGCATATCCGATTTCCAGCTTACGCAATCGACAGTTTATGGCCAAATTCAAATGGCCAGTTGGTCGACCTGTTCGCCAGCCAAAGTTGAGAGTTGGCACCAGCCTTCGACTGGATCCAGTACCGGATCGCCTCCCATTCCCATTCCCAATCCCAGCCCATCTACCAAGTCATCCGCGAAGACGTCCCAAAACGCAAGATGTGTGTAGATGTCTGCCGTTGTTGACATGCAATAAAATTTCACTTTTCACCGTTGCATAATTGCAGTTTGACAATGCTTAAAATTGATTATGCTGCGTTTTCCTTTTTTTCGCTTTTCTGTTTGCGTTGGCAAAAATACAAAAAAATAGTGGCGGCTTCCTTGCCGCTGATTTCACCAGCCCAAAATTAGCCAACGGTCATAAATCATCCTGAGGCATTCAGTGTCAAGGGATGTGTTTAAGCTCTATTCCGACTTTCTTGGAAAATTAAAAGGTTAAGGTTTTGTTAAGCTATTGAACATCGCCACCTGCTTATAGCCTTATTTATTACAAATGGTTAAAGCTATAAATGATTATATCAGCTACTTCAAGAAAATAATTTCAAATAACATTAAAAAGTCAAAATAAAAAAAACTATAAAAATGATCAACGCTTAAATCCATCTTAATGAAAAAAAGATATATTAGGCAATAAATAAAAAAAACGCTTTTATTACCCTTAAATTTCCTTTTCTTTTGTTGAGTCCTGAAAAGGCATTCCCAAAATACTTACCCAAAAGAAATCCCATTTTTATAGTAATTTATTGCCTACAAAAACCTTTCAAATGTTTTTCTCATCAATGAAAGCCAGTCAAAGCACGTAATAGTAAGTACAATTGGATTAATAATCTCCCAAGTCATTGGCTATCGTTTGCCCAAAAAAACCTATACCATATCCACAATTAAAAACATTTCACAAATAATATCTCTGAATGGATTTTATCACACGTGAGTTTCTCTCGGCCATTTCAATTAACGTGTGTCGAGTGCCCCGGGGTTCCGATTTTCACAGTCATTGATCAGGGAATAGTATTTGATTTGCTTATCGGAACTGTTGACCCGGCGCCATTGTAGGGTAACAAAAGTAAAAGTACCACACACTCGCTCACGATCGGCGCTTCATTCACAAGATATCCAATTCATGGATTCAACAAGAAATAAATAACAAGACAGAAAAAAAGCCGCCCGCACACTGAGCAGGCGAACACATATCGTGCGGGGAGATCTGTATCTAAGAGCAGGGTCTGCACGAAATTGTGCAATTGTCAAAATAGCAATTTACAATTTACCATATGATGGATGGGCAAAGGGACAGTGCATGGGAAGGAGCGGAAGAGGGAACCCTCGAATAAATCAAAAGCACCTGAGATATGTAACTATAGCCGCTAAGCAAGTGCAATGGATGGGTTTGGTGGTCATGCAACGCTTTTAGGGGGAGTTTAGTGTCGAGTTCGTTGCCTAAGTCTTTTGTTTTGTAAACCCATCGACGCATCTGCCACCGCTGAAAGGTCAACAGCAGCATTTCGAACTGGCAATTGTGGTTGGCTGTTGGCTGTTGGTACCTGAACCTCTTCAAGTGGTAACTGGCACACGACGCGCTGCACACACAATGTAAGCGATTTACATAATAATATGTAACTATATATAGAGGGGCCAACAAAGCTGGGCATAAAAACATTTACCACTTCCACTGGCCGCCGATGATCTTCGCTCCGGCAGCATCTTCATCTCCGTTTCGGCGCTTCCTCAACCATCTTCGGAGACCAGATGCCCGGGCATCGATAAAAGTGAAACCGAAATTGCCGAGTACACCACGGCCCAATGATGCCATTGACATTGCATTTTTGTCTCAACGCGCGCCATTAGATGCAAAGAGCAAAACAAAAAGCGATGAAAAAAAAATTGTAAAATGGTAAAAGAAAACACAGAGATTTCCCCCGCACAGCCCCTCCCCAAATCCGAACCCCGAACAATGGGCCGACATTACGCGAACCAAACAAACACCAACAAACAAACAGAAATTATTGTAAGATGGAAAAACCATACTTACTGCGAGTGTATGGGCCGCGGAAATTTATCGTAATATGCGCACATTGGTAATTTTGTCTTATTTTTATTATGAAACGCTGTGTGGCTAAATAAAAGCCGGGGAGATGGCAAAAAGCGTTGGTCAATAAGCCGAATCCACGGATTTTCACTCATCCACTAATGCCAGCGAGAGTTTGGCGTGGCAAAAAAAAAAAAATAGACATGGTGGAAACCTGTTGTTTCAGACAGCATAATATTTTTATTGTTATTTGCCTGCCAAATTGAATATGAAGCCCAGACTTGAACTTCGGCTGGTTATCGGTGGTCCATCAATAAACTTGACCTCTGGCCAATCAGGCGAAGATAACCTTTGTCTACGATCTGCCATATCTATGACGACTTACACGCAACCAAAGCCCAATTAAATGCACATAAATATGCAAATAACAGTCAGCAAAATGGGCCCTAATCGAAATGTAAACAGCTATGAATTCATGATTTCGGTGAAGATCCCCTCGCATATCACGATATCGCGTTATTGGTCAATATCCAGCGATCCAATCAATGCCAATCAAAAGCTTGCTTCCATGTCAAAACAGCCTAGACTGGGCGATTAGGTTGATAATATCGCCTCGAAACAATGCCACAAAATCTGAGATCAGGGCGCGTCAGCCTCGAAATGCGAGTGTGAAATTATGCAAATGCCCGGGACTTGCTATCCAGTATCGAGCATCAAGTTGGAGTTGGAGATGGAAAGATGGCTCCCATTGAGAGAAGATGCTGCCGAGGCCCACACACGCAATTACGCAGGTTTTTTATGGCTCTGTGGACAACGAATCTTGGTAGCCACAAAGGCAGTTAAAAGCCCATAAAATACTGTAACAAATTTATTGGGCAACCGAAAACCAGAGGGGATCGTCATTGATAAAAGCTGAATAGTGGTAGCAAAGAAATCGATTTGTGCATGCTCTCACATTTGGATATATGGTTTTTATTATAAGATACTTTTGGAATCGATTCCCTACTAAAATAAATGTATCTAAAACTTATGGCCTTATCTTTAACTTAAAAAGATTTTTTAAATCATCAATATTCAAAGCAGAAGTAGTCACAGTAGCATATTGCATTTTACATATATTTTTAGAAGCTTTTCAAACCAGTTTTGTATTTGTATCCTAGGAAAATATTGTAAAATCTCGGAAAAATTAAAAATTGTCTTATTTACATAATCCAAATATACTTTTTTATAGAGAATTCGCCATATGCTAGACAATAAAATAGTTTTTATGAATAGCAAGTTTTTTGTATTTGTTCAAATCTTAAAAAAAGATGAAAGGGAATATAAAGCAACAGATAACAATTTCAGTGACATCTATATTAGGCTTTTGATGTATTTTAAACCGAAGAAGATTTCTGTATCACCTTTGCATGTGATAATCCCCATTGTTTTAATTATCAACCGAAATTTGCTTATGAATACAGTCCAATTTGTATATCATAATAACAGACCATTTACACCAACGTTCGATCGAGATGAATATATCCAAAAATGGGTTCCTTTCAGCCCATCAATCGATACTTTGGGCGGACCCATAAACCTTTTAATATAAAATATTGGTAATAAATGGGGATATATTTTACGAGTTTGCTAGGATTACAACATCGTTTTTACAACATTAATATTTATGTTGGCCGACATAAAGCATAAACACCAATTTGCACCGGCTCGCCAATTGGCGAGTTTATGGGTGTTGGGATTGCGTTATGTGGCATGGCGAACTGTTACATCCAGAGCCAGATAAACAACTTTCGGCCGGGTCTCGAAATTCGGGGTTTATCATCTTGCCAGCTGCTTAATAATGCGTGGCTTGTGTGGATGCAACCACCGCAGGCTTGAGCAATGCTAAATGCAAAATGCAAAATCCGAAATCCAAAATGCATCTGCAGAATGCGAAATATCTGAGGTGCAGCGGCGTTCAGCGGGCGTGAAATTAATCACAATAAAAAGTGGGGGAAATCCCCGCCGAGTGCCCCATCCAACTGACAGCTCGAATTACTGGCATACGCGAATATGATGTTCCATTTTTATACCCTTGCAGAGCGTATTATAATTTTGGTCAAAAGTGTGCAACGCAGTGAAGGAGACATCTCCGACCCTATAAAGTATATATATTCTTGATCAGGATCACCTCCTGAGTTGATATAGCCATGTCCGTCTGTCCGTCTGTCGTCTGTCCGTCTGTCGTCTGTCTGTCCGTTGTCTGTCCGTCTGTCTGTTTTCCGAACTAGTTCCGTTTTAAAGATATCGAATTGAAACTTTGCACACCCTTCTTTCTTTGACGCAGTATAAAGTCGGAACATCGGCCGATATTTTGTGCATATAACTGAACGATCGGAAATGCCATAACTTTGGTGTTTGTAAAGTTGGAGTTGGGATTTTTTGGGTTTTGTATTTGTAATAATCGACTGCGAATTTTAAGGATCGGCCGACTTATCTTGCTTTATAACTGATTGTCGGAATGCCTACTTTGGTGTTTGTAAGTTAGATGTTGGGTTTTTATGGGTTTTATTTGGCTATCAATCCGACGCCGATTTTAGGATCGGCCGATTATCTTAGTGCCTATAATGATTGTCGGAATGCCATAACTTTGGTGTTTGTAAGTTAGTCGGTTTTTATGGGTGTTTTTTGGCCATCCGTATTCTAGGTCATTTTCCTATGCTGCATATACTGAACGATTGGAAATGTCAATTTTTTTTTAGTTGGTGGTTTTTTGGTTTAGTGTTTGATATTTTATATTTTTTTTTTTTTTTTGTTTATTGTTGTCCAGTGGAACTGGGTTACCCAGTCCGCAAGTCGAAAGTGAAGTTTCGGTTTTGGTCAGTTTTTTGGCTTATGCAATTGCTGCTTCTTTTGGCCCGCGGAGATATTTGCTTACCCCAAGAGGGGGGGGAGAAAAACAATAAAGAAAACACTTTAAACCCACACACAAGAGATAAATAAATTATATAGACAGCTCTGGGCCATTATCCATTGAGGTATTGCTAATTTATTGGCGTTGTCCGATTGTTGTTAAATCACTTTTTACACTTTGCCGCATGTTTGTGGCCAAGACTTGTGGCTTTGGGCTTTTTGCGGAACCCAGCGGCCAACAAAAATAATTATGGATAATTAAAGGAATTTTATTGAGCTGCCTTATGGCGTTTTACGCGCTTGTTAATTTCATACACTTACGATGTGAATATATTCATCCAATTAAAACGGAAATTTGCGGCGCCTTTTGATAATAATTTATATTGGGAACTAGCGCGAATTTAAAACAGAGAAATTTTAAAATTGCAGCGAGGCTTATTAACTTATTAAGCCATAAAACATTTACATTTAAAAGCCACTTAAATTCATTTGATAAAATACATCTTTAAATTTATTTATAGTTTGATTGTCATAGAAATTTCGGTAATAGGAATAAAAACTTGTAATTTATTTAAAAAAGTGTATTACATTTGGAAAATTTTTTTAATTTTCCATATTTAATGTTAACATAATACAAACTAAAATATAAATAATATGTAAAAATCTTAAAATTACAACAACTTTTTTTGTTAACAAAATCAAGTTATTCACTCTAATCTCAAAAATATTTACAATTAATCACTTCCGCAAAGGCTGCATGGAATTTTCGTGTTTTGAAGTGCCAAACATAGCAGGGAAATGGCCGAAATGAAATAAATGGAAATGCCCACATGCGATTGAGCCCCCTGCCTTTTAATATAGCTGCAGAGATTCCCAACTGACCATTACAATTTATGATGATTGCTATTTTTTTTTTGCCTTGCCTATGGATCCCCCGTTCCCCTCTGTGAGACTAAGGTACAAAGCCATACCATCCGCGAAATCAAAGCCGGTAAACTTGATTAGCTTAGCGCCAACTTGACGCGACTGACGGACTGTCCGACTATTTGGCTGACTGACTTAATGCCCACGATGATTTCCATAGTGAAATTGACGAAAATGAGCAGCTAACCAGACAACGCCATCGATTTTGCTGGCCAAAAAGCGAAAAGCCAGACGGAAAGTCAATAGCAAACTAGTTATGCAGAGAAATGACTGCCAACTGAAATTATTTCCCATCAAAAGCGGTTTCCTCCGGGACGTTGGCGTGGCCCATAATGCTTTGCCCTTTAGCAGAACTTGAACTCTGGCCTTGGCTTGGGCGGCAGTCGGATGCCAGTTAAATTGTGAAAAATAATGCTTATTTTCACCAGCCTATTCAATGAAAAAACACTTGAGTCATGTTCGATTTTACAGCAATGGACATCAAAGGAGACGCCTTTGGTTGTTTGAAGGCGGACAAGTAGAAAGTTTATGGGGCGAACACCATTCAAAGGTGTTTAGCAGAGTCTCAAGATTTAATCAAAGGGAAAGATTGATGACCAATGGGGGTTCACTGATAAGTGGTATTCATAATTTTAGCATTTGCTTCAGGCCACACAGAAAAAAGGATTTATTAATTGATATTTAAGATTTAAAGTTGTTTAAAAATTTTCTTTATCTTTTTACATTTACTAAATTTTAAGGATTTAACTATTGGCAAGAAGATTTTTATTTAATTTTTTTAAGAAAAACTATTTTAGGTGTTATAAAAAAAATGTGTAAAATTTTGTCTCTGTGCAAAATAAAGATTTATGCAAGATCGGCATTGCAAATGGCTGGAATCCTTGCTGCGAATCAAATGGGCTTTTCATTTCATCCGCTGCTGCTGAAGCTGATTAAATAATTTCCAGCCCGCGAACGACTGGGCCACGATTGTTCAAATTTGGCCAAAAACGCGGAGTAATGCCAAGTGCCAAGTGGCAACAACGTGACTGCCACACAGAAATCCTGGGCACCCAGAGCGAGCCCCAAAATTCGAATCCCAGACCAAAACCGAACAAAACGAAACCAAATCAAAGCGAGAAACTCACGTAGCTCCGGCGACAGGTGGTCAGATGGTTTGGCTTTCCACCAGCCAGCCAATTCCCCTGGTCGTTGATGCAACAATTAGCCTAAGCACTTGGCCACAGACAAACAAGCGTTGCAAGTTGCTGGCCAATTTGCAAACGGACTAGCCAAACCACATGAAAAATAAAGCCACCAGGAATCAATCGTCAAGCTGTTGAAAATGGGAAATTGTGCAAAGGCAAAAGGCCCAAAACGCAGTCGCAGATTCCCCCAAAAAGCCAAGAAAACTCCAGGCCATGAGTGGACAGCCTGACCAGCAAAAAACTATGTATAATGCGTTATGATTTTTTGTCTGTGCAGATGCCGGAAAGATTACCACGCCGCGATTAGCAGACTTCGGTTGGAAAAACGAAAAGCGAAGGGGTCACAAACTGCAGACAGTGCATGCATTTTCCACCAGGTTGCAAAAGTTTACCGCAATTGGGCTTGGCTTCTAATATGGCAAAGAAAATGCAATCGAAATTCCAATGAGTTCAGTTCATAACTTTTGCATTGAGTTCGGCTAAACCAGGAAAATTCGTATGCATAAAAACACAAAACGAACTTTTTATGTGACAATCTAACTATAAAATGAATTTACTTTGAAACTTAAGTTAGGTATGCGCGGGTTGCCAAATAAAGAAAGGCCTGAAACTATTTCGATTCCAATTTAATGTCCAATTAAAGTTAATTTTTGAAACCTGGTATTGCGTGGCTATACAAAAAATGCATACTCAATTAATGTAATTTATGTACTGATTATAGTAAATATATGATATGCTTTAATCCGATAACTAGATGTAACTAGTCTAGTTTTCAAATTCGGTGTGGTGTAATTTCATGCATTTTATAAACTTTCTCAAGACATGAAGTAAACTAATTTCCTAACAATACCAATACCTAATCCTAAGGTTGAATAAAATATTTGCCATGCAAGTCTTAGACTTCTTAATCGCTAGACCAACTTGTACAGATATAAATATTAATATCACAATAGCTATACAAGTTGCTCAAACTTGCAAATGCTGAAAAATATCGCAAACCATTTTTGCAAATAGCACTTAAACAAATGGCATGCCATGTGAAATGGTTAAGGCGTCACAGACAATTAGCCCAAGTACCCAAGTACCAAAGTGCCCAAGGTGTCTCCAACTAGCCGAGCATCAATTGCCATTAAAGCAAATGAGGCCTGAAACTAAGACCTCCATTAAGGGAGGCCCTCCGAACTTATTAAGTTATTAAATTTAAGCGTAACCATTAATGATTCCTCTTTCTTTGGCTTCTTTTATTTTAAACAGAGACATTTAAACAGTTTGCCTTGGGCTTTGCTGGCCATTCTCCTGCTGGCTGCTTTGAAGCTCCATGTGGCCAATGCGGAATCCAGTGGGGAACAGAAGGAGGAGGAGGTGGACAGTTCCAGCACGGAGAGCAATGAGATCATTCCCAGGGAGGCCATCCAGAAGTTGGATTACTCGGTGAGACAGGCTTTACTTCGAGCTATTGATAAGTTGGAACAGGAAGAGGCGGCTGCCACGGAAAGTGGTGAGGAGAGTCCCAGCAGCAGTGGTTCCCGTTCCCTCCTCCAAACAGAGACCTCCACCCTGCCCTCACATCGCGAAAAGGATGAGATTCTGGAGGAGAGCACCCGGGGAAACGAACCGGAGCCAGTGGTGCCCACTGTCCAATTTTACACGGCCACCTTTGACGAGAAGAATGCCCAGGAGCAGCTGCTCTCCTCCTTCATCGATCGTTCCAAGCTGTGGAAGAAGACCACCACCCGGAAACAGAATGCACCCGCCATTTCAGTGCCCCTAGAACCCAAAACCTTGGAAGTCGAAGGTCCGGAGAACCGCCAGCTTACACGGAGTGTGGATAGCTCCAGTTCCGGATCCGTGAGCAGCAATGAGATCTCCCACGACAGCGGCAGTCATGAGATCAAATTCGAGATCAGCAATGTGAGAAAGACCACCACGCCCACGACAACCACATCCTCGACTACGAGCACAACCACCACGCCAAGACCCCGCACCACCAGGCGTCGCACCACCACGACGACGACAACCACCACAACGACCACACCACGACCCACCCACAACGAGGATGGGGAGAACATTGAGCTGGTGGACAAGCAGGACATTCGCATCCAGGAAGCCCCACTGGTGACCGCCTTCACCGTGGATCTGGACGAGCGGGGCACGGCGCAGAAGTTCCGCCCATTGCTGGCGGGCAGCCAGCGCACCGCCAACTTTGCCGCACCACCACAGCAACAACAACAGCAACAGTTTCCGCACATCGGACCCACCATCACCAAGCTGAATGTGTTGGAGTCGGAGCCACCGGCCACTCCGCTGCCCACTCAGTTTCCACCCACCAGCAGCACCACCACCACCCAGGTCAGCACGAGCACCAGCACCACTGCCGGCGGCGGTTTCTCCACCACGCCTGCCTTCCTGGCCAGCTCCACCAGCAATTATGTGAAGGTATGGAAAAAGACATAAAACCTATATTTATATCTAATCGAATTTCAAATACCCTTTCATTTCTTTACAAATTTGTGCTTAAAATTAGTGTTCTTTGTTTTCATATATTCAGGAAATTTAAAATTTAATAACCAATTTTATTTTTTTGATTCCCATTATTTAATATAAAATCTAAGCCAATAGATATCAGATATATTATGAATATCATTCACATTAAAAATATTAACCACCCAAAAAAGAAATTGGTATTTATTTTAATGAAGTTTATGAAAAGACACCTCTTTTCTGAGAAGAAAACATCCATTTATTGTAATAAATAAATGCCTTTTTAAAAAAGTTAACGTCGTACAATATGATATTATAATTTTAAAAATTCAAATTTTTATGATACACATATCTTTTTCTTATAATTTTATTAACTTAAATGAAATAATAATATATATAATAATATTATAATTTAAAAAATTCAAATTTTTATGATACACATATCTCTTTCTTATAATTTTATTAACTTAAATGAAATAACTATTTCAGCGAGAACCGCTGAACAATCTGGCAGAGCCTCCCAGTGTGAATAACTATCTGATCGAGCGTCAGCGGGCTCTGGAGCAGCAGATCTTCCAGCTGAAGGTTCAGGCACAACAGCAACAGGCTCTGATCCTGCGCCAACTGAAGCTCCTGGAGGAGCAGACCCAGAGTCGTTTCCAGGGCACACCGATTGCCCAACCCAGTACATTGCAACCACAGCAGCAACAGCAACAGCAGCAACAACTCCAGCAGCAACAGCAACAACAGCTACTGCCGCAAGTCCAGCAGCAACATGGTTCGCTGGAGGCCATTCAGGCGGGCCTCCAACCGCCCTCATTGGGTGGTTACTCCATAAGACCTTCGGTGGAATTTATACCCAGCACCCACACCAAAACTGTTATTTATCCCACATATCCAATTGAGCAGCAATTGCCGCTGCGCGATGCCGTTGCGGGTCATAAATTCGCCCTGCACAATGGCAACATAAACGCGAACAACTATCAGAAGCCCCCAGCGAATGCAGTGCAGCAGATTTTCCAAAATTTGCAGCAATCGCTGCAGAAATCGAACGAAAACCCCCAGGTCCAGCCCTCCAATCAGTTCAACTTTGCACCGGTCGAGGCGTCGCAACTTCAGGCCTTGCCCCATAACAATTACAAGCCATTTCAACAGCAACAACAGCAGCAACAGCAACCACAGCAGCAACAGTTGCTGCTGCCCAACTACGTCAGCAATGCGGTGTTCCAGCAGCAGCAACAAAGGGCCCGCCAATTCCGCCAGGAGACGGGAGTCGGTAATTTTGGCCTAAATTCAAATGTGGAAATACAGCCGAGCAATTCCTTTGCCACCACAATTGTTAGCCAGCATCCTGGCCCAAATACCGATCCCCATCTGGAAAATCAGAACTTTTACCGACAACATTTAACGCCTCAATTGAGCAACCAATTGCAGCAGAATGCCCAGCATTATCTGCAGCAACAACAGCAGCAGCAACAGTTGCAGCAACAGCAGCCTAAAGCCAGCGGCGATATTAGTCCAGGTAAAGCACACTTTACAAGCAGACCGAGTAGCCAAAATGGCAATCATCTTAGTCAATTTAGCAGTTTAAGAAATCTTGATGAATTGAAAGTAATCAGTAAAGTTTTAGCTCTCAACCATGGGATACCGCAATTCGCCTCACAAAACCTGCACTTCAACGGGGCCTTTTGAGCACTTGCACCACCAAAAACCACCACCAAACCAGCACCACCATCCCGCACCACAACCACGAACCACCAAACACCCACTGTTTCCGTTTCCGTTTCCGGTCCTGCTCCTGTGTCCTTTTTACCCAGAAATCAGAAATCTACCAACCTACCAGTTGACCTAAGTTTTTCGTAAAGCATCTTTGTAAATATACATTTTATTTTAAAACCTAAGCATCGATCTAAGCTAACAATGAGAAAGAGAGCAGGATGACCCAGAGGAGGATGAATTTATGGTGAGGCAATTGGCAGAGCAAAGTGCTGAAATGTAACAATTATTTATTTTCTATGTGAATAAAGTTTATTTTAAAGTACAACTTAATGTTTTTTTTTTGGGTTTTTATTGAACGGATACACTATACAGCTTTCTTTTTAGGACATCATATATAAAATGCGTAAAATAAACTTAATCGTGATTTTATTGATTTGATTTGTTAATCTAAGTAAAGTAAAATCGTTTGGGGAACAGAATTGGCAGAAGGAACACCGCAGTTCTCATCTTTGGTTCATCAATCGGCTCTGGGAAAACAACAGGACGAGCTAGGCCAGATCGAGCTTATAAAAACACAAAGTCATTACCAAATGCAGCAGCTTATAATTTAAGTTCACTCACCATCAACTATATTCAATATATCCTTTTCCTTGGAAACAGGCTGGGCATATGCCATGGCAAATAAAGCCAAGCAAACCAAAAGAACACGGAGAAACATCATGAGAACGTCGAAACGCATAGAACTGTCCAAATGTGCTAGACTTATATACCTACAGTGAGTGATCTGGTATGCAAATTAACATATCAATTCGTTAATTTACCTCGTAAGCTCATCAATCAGCTCATTTTATCTTGTATGTCTTGGTCTACTTACTGACATATTAGAATTTAAACTAGGTTAATTTCTCAGTGAGTTTAGCTTTATTTAAGTATATAAGAATATATAAGGAAAAATATTTTATGATCATAAAATTAAATATTTGCTGAAATTTATCAAGGTTGAAATGACTTTTCAAATAAATTTGAACTTAGGTTGATTGACCTCCCAAATTTTGAATATTTTTTAATATTTGTAAAATATATATGATTTTGATTTTAAATAAAATAAAAGAAAAATAAAACAGGGCAAATCTAAAAAATCTTTACAATATCTTTACATTAACCTTTTGAAAAGGTTTTTATTTTGTTTATTAAAATATTTACATTATTACGGCTGATTTAAATTTGTTACATTTTCAAATATTAAGTCCACGAAACCGTTACAAAGATCACGTTAACAGCGACTTAACAGAAACTTTAAACTGTCCCAAGCTGACCCTCTCTGTTGTTTGTGCTTCGCCATCTATCGAAATCGATATCGACAAGTTTAAAATACGAAGCAACAAAGTCAGCGCTTCTCGCCAATCAATTCGAATTAAATTAATCCAATTGCGCCAAAACGCAACAATTAAGCTTGCATGGGATCAGCAATTATGTATTTTTAGAATTCGCCAGTGCGAAATGCTGACGAAACGGGCGATTAAAAAACAAGAAAACGCTGATTGCGCGTAAAAGCTTGAAAAGCTTATTTTGGCGAGTGCATGTCGCAATTTGTTTATAAACAATTGTTTTAGTTCGTCGACGGCTGTCTTCCCCAAAAGAGCGTCATGTGGTCGCGCAGCAGCAGTTCCAGGCGACAAGTATCCACCGCCGATGGTGACCCCGAAAAGGTTCTATCACAGGTTCAGGATCTCAGCGATTGGCTTCTGGCCAATCCCCAAATCAACGGATGCAACACCTTCGAGAACCTCCACTTTTTCTTGAGAACCTCAAAGTTTGATGTGGAGCGAACCAAGAAAAAGCTAAAGACCTTCTACCAAATGCGAGCGGACCGCACCGAATGGTTCGATAATCGCGATCCCAAGTTGCCCGAAATCCAGGAGTTACTTAATCTGGGGGTATTCCTGCCAATTGGTGCGGATGCAGAACAAAGAATGGTGGTAGTCATACGGACAGCGGCTCACGATCCTAAGTTACATACCCAGAACAATGTATTTAAGGTGAGTCAGGAACTTATATATAGATATGTACGTGCCCAGATATATACATAGAAAAATATATGGCTCTGTTTCAAATTTAATAGCTGAGATAGTTTGATATTAGAATAATATTAAGTCAAGATTATTTCTAGATTTATAGATATTTATAAAATTGCATATTGCTTCTTGTAACGGTCTTTTGTTACCTTTGAACTTTTATATTTTATATACCTAATATTAGCTTTAATATTGGGTTATAAAATGTAAGTAACGAATGATAATCAATTCTTATACTTTTTTATTTCTGTGTACTCTGTGCACCGACCTTTGTTTCTCAGACCAGCAAAATGATATTGGACCTGCTGCTTAAGCTCGAGCCGGAGACTTGTGCCCGCGGAATGGTAGCCATTCTAGACATGCAAGGCGTCCAACTCGGTCATGCCCTCCAAATGAATCCCAAGCTCATCAAGAGATCCGTAGAGAGCTGGACCGCATATCCATGTCAACCCAAGCTTTTGGAGTTCACCAACGCCCCTCGCCATGTAAATTTTTTCCTAAATACTTTCAGGTGGGTTATATCTAAACTGAATTCATTCCCTACTATACGGTCAAAGTGTCATTTTAGAATATTTATGACGCCCAAGATAAGATCCCGACTTTTCGTGCGACGCGATGGAACCTCTGTGATCTGTGACCAATTACCCAAAGAACTTGGTGGACAAGGCCTCAGCTATAAGGAACTTTCAATAAGGTGGAAACAGCTGGTGGAGGAGAATGCCGATTTTTATGTGGAACAAGACAAATACAAAAGCAAGCTCAAGTGATTGGGGTTAGTGTGGCGACAGTGATAACAAGGCGATTAGCCGAATGCTTTAGATTAGTCGAAAACATTTACAATGCGCAAATGCACACAAGCGCTTAATAGTTGTCATATTTTAGAGAAGAGACTATAAATACCTAATTTCCCAACAACACTTAATTGTATATAATAAGGCATTCGTTATACCTTTTCAAAAAAGTGGTATTTTCATCATGGTAATCTTAATCACCTCATTGATTTTTTTCTTTCGTTCTTAAATAAAGTGTCAATGTACGATAAACCTAAAAAGAGAGCTGGCTTTATTCATAATATTCTCTTTATTAGTATAAAACGTATCAAAAATGTTTATCAAGTCTACAATTATTATCAGTTATTGGGTGCTGTCGACCGTCGCCTCACATTGCTGGGGCTTGCATTACAAAATCGCTTGATCCACTGGACGACGCCGAGCTCTATATAGCGATAGTTTAATAGTAATAAATACATACAATACATACAGAAAGAAAAACGATAAACAAGGAAACACGCATAGTTTGTGAACGTAATAATGGTTGTTTCTCGAAGGCTGGATGTGTTAGTGATCGAAGGCGTGCTGCTGCTGCTTTTTGTTTTCTCCTTTACATATACATATAAATATGATTTATACTCCTTAAAGTTACGATTCACATATAAAAATATAGTAGTTGCTCTGGATCAGCAATTAGCCCGCTATAGTTCGGTTTTCTCCGCCGATCGGCTGTTTTTTTGTTTTTAGTGGGAGGCACCCCATTAAGCAGTGAACGAAACTTAAAAGAAAAGGCGGTAACTAACTAAAGCGTAATACACGAGTCTGCCAGAGCGCTCACATCACAAGTCCAACTGCAAGCGCAGGCCACCGCCACCACCGCCGGAATTTCCGACTCCCTGCAGTGATTCCTATATTTGCCGCTCGTCCTTTGCTGTCAGCTTGTCGATGAGCTCCTGCAGCGGAGCCAGCTCGCGTCGCTCGATCAGATTAAACTCCTGCACGAAGAAGATGAAGTGCTTGAAGGACGTGTTCAGATGGGCCTCCTCGCCCAGCGTCACCACCTCTGTGAAGTGCTGGTGATAGATGTGCGCATATACGCGGAACAGACGCTTTAGTATAGTCTTGGCGGAGGGGTGAAAGTTCTTTGGAAACGGCACGCCGATCTTGGAGGGAAACAAAGTCTCGTCGTCCAGCTGGTCCTGCACCCATGTCATCAAATAGTCAATGTACTTGGGGGCGCTGCACTTTATGGGCTTCTTTACGGTCATACCGTCGGCCCAGTGGTATTCGTATTTCGGGCCAGCCGACATGATGCCACAGGTCTCCTCGGTGCAGAATTCGGTGATGGTGCCGTACAGCATGTTAATCTGGTTAAAGAAGTCCACGGCTGCGAATGAATAACCATTATGAAGGGATTGGTCTGGGTTTGCAATATACTATACTCACTGTTGACGGCCACCCACTCGTTGAGATCCTCGCCATCCGGCAGGGCCACTGCATTGCGAAGGTTTCCCGATCCCAAGGTGGCTGCCGCATGCTTCATGAGATCATACTGGTGAGTGCCCTCCGGGATGTTCTTCTTGGGCTTGAAGGTCTTGCTGGAACGAGAGCCGCTACGGAAGGAGAAGGGCAATTAGTCAACGACCCAACAACCCTTATTGCTTCATTTTATATACATAAATTTGTTAAAAGACTATTAAATTTTGTATATCTGCATTTAAATCTTAACTTAATACACTTTAAGTTCAAGAGCTTTGACTTATGGTTAGAACTAAGTGGGAAGTGTTTTCTGACACCCGGAAGATTTAATAAAATATGACTATATTGGGATAACAAATATATTATGTTTTTTTTTCTGAGAATTAAGTTATTTCCCCAATGGTTTTTGGGACAAGAAGATTCGACATTATGTTGCAATTGGTTTTGAAGAGACTTCTGAACACCCCCGCCAATATTGTTAGAAAAGTCTACAGTTTAAGAGTTGGGGATATCACCCCATTGAAGACAAACAAAGCCTGAACGTCGGAATTGGGGGCGGGGTGATCCAAGCTTTCTTTGTGCTCCAAAGGACTGCAGTTTGCACACTCTGTTGCTTTTTTCTGCCCCCGAGAACTTACAACAAAAACTCCATGGCATGTAGTTGAGTTGTGCTCGCCTTTCACTGGGCCTCCAATGGAATTTTCCTCTGCGTTGACTTTTCCGGCGAGTGCCACACCGCTTTTCCGGCTCTTCTGTGACGTGTCAGCCGAATTAATCAGCCGATTTTCTCAAAATTTATGCCGAATAATAATCAACAAAAGTGACTGGAATTTGCAGCAGGTTTCTTACTCTCCTCCAGAGAAATTGGAAAATGGTATCGGTATCAGTCTATAAGGTAGTGCCAGTGCCCAACAGCTGATACGAGCGATTCCAGGAAATGCGCCGAGCTAACTATTTATTTCTGTTGTGTTTATAAACGCAAAAATTGTTATAAATAAAAATAAAATTGCTTTCACACACAGAGACAGAGATAGCTGAAGGTGCGAGAGGGACAACGCGACAGGTTATCAGGTTATCAACGCGGCCAGCCTATTAAAATAATACGTACGGTACTTTGGTATTTATTCTGGTATGTCTTTGACATATTCAAAATGGTCTGCTAATGGTCACACTTTTAAGTAAGCACGTGGAAAAACAACTGCATGAAGCATCGTGTGTGAATAAATATATATATTTTTATATAAAAACGGCATATATTCGGCATAAATATGGTAAGTAAATATTGATTAAACACATATCTTTAAAGATTCTTTAGAAATGGGTATAATTCAAATGTTTATCCAATGAAAACTAACCTAATCTGAAGGAGCACCCTAAAACACATGTGCTTGCCACCGCACCAAATTGATAATTTTCTATTTCCCCGCCTCCAGTCGAACCTGTATGTGCTGTACGAGCATGCGGCGGGCTTCTCGCTCTTCTCCGTCAAGGAGTTCGAGGAGGTGTCCATGTTCCTGCCCCAGGTCGAGTCCTCGGTCACGGACCTTGCTAAGTTCAACTCTATTGTGAAACTGGCCGGATTTGCGCCCTTCAAGACGGCCATAGCAGCTTTGGAGAACATCAACGCCATTTCCGAGGGCATTGTTCCCCAGGATCTGCTGAGCTTCCTTGATGACTTCTTCGCCAAACTCAAGAAGAAGAAGTGCACCCTGGGCATTGCAGATGCCAAGTTGGGAGCAGCCATCACTGAGGCCATTGGAGTGCAGTGCAGTCACTTTGGAGTGGTACCCGAGATCTTGCGAGGCGTGCGTTTCCATTTCGCCAAGCTGGTCAAAGGTAAGCTAGTTTCTGGCCCCCAAAATAACACTTTAACTAACCCCAAACATCCGCTTCCTCTCCAGGATTCACTGACAAGTCTGCGGGTGTTGCTCAGCTGGGTCTGGGCCACAGCTACTCGCGTGCTAAGGTCAAGTTCAACGTGCATCGTTCGGACAACATGATCATCCAGTCTATTGCCTTGCTTGATCAGCTAGACAAGGATGTGAATACATTCTCCATGCGCATACGCGAGTGGTACTCTTACCACTTCCCAGAGCTGGTTAAGATTGTGCCCGATAACTACATGTTCGCTAAATCTGCTAAGTTCATTAAGGACCGCAAGAACCTCACTCAAGAGCAGCTTGAGGATCTGGAAAAGATCGTTATGGACTCGGCCAAGGCGCAAGCCATTATCGATGCCGCCAAGATGTCCATGGGCATGGACATTTCCATTGTGGATCTGATGAACATTGAGCTGTTCGCCGAGCGCGTTGTTAAGCTCTCCGAGTACCGAAAGAAGCTGTCGACCTACTTGCATAACAAAATGAACCTGGTGGCGCCCAATCTGCAGTCGTTGATTGGCGACCAGGTCGGAGCTCGTCTCATTTCCCATGCTGGGAGTTTGACCAATCTGGCCAAGTACCCGGCATCGACTGTACAAATTTTGGGTGCCGAAAAGGCGCTCTTCCGTGCGCTGAAGACCCGGTCCAATACGCCCAAATATGGCCTTATCTATCACTCCTCGTTTATCGGTCGGGCTGGCCTGAAGAACAAGGGTCGCATCTCTCGCTTCCTGGCCAACAAGTGCTCAATTGCCTCGCGTATCGATTGCTTCCTTGAGCAGCCAACCAGCGTGTTTGGTGATACCCTCAAGCAGCAGGTCGAAGATCGCCTGAAGTTCTACGAGTCCGGCGATGTGCCGCGCAAGAACATCGAGGTCATGAAAGAGGCCATCGAAGCAGCTGGACAGGAGGCGGCAGCCACTCCTCAATCAGATAAAAAGAAGAACAAGAAGAAGAAGCGGGCAGCGGAGGATGAGGGAGAAGCCAACGGCGCCAGCAATGGAAACGGAGCAGCTGCCGAGGCCGAAAATGGCAATGGAAACGACGATGGAGAGCCAAAGAAGAAGAAAAAGAAGAATAAAAACAAAAACAAGGAAGCCTTGGTGGCGTAATCGTCTCCATTACATTCAGCTTAGTCTTAAGTACCTTTTACCTTATCAGCTTTTTCTGTATTTTCTTTGACCCTAATGGATCCAAATTTAATAAACATGTACTATGGAGGGTATTCCCACCGAATTTAATTTGTCTTTTGGTTTTCAAAATAAGAAACGTAAACTAAACCGCAAATTATTTGAAATTGAAAGCCACAGAGGAAATTAATCATTTCTATTAATGTATGTCAGTCGAGAAATGAAACCAGTCTTCCATAGAAGACCTTTAAATTATATTTTATAATGACAAAAATGCTTGTGTCCTCTTTTAGCTTAGATAAAATGTGACGGACTAAAACTTAATAAACAACAATATTGCACAATTATTGGTTTCATTTCTTTTATATTTCATATTTCTTTTACATTCAATTTATATACAGACACATCGTAACGTTAACTATTGCTAAATTTGTTTGATTTCATTATTTGTAGTATTTTGTTTAACAATTTTAATGTTGGATCGCTTAGCCGTCCGTCCGCGCGTTGTGCTAACAAATCCGTTCAGTACAACCATTTATTCAACTACAGTGTATTGCATTTGATGACGACATTCAATTTCCGAGTGGACAATCAGGACGGATGTGGAATTCATGGGTGTGATCCGAAAAGCTGCATCGGGGGGAAACTTGTTTAACAATAAATTTAGCAACAAATTGCACGCTTCGCAAACTTTATACAGCAAGGGGGGTGGGTAAACGTAAATAAAATATAGAACTGACAAGTTTAGCGATAGTAGAAATGTGAATGTGAGAGTGGAAATTTCAGGGAGTAGTTCAAGGCTGGGGTGGGTTAAATTAGGCTAAACAATATCATTGGAACAAGTCGAATGCCGACGAGCTGTTATTGTTATTATTGCTGTGATTCTGTTGCTGGAACGCTCCAAAGTTGGCAAATGCTGGTTGGTTTTGTGGAATGCTTTGCTGTGGCGCCGCAGCACCAAAAATATTGGGACTGGTCATCGGCGAAAGTCCGGAGAACCCGCCTCCCGTCTGCACATTCAGCGGGGCCTTCGCTGGACTATGGGTCTTCAGGGCGTTCATCGAGGGAGCAGGAGCACTGGGTTTGCCCGACTTGCTCATCAGCAGGTTGTCCAAGTCGATGTTCATCTTGCCGCCCTTCAGGTCGCCCGACCATGTGGCACCCACACTGGTCGGCTGGACACTTGGGGCGGTGGTAACAGAGCCCCCGTTGATATTATTGTTGTTATTGGTCACCGACATGGGCTGGAGCAGATTGTTGCCCGTGGCGGCGGCGATGGGAGGCAGCATATTGTCTGGAAAAAAACAGAAGCAGTAATATTGTTATTCGGGGCTTTTGACTTTCGATTTCTTTGTTTGGTTTCACAAAAAGCTAGTTCGAATGTGTGGCTTCGATAGAATTGCAAATGCGTCTACTTGGTGATCGGCTAATGAGGTGGTTACTACTCGGAAGCGTTTGCGCAGCAAATCAAGTGCAATTACATAGTCAAAGAATAGATAGTATCTGTTATATGGCTATTGCGCTTAATGCCGTTTTATTGCGGTTTATTTTACCTAATGAGTCCGCGGCTGCGGTGGCCGCACAATGCCCGGAATATTGAGAAATGCTTTTTATTTCACCATTATTAAGTACATATATATTTGAGAAACAAAATTGGATCCGATGTGTGTGTGGTTTGCAATACAAATATGCAGTGGGAGAAAAAACAAATAAACAAAAGAAAGTAGTTTAAATGAAGTAAATCCGTATATGTATACCTGCGAGAAATACATAATCATAATTCCATGAACTATATAACTTATTGCTAGCAATAACATCTCTCTTAGGAGTCTAATATTATTATTTTATAATATAAAGGAAATGTTTTATGGTTGTGAGTTTGGATTCGAATACTTTCTTTATGATTGTTACTGGGTAATAGGTATGAAAATAAAATTACAGCTTTGCAAAACTAAGATATAATCGATGGTGTTTTACTGACATAGTTCTTAGAAAGCATAAATAAACCAATAATAATGCAGGTATTTCCATCTGCAACTATTTTTTACATATATATGGCTGCCTTTAAATTGGCATAAAATTGTGTTTTCTATTCTTTAGAAAAGGGTTAGGTTTGTGTATTTTTAATACAGTTTTTATAGTAAAAATATCTTAAGTTTTCAACAGTTATTCATTCTTTAAAATGGTTGAAAATTTATTCGCTAGGCAGCCTGCTCCATGGCTGCTGAATCGAAGAGCTTGTAGCAAGTGTCCAGGATGCTTTGGGCCAGATCCCGGCACTCCTCAGAGGTTTCCCCGCCGACAAGCGGCGATCGTATAAAGTCCTCCAGCCAGCGCTGCAACTCATTCAGCGACTCCGCAAAGTGTTGGGCCAGCACATGTCCGGGTGTTGTGACCAGGGCGATTCCAATCAGCTGCAGAGTGGCCGCTCTGACACGAGCCTCAGCATTAAAGCGCACAAAGGCGCACAGATCGAAGATCTCGCGGGTCATTGCCGGCAGCAGTGGACAGTTCTGGGAGCACATGATTATCACGGACAGGGTGTGCAGCAGATTTACCAGCAATTGGGTGTCGATGTCGTGGGATATGTTATCATACTTAACGAAAAGCATCTGGCGTGTCCTTTGGCCCCTGACCAAACTGAAGAAGAAAGTCCCTGCCACCGGGTGAAATGGATTGGCCTTTTCAATTCGATCCCCAAATTTCGGCTTGCTGAAATACCGCTTGGTCTTGGCACGCAAGCGTTCCCGTATGATTCGTTGAGCAGCAGCCAGACGAACTGCTGGACTTTCTTCCTCCTGCTGGAGTTCAAACTTGCGCGGCTGCTTGGCTGCTGGTGGCACAATGTCCAAGACTTCACTCTCAGCTTCCTGCTTCTCATCGCCAGAAAGCTCCTTGGCAGCTGCTGCCAGCACCTGCAGGATCAGGATGCGCACACTGGCTGCATAGCAGGTGTTATCCGTGTGGAACTGGCGGCACAAGTATTCGGCACATGCTCCAGGATGAGACACACAAATTGCCACACAGCACTTGAATTGTGTACGCTCGAAGTGCTCATAGTAAAACTGCATTTCCATGACCAGGAATAGCTGCAATAGATCTAAGGCCAACTGAGTGTCATGCCTGGCCAGCTGGCCACGGATGAGCTGCTCCGCGGTGCCTAAAGCGCCCTCAAACACTTGATAATTCTCCACCTTGGTCCGGAGTAGTTGGAGCAGGTCTATGACGAATTTGGGGCGCTGCTCAATGGTGCTGGTTATATCATTGGACATATCGTAGGGCTTCAAATCATCGTCGTCTTCATCCAGTGGCTCATCGTCATCCGAGTCCAGCTGCATGTTAATATTTTCGGTTCTGGTAGGTGGCTTTGCTTTGGTTTCAATTTTTTGGCGATTAACCTGCTCCTTTTCCTCTGGGCTACTCATAAACGCCTTTAGATGTGATTCCAACAGATTGAAATAATCATAACTTGGCTTTTCATCTAGTTTGGACTTGCTGGGGCTTTCATACTGAGCCAATTCATCAAACTCCTCAAAGATGTGCCACTGCCGGGTTTCCTTCATTGTGTCGTAATCAAATTTTAGACGATCATCCTCCTTTATATCAGGCAGAGCCATAAAATTGAAGAGTAGCTCCACTGTCTTCATGCCCACATGTCGCTGCAACGCATCTGGGGATTGCAGATGATGGCTGAGTCCATCATGCAGTTGGCGCTTTGTGTCCAAATCCATTTCAAGACTTCGGCAGAGACATTTTCCGGCCAACACGATCAATTTGGATATGGCCAAGTGCTCTTGGTTGCCCAGTTTATGCAAGGAGATTCGCTTTGACCAAATTCCCAGCAACTGGTTAAAGAGCATCTGCAGTTGAGCAGGAGCTACGACATTAAGATAACTCGCCAAAGTCTTGAGTTGCTTGTTTTCTACAGGTGTCCGCTGGAGTGGTAGCTTCTGGAGCAGACAGTGCTTCCAATGGGGAGTCTCCAAAGCGGAAGCACCGATAAGAACGTAAAGATTCAATTCTGCCGTAAGTGCCGATTGGGCTGTTTTAAGACAAGCAGCAGGATCAAGTTTATTCATAATGGTATGGACTAATTTTCTTCCTCTGACGGGCACCGCATAGTCCTTAAGCACTTGCAGGAAACTCTCTAAAGTTTGACCATCGAATATTAGGTTAACAAGCTGGGAAAGAAGCCAGGAGTAGGGTTCCAGATCAAAGTATTCCTCGCTATAATCGCACTGCAGCACAAAGTGAAGGGATTTCAGCCACTGGCGCAGCAGGAGCTGCTGATAAGGAATAGGGGCGAACAATTCCGGCAGCTTACGACCCAAACGATTGGCCACCTGGGCTGGCAGTCCGATGAGCAGTTGAAAGAACCCCTTCACCTGGGCATCCAGCTCCTCAACACGCCTTTCCGGCATTACTTTAATAGTCCGAGCAAACCGCTGCATCAAAGCTCCTCTCTGTCGGGAGATGTGGAGCAAGGCGATAGAAAGTAGGCCGTCATCTTTGAGTAGATCTTCCAAAAATGCTGTGATGGTAGCGGGAAACTTATCCAATTTCCCCTGAAGCGCTTCAAAGGCAACCCGAATGTAATCAAAGCTGTGATCGAGTTTAAAAAGGTTCAGAACATCCACATCCCGCGACGGCTCAGGCCAATCCTGGCTGAACAGCTCCACCAATTGGTTCAGCAATGCGGCGTACTCTCCATTGGCCAGCGAACTCCAGTCGCACGTCTGCCGATCGAGGCCCACCAACTGCTCTGGAGTGGTAAAACCGGGCAGTGCGTTCGAGTGAAGCAACTCCCTTAGAACGGATGCCACTTGGGCGGTAGCTGAAGCACTCTGCACCTGCCCCAAGTCACGCAGCTGCCTCTGCGCCTTGGCCAAAGCCAAACGCACTGCCTCCGACGGCGGGGAAGGAGGAGATGGCGACATCGAATCGTTACCGGTTGCCATCTGCTCTTCGACAGCTGCGAGAGAGAATGAGAAGAGAACGAGTGCATCCGATTGGAATATGTTGCCGTTTTTGTGTGGGAGGATGTAAGAGTGTTTCTTTGTGTGTGGGTCTGGGGGAGCTCGAGGTAGAGATAATGGCTCTAGTCAAGCTCGGGGGCGCGCTTTCATGCAGCGATTCCTAAATACATCACGAAGTGACTAAAGCCAAGACAATTACTCTAATCCTAGGCCTAATTCAAATTTAAAACTAGGTTAACCTACAAGAATCAAACTACTACTCACCCATTGGCATGCTTTGGTGTATGGACAGATCGCCTAGGCCCGCCAGGAGATCTGTGGCCGTGGTGGCCGCTGCCGTCGTGGCAGGAGCAGCGTTGAAGAGGTCAAAAGAATCGTTTGCCGGCGTGGCCGTCTTTAGCAGATTCCCATCCAGAGCAGAGCTCGAAGTCGTCGATCCTTGGAATGCAGCAAAGTCGGCAAACTCATCGTTGGCAGCCGGAACTAGGCCTGTTGAAGGTGGCTCGGTGATTGCCGATCCAGCTGGATTGCCACCAAAAGCGGCGGCAAAGTCTCCGAACTCCTGCTGGCTAGCATCGCTGGCCCGCGGATTAAAATCATCGTCGTCGTCCACGATCACTGCGGCGCTGTTCAGTGTTTGCTCCTGCGCTGGCGGTGGCGAGCAAGTCTTGAACAGATCGTCCAGCAGATCGTTATTATTGCTTTGCGTATTATTGTTGGCCTTGGAAGTGGATGGCGACGGTGAGCCGCCGCCCATCAGATCCACGCTGGTGGGAGTGTCGCGGTGCGTGGGCGAGTGGATGCCAGCAGCACCGCCAGGCGCTGGCTTTCCAAAGTTAGCCGCCGCACCCAGATCGATCTTTTTCTGGGGCAGCGTCGGCTTGGCGGCCACCGTTGAAGTGGGCTGCTTGGAAACTGGTGAACTGACAGTCTTCGAGCGAATGTTCATGTTGAGGCTGGAAGGCTTGGCCTCGCTGGCCACCTCGGCGGGACTGGCGCGGTCATTGTAGCGATAGTTACGTCTGCGGTAGTAAAAATAACATTAATTATTTAGCCGAGTTCACTGGGGGCTTGGCGACCACTTGCCTTGGACTGGGTGAGTCGCTGTCGGATCCCTCGCGCTCTCCATCGTAGTGAGTATCATCATCCTCATACCGATCCTTGTCGGCGTTCTTGTCGGAATCTTTAGGAGAAATATACATCATTAATTACTTATATCTTGATAGGAGAAAGTCATAACAGAAATATTAATTTAAAAAAAGAACGTCAGCTTACACCAATTGTCTCCACGACCTGAGCGGTAGTCGCCACCATCATTGTAGCCACCACTGCTGCCGCCGCCTCCTCCACCGCCTCCACTGTATCCGCTGTAGCCACCGCTTCGCATGCCCATGGCATCGCTGCTCATGCCGATGTACTTGTCCTTGTTCTTTTTCGCCTTCTTGCGCTCCTCACGCAACCGATCGTCGTCCTGAATGAAGTCTATAAGCTCTCGTACCTTATGCCTAACATTAATACCCTGATCCTTGCCGCCCTCGTCGGTGAACGTGTAGTTCTCCAGCGAGCGCAGATCGTAGATGTGCTCCCGGGAGGATGTCACCACCCGCTCGGAGCCATTCCGCACCAAATAGTTCAGCAGGAGGAGGCTCTGTAAACAAATCATTTGAGTAAGAACACTATTGATTCAATAAAACTAAAGACATACCTTGTAGGTGCGTCGCCAGTTGGTTTTGTTGTCCTGCAGCATTCGCTTCCACAGCATGGACATCACCTCGGGGAATGTCTCGTAGGAAAAGGTTGAGTATGCCAACTCCTGCATGAGTGGTCCTGTGGGCCCCCAAGGATCATCGTTGGTGGCCTCCCGCACCTTGCCCTCCGTCTCCGTGTAATTCATCACGACATTGGTGCTGCAAGGATTTGTAAAGAATTAATCAATTATCTTCTCAAGTTGTTTCTTGAAATAACGAAACCGTCCCTTGTTTTCAAGTCAATGATCTATACTAGATCTATAAAGAAAAACAAAATGCGTTTATGGAGAAGTCAAAATATTTTTCTTTTTTTTATTCTTATATTATATGACTTAGATGTTAATGGTTTAAAAAAGTAAAGCCAGAAAGTCTCCGTAAGCTTCCAACAGTAAAGTAAAATACTGCTTATTTGCTTAATGCATTGATAAGTTCAATTGACTTGATAATCAAACAGATATAGCCACAGTTAATCAGAACTGGTATCTTAAAATAAACGCTGTGTGTCAATGCAGCTTTACAATGCCCAGATAGAGATAAATAAATAAATAATAAGACTGTGACGTTGATAGACATTGGAAACGTGATGGAAGAGGTCTAAGTGTCGCTGCCGACTTCCAGCTAGTTATTCCTTATCGGTTCGAGATAAGGACTAGTAAAAGTGTACGCAATTCCCCTTTAGGAGTAAACTCCACTTAACCTAATGATTTGGGTGCTATTATAGGAACTCCATTGAATATAATTTATTAGAACTATAGCTTTATTGGGTGACACCACCCCATAAATGGGGCAGGTGAAAGGGGGCAGCCTTAATTAATAATTCGATGGCGAAACAGAAACACCCAATTCACTGGAAAGCCTGGAAGTGGAAGTGTTAACACAGGTGGAAACATTTTGTTATATTTGGGCAGTCGAAAGCAAACAAATTGTTTCTTGATAAAGCCTCTCACACACACACACATTCACATGGATATCCATATCGGAATGTGGCTGTGTGAGTAAAGCTCGTTTGGAATTACGAACAACCTTGAAAACAGGTAAAATAGTGCACCTAATCCAGGTCCCTAATGGAGTGCATCCATCAAGAAGATGTCTCTACGGATATTAAGATATTTTTTTGAAAGGAAATAACTTAGAGGAGTAGGGGGCGTGGCGGGAAATCAGGGGATTCGGGAACATCGGGCGTGGGAGTCTCCACATTTACTCATTTTGAAGGGGAATGTTATACACACATCCTAATAGATATATGTTTCTGATCACTTACACCTTGTCCGCCAATTCGCGCACTTTCCACATGCTGATGAACTTATCCACCATTTTGGAGCTATTGAATGCTACGGAATTTTTCACACAATCTAGTCGAAAGGTGGCTGGAAAATCCAACTACAACAAGACGTCGAACTCGTTTTTGCTAGTCGTGCCGTTTTTGTGTGTGTACTTTTCACTGCCGTTTGCACTTTTGCATGGAAATTGCGCACTTGACTCGCACTCGCGCTATCCGCCAAACAAAAATGTAAAAATTTAAACCAAAATTGTAAAACAAAATCACAGCAGCTAATTTTTTTTGGTGAGCTGTCCCTAGTGTTGCAAAATTGCCTCCAGATATTGGTAGTGTGGCAAGATGTCGACAATCGGCAGGCGGCCGCTTATCAACACTAGCAAACAGCTGAACGCTGCCGTCATCTGTGGATTCTCAACGTTCAATAGGAAAGTTTGTTTAAATTAAGGGATTTACTAAATGAAACATAAATGATTTTAAGGAAAATAAGAAGTTTCAAGTCATAAATATAAAGCTCTTGCATTGGCATAATGCAAAAAGGCGCAATCGGCCCGCTCAAAATGTAAACAAAAAGGTTATGTAAACTTCTGTGATTTCTTGCAGCGTGTAGATTGACTGAAAATGTTGGGACTGCAACGATTTGCCGGCAGTTTTGTTAGCCAATTGTACCGCCGTGCCGCCTACAGCAGCAATGTGAGGACGGCGGGCGTTCCACTGGCCACCACTACCACTGGAGGTCATTCGGATGCAGCCGAGCCGGAAGCACGCACGCCGGCTGTGGAGACGGTGGCCAGAAAGCCCAGAGGTATGTAGCTCCCACTTAACCGACTTATGACTACTTACTAGTCTCTACTCATCCAGGGAACATGGTAGCCGCCGCCTTCGAGTCGCTGAAAAACGACAATCCCAAGGATGATAGCAAGAGCTTGGCCTCCAGCAAGATAGATGAGCGCATCATCAATGCCAAGACAGTCAACGGACTGCTGGCCATCACGGAGAACAACAATGCCTTCTCGAGAAAACATGCCCTCAGGATTGTCTCCATCCTGGCGGAGTGGAGTACCTTGGATCGGGTGAAGATCTCAGAGTTCGAGAACGACACCAGATTCCTGCGCATTTGCCGTATGTTGGGCAGAACTGTGCCCAAAAGTAATAGTGGTAACGGAAAGACTCTGGCAGAGAGCAATGGTAGTGCCAAGCGGATTTCCGGCTTTCGGACGGATGATCTAAACACGGTGCTCGGCGTGGCTGGCGATGATGAGGCGGCCAAGCTAATTGCCAGCATTAGTCTGCCCCAGATGGTCAAGGTGATGAGCACGCTCGCCCAGAGGAAGAGGCGTAGTACCCCACTCCTGCGTTCCCTTGCCTTTAACATTAGCAGCTCCTCGGAGGCACTGGATCTGAAACAATCAGCAGACGTGCTGTACGCCATGTCCACGCTCAATTTCCAGGACTCTGTGCTGGGCGCCAAGGTCTGCGCAGATGTCCAAACTGCGCTGCCTAAGAATGTGGAAAAGTCCGCCGTTGTGGGATCCATCATCACCAGCCTGGGCATTTTGCGTTACCGGGATCTCGGTTAGCTTGCTATTAATAACTTCAAATCACTTCTGGTATCCATAGGTCTTCTTTTCCCCTAGATATCCTGGAATCCCTGACGCAATGGTTTTTAAAAAACAGCGAAATCTGCCGCCCTCAAGACCTCAGCGCCTACTTCCTCACCTCGGCCCTGCTGAACTTCAAGAGCGGACAGCTGGAGGAAGTGAGCAACAAGCTGGTGAAATCTATTGTGCGTGAAGACTTCACCAAGCAATCCGAGTGGCTGAGCTTTGTGTGGTCACTCACTATGCTGGGTCTAGTCGAACACAAACACCTGGCTTCCGTTTTGAGGTTTGTCCTTAGCTGTAAGTCCCAAAGAATCGCTTGTTAAATAGTGTATTTGCAGTGCGGATTTCCTAGAGACATTGAAAAAGGACAAGGCCGGCGTAACAGCAACCTCCAAAATGAGGCTACTCAACCTGAACAGCTATGCGCAATTATTAGCCACCGATTACAAGGGTCCTCTACTGTCCGCAGACAGTCCTGCCTACCAGGTGCTCATGGCGCATCCTAAAGCAAAACAAGTGCTAGTTAACGGCATGCTGGATGCACTCAAAAGCCTGCTGCCGGCCAGCAATCATTTCCAGAGCGCATTGGACAGTAAAATGGGCTTCCTTATAGGTATGAAAGTTATCTTTTTAAATCGAGAGATTTTCCCAATAAGTAGTAATTCCAGATGCACTGTGCCACTTTGATGCTAACAGAAATCCCCTGCCTTTGGACAAGGAGAACCCCAACGCCATAAGGTGATTTATCCGAAGTCTCTTCCAGTTTCTTGTTAATATTTAAGTTTCTTGATTTTAGGGTGGCCCTGATGGTCATTGATTTCCATGACATTTGCCACGGAACGCATCGCAGCGGCAGCGGCGTTACGAATCTGACATTTGACCTGCTGGAAAAGAGCGGATACCACGTTATTCCTGTGCCCTATAATGAGTTCAGCACCAGTGACAAACTACTGAAGCGAGTTCAGTATTTGGAGGCAAAATTCAAGGCGATTGCAAGTAGCAAATAATTGCAGCTGTAGTTTATTTAATTTTCCTTGTAATGATTGATCAATATTTGAATTGTTTAAATTTTGTAAATGTTAAATTAGGCGCTGAATTACAAGCTAAACCCCAGCGAAAAAGTTTGTCATGTTATCAAGAGATTAGAGGCTTAGAAGCAATCTTTTAAGTCATACATTTCAAACGGCATTCAGTTTGCTTGAGCGCTGCTTGTTCATGCCCACCTTCCACCACTGACCCGTCTCCTGGAATTCGATGGCCACGGCAGCCAAGGTGTGGAATAGGCTTCGAGCCAGCATGTGAAGATTGCCAATGTGCAGAATAAACTTTGGGTCGTACATCTTGTCGATGTCATCGATCTTGTAGTGATCCCGCGTCTCCCGCTCCGTCAGGCAAATACAATTCCAAGGTGCCCAATCATCGCTCTTGTTCCAACGTGGCAATCTGCAGGAAAATTTATATTTTTAATAATATTTTAAAGTTATATAGTGGAGAAGTTGCCTTAATTCACTGAGATTCTCGGTCTTGCTGAGAGCCGAGTGCCCGTGCCATATCTTGTCTATGATGTGACGCACATCATCTGGCTGCATCACAAAGGCAAACGATGTGGTACACTTTCGTTTGCGCTCATCTCGATGGATGCACCTCAAAATTGACTGGTAAACCGTGTTTTCTGTAGCCGTCAGCTGCGGGTAAGTACCTCAAATGTTATTACAGATCATTATAATACATACAAAACCCACCTTAAGATAGTAGCAGTGCTTGCAGGTATCCACATGGCTTTGCCGTGTCCTAATGGCAAACTCAGCATAGGTCTTAACCTTCTTGCAAACAATGCACATGCGCGATGGAGTTCCTGTGTATAACATTTTATAAAGGTTCATGGAATTAGTAGATCAAAACTCACTCTCTTTGGGCGTGCCTTTTTGGAACTTTATCAGATCGAAAAAGAGCTTGGTCTGGCGTTTGCGCAAAATTTCCACATCAAAGGATTTGGCGTAGAGCATAAGATTCTTTTCGCGTTCAAAGAGATCGAAGAGCTCGGGAAAGTTTGGATAGCAAGTCTCCTCGGTTAGCACTGTCATGACTTGACGGATGAACTCTAAGCGCTCCTCCTTGTTTCGTGGCTTTCGCAGATCCTTGTAGATCTCGGTGAGAAAGCGCACTCGCTGCGTGCTTAATAAATCCATGTGGATCTTGGAGTCCTTGTACCCGATCCACTCGATCGGCTTGCCCATCTCCTTTAGCAGCTGATCGTTGCGAAAGTCCTCCATGGCTTTGTAAACAAGATTGCGCTGTCGCTCCACGCCATTAAGCAGCTGGATCTCTTTGTCCAACAGGATGTTTACTTCAGCGATGCGTGCAGGGCCCTCATAGTTGGCTGTGATTCGCTTCAGTTCCGCCTTTTTCCATCGACCCACCTCCGCGAACAGCAGATCGAAGTCGTCTTTGTTCCGGGGAAACTGCTTAACTACTCGATGACGCTCCACACGCTGCTCCACGCACTTCTCATACCGCTCATCCTCCTGCTCTCGATTTTGAACCAGGCGACTGATACAGGCAATGTCATAAAGGATAAATTACTAAATTCTGCAAGAAATTTGGAGGCACCCACCGATATTCCTTAGCCCTAATGCGGATATATTTCCACAAAATCCAGCGCCTCCAATTTCGCTGAATGAGCAGAATCTTCTCGAGCTTACGTTCAGCTCGCTCCTTCTGGGCAAAAGTCTGGTACTTGCCAGGAATTATGGTGAATTCATTGACTGCCGACACATACAGGATATTTATGCCATCCAGATGGCATTGCACCGACTGCTCGTGGGCTGTGTTCTGAAGTAGATTGATGGGTAATCAACTGCAATTTAAAAACCAATGTTTTCAGAACTTACCAGGGTCTTCTCCTTTTGCTCCCAAGTCTGCGTGTCCCTGGTCTTGTACTTCCTGTACTTCATCTTGTCAAAGTAGGGACCAGTCTGGGTAAAGGCATCCAGGTACTCCTTGCCAGTGACCTTATCCCGATAGCCGCACAAGAAAGGTTTGACGATAGCCGCATTTTCGATCTCCACCACCACGTTTTTGGATTGACCATCCTGGGTATCCTCACCGGAAATATGGACAGTGATGAAATCAGCCAGACGGTGTTTGCTGATTGAAGAGGATGGTACTTTTAGAGTTTGTAAATAAAACCTTTTATTTAGAAACCCACTCGTAGTAGACATCTAGGTCCAACTTGGAGGACTGACTGCCCACTGTACACAGCTCCAACTGGAACTCGTGGATGCCGTACTCATCCAGGGTGGTGGAGTTGATAGGCACAGAATCGCAGAGCACGCGGCTATCCTGCCGAAGGACCAACGATTCCGGTTCCACTTCGAATTTGCGAGCAATGTCCTGCTTCACTTCGCCCAGGGTCATGCAGTTGGGATATACCTGGGCCAGGATGTCGGTTTCCGAGAGCCGGAACTTGACGGTCACGTTCTCCAGCTCCACACAGCATTCCTCCGAGTGCTGCGGCTCAGATTCTGTACTCCCGGTGTCCAAAGGAGGAGGGCAACCGGGCGGCAACTTGGGCCGCTCACTGGGCTCCACATGGAGTTGCACATTGCACACATACCCCGCGGCACGCTCCTCCACACTCATTGTGCCACACAAAATATATTTATCAAAAGGGAGAGAATAACAGTTTGTAGTTAAGCTAATTTAAAATTGAGTCTGAAAACTGCCTGCTGAGATATACAAGAGGATGGGTGGGAGCCACGAATTTGTTCAATAACTTTTCATCCGCTGCTAGGCGCCCTGTTGTGGCAACGGGTTGTAGGCCAAAAAGCCGTTCAGGCCCTAATTTCGTGTGGTCTAAGTACAGTGTGGCTATTTGTACCACTAACAGACATCACAAAAGTCCAGTCATGAAAGAATTAGTAAATGAAATTAAAAATAACTTAAAATAAATTCTAATTTAAGCTAAATCATAAATCAAATTATGTTTAAGGCCTTTTAATGGCTAATCATATAAGTAAAACAGACTTTTTTTAATCTTGGTTTTTTATTTTGAGCTTCTTTTTAATTAGTTAAGCATTAAATCCTAAAAAAAGTTAAATCAGGGAATAAAATGATTATATAATTGTATATTAAATCAAAAAAATTGACCAAAAATAATAGCAAAATTAATCAGATCGCCTTCAAGTAGTTCCACATAGAGAATTTCAACTGTGTTTAAGTTTTCTCACGCATTCGTACTGAATTTCCACAAGTGAAAGCTCCCAATCATCTAATGAGCTCCCCAATTCCACTGGGCATTTACGAATTTGCATACCCATAAATATTTTCTAATTGCCCCAAATTCATCGTCTTCCCAGTTCAATCTGCCATATTTCAGCGCCTTATTATTTATTATTATTTATTGCACAACTCGGAGCATTTGGCATGCGCAAAGACAACGGTGACAGTAATTACTTTTACTAAATGGATTGGAGAGAGAGATGGTCGGACCACACGTGAAGATGATTTTAAGCTACCGATTATGCTACCGATGCGGAAGCCGTCTTAATAATGATTGTTAACTATTATATCATGATCCGAACAGATATCATCAAATTTAATGGCCCCCCAGCTCTTAGCGATTTCTTTTGCTTGATTTTGACCCAATTCGTGGGGTTTTGTCAATTCGGCTCATAGGAAACGCGATCCAGTTGAAAGGTTTTGCCATTTCCCCTTCAAGGCGGGGTCCATTCAAAAGCCGCTTAAAATATTCGCTTACCAAACCCGCGAAACAAAGCAATTGTTGTTTTTCTTTTTTATTTGCTAACTATGAGTACTAATAAATAATGTTTTTGTTATAGTAGAAGTTGGACTTTAGGTTGGCGGCCGTCAGTCCAGTTTTTGCACCGGCATGGGCAACCTGCAGTCGATGTGGCCGGCCATTGAAGTAGTAGTCCTTCTGGTGCTGCACCCGGAACACCTTACTGGGATTCCGATGGTCCAGCTTGGGCCTGGATGTCGTCGTCGACGGACGCACCGTTGTGGTCTTCGTCGTCGTCGTCTTCTCCGCCTCCTGGAGAATGGGATTGATCTTCATCGGCTGATAGTCCAAGCCGATGCCGGGTATGTGACGGAAGGGCAGTGGGGGTACGGGTATGTAATAGATTTTCGAATCCTTTTTCGTTTTTTTCGTCTTACTGCCGTTCTTGTTGTACTTGCGCAGGTTCAGCGGCTTGGAGGTGACCACGTAGTCCATGTACAAGTTGTCCAGCGACGGAGACTGCACCACAATCCGGTTGGCCAATCTCGTAGGCGGCGCATTTGCATCTGCCCTTGGACCGTAGGAGTAGGGTCGAGCTGCCACCAAATTGGCCAAGATAATTAGCGATGCCAATGGAAGCAGCGGCGACATTCTGTAATTGGGCCCAAAGGTACGTTGTTAGAGCTTGACAAGAAAATATTGCAGATAAATAATTTCAATTGGTTTGTCACAATTATTTTATTTTCTTAAACTTTAAAGAATATTTGCTGTTGTCTATATTTTTCAGGGGAATTACTTTAACAAAACAATTTCATAATGTGGACTTACTATTTTCTTATAATTTTCGGCATATGGTTAAGAATATATACACTTTTAGTTTTTCCTTTATAATTTTTAAAGTAACACAAAACTAAAGTTTTAGTGTAAAAATATTCCTGCTATATCGGTAGCAAATTAAAAATTTAATTTTTTACACTATTTCCGACCATCTACATTAATACATTGAGGTAAAAGGTATACTTCACCAAAATGTATTAAAATGGTATAAAAGAAACGAATATTAACACGTATAGAGACCTTTTTTATGATTCAGTAGTGAATTCTAGTAGTGAATTACTAGACTAAAAATTCAATGGAAACCATTTATTTGCTACTCAGGTTTTGAATGCACAGGAATTTCACTCAGAAAAACTGTACTTAAAGAACGCAATAAGGTTTGGGATACCAGAAAAAGTCAAAAAATCTGATCAAAGCTATTTGGGTTAGCTTTTTGAGCTACAAGAATTAAACATGAATAGGTGTAAAAAGGCAGCTATCTGGATAAATATCTGTGAGAGGTGGGAGAATGTCAAGGCGACGGGCAATGAAAGTGCTGAGTGCCACCCACGCCCCACTCGACGGGTTGTCCGATTGTTCAAGGTTTTGATCGATGGGGTGGCAACCGAAGTGGCGAACTCGACTGCTCGCAATCATAATAATAATAGCTACCAATGCGAATTTCTGCAAGTCACATGCCAAAGCCGAATAATTTAATAACAAATAAATTGTCTGTGCGCATCAAAGCGCAAAATGATTCGCCTTTACATTGTAAAGTTTCTCACGTTCCCCACACACGTAAAAGCCGAAGCACTTACATGCCAGAGATAATTTTCGTTTCGATTTGATTTAAATGAAAGCATTTAATGCACGCTAATCAAAGCGACGCCGGCCGAGCAATTACCCTAATGAGCGAGTCGAGCGCCATCCGCGCGCAGATTTCAACGCTTCAGTGATTAATGAGCCAGTGAAAAATAAATTGATCGCCGCAACAACCGAAAAACCTGGGATCGAAGTGGATAACACAATTTTTGGGACTAACCAGGGGCGTCAGCGGTTCGCCCACCGTTTCAACAGGTTGTGTCTATGCTTTCTATCGCTTTAGACTTATATGTTTTCCGATAAAGACATTTGTCTAGTTCTTGTCTCTGGCAGAATTCCCCAAAAAAAAATCGGTATCCGAGATAAATTGCAGAAAGTTGGGAATTTGTATTGTTAGCTGATCATAGACCCCGCATATTCGGTGATATATGATCGCGGTGATCAGAGATCGCAGTGATAAAATAACAAAGAGGAAAATGCGAATCTCGAGAGACCACACACATTACAGTCTAGGCTCATTACATTTTAATTGTTCGAAACCCTAATGGCTCGCAGTTCGCAGAGTTCAGGAACCAGAAACTGAAAAACTAAGTTTAATTTGTCCACTCACTGACTTCAATTATCTAAGGCTGTGTTATTTCGCGCCTATATCAACAGCATTGCCAAGGTCATATTCGTGATGCTAGCCATGATTAATCATATCACGCTCTTCACTCTGGTGAAAGACGAAAGACTTAGGCAACGAACTCGTAACGGAGGGTAGGGGGAACAAAAGACTTAGGAAGCAAACTCGCTGCAAACGAAAGACTTAGGCAACGAACTCGACGTGAATGGGGCGGCAATTATAAACTTATTAATGAACCGCCTGCCAGCCGTCAGTTGCAAATGATTTGACGATCTATGGGCATACGACTTTATTCTAATCGCACTCACTTTAAATGGCTGTGACTGCAGCTGCCGTTTGGCTTAGTCGATTACTAATTTTTCTTAGTTGTATTTGTTGATTGAACAATTTATGGCCCGAGTGTCCTTCAAGTAAAGATGTTTACTTGCATAAATTGTGAAAATTAATTTATGGGTAATGGTAAGCGCACGTTTATGGTTGGTAATTTAAATTTTACTATGAGCATCTAAACTTCACTCTATTTGCGTTTGATTTTCGCGTTTTCCTCGCACTGCTTTGCCGATGCCTCGGTTTTTCTGTTTTAGCTTGAGCGCGCAGCTTTTGAACGTTGTGAACGCCTCGGAGTGCGGCAAATAAATGAGATCTGCGGACTGTTTGTAATTTGTTTTTTTCTCTTTTTCTTCTTAAATCAAAAATCAGTCGCTGCCGCTGCCGCTGCCGACGTCGCTGCTTCTCTGCCGCCATCAGCGGCAACTGGAAGTGCGAGCGTCCACTTGCCGCAGCGCAGCTGGTGTTGAATTGGATTTATTATTGTGTGAGGTCCCAGCCGATGAAGACCGGAGAGCCAACTGGTTAGCCGGGTGGCAGATGATCTCCGGATGATGGGCGGCCATAAATAAGCCATTTTATTTTTGTCCACTTACTGTTACAGTTGCCAATTGCACTTGGTGGGATTTGCCCACTCCGCAATCGCCATTCGTTAACAAATTCATCAGCTTTGCATATCTCGGCTCCCCTACCACAACTGGGCAGGAAATACTATACCACTTGACCACTTGGCTCTCGATTGAATTACACCTCGGCGGCCACTGGGCCAGCTTCTTAACCCTCTGGAAATTTTACGATTTTATTTTAAATGATACAAACCTAAGATAATAAAATAAATAGGTTTTGATCACTAAACTAAAAAAAACATTTGAGGCTTATTTTCTGTTATTTTTATTAAGTTAACTAGGTGTAATAAAAGAAAGGTAAACAATAATAAATGATTATAAACTTTTTCGCTTTTCGGTATCATAATCTTTAGCTAATTTGTACAAATTTCGGCACATGAAATTTAAAACTGTTTGTATTAGCATACATTTGAATATTTTTCCTTTTTTCTGTTTGTTTTGATAACATGGATTGAATAATGCTTACAAATTAATTTGCGAATGTTTGAATTTCATTTGTTTTTTGTTTTTAATGTGAATTCTTTTTTCAATACCGGTCATGCCACTAATTTCTGAAATGCTTATCCAGATTTTTGTAAACAATAAAGTTGAGAAAGGAACCTTTGTTTGATATCCATAATCTTTTGTTTTAATAAGTCAGCTTCAAACGTTTAGTGAGGTTAAAAGGTTAGCAAAAAAATAATATCCCATGGGTTAAGGCCCTTTTTTGACAAACTCTAAGTTATGAAAAGGGTTAAGATATTGTGCCTGACTCCAGATCGGTATTGGGAGCAGCGTCTAGTCTGGTTGGCAGCTCCTTTGTCTTTCCGATACTGTGCACAAATTAGTTACAAATGAGCCTACGACAACAAAAGCCGTTGGCGGTAACACGAAGCCTTCGTTGAGGTAGGGCTTAAGTCTCGGTCCGATCTACTCTTCTTTTCTCCGTGCCAAGTGGTTTTCTGTGCTTTTTCGGCTTGGATTATTGACAGGCCACCAGGCAGCTCCAACTGGGACTCTAAAAGTGCACATGCGTGCGGCGCTCCAAGGGATCTCAGCGTTTTTGCCCTCATCATAATTCATAATTTAATTGGAATGGCAAATGGTGTTCGGGGCATTTTTGTAAACACTTTTGCGTGAGCTGCTGACGTTGATTGGGAGTGTTGGGCGATTAAAAGAGGAATCTCTCGACCTTGTAGTCGCAAGAAGTGGAAGCTATGACCCAATGAGCCAGAAATCTCCTCCGTAAATCAGCGAAAATGGTCATATTTTATGGCGAAATTTACGCAAACGTGATTTAATTAAATCACTTCCCTTCGAGGCACCGTTTTATGGGCCGCTAATTAAAACAAGTAAAAGCAACTAACACAATTGCCGTGGTGAGGGATTATATAAAGGCATTTTCAACTTTCCCAGGGCCCAGCCATCTTTCACCAGCTTTCTTGACCACAGAGACTATCTAAAATTTGGGACCCGAAACTAAACGAATGACATAACCGCAAAAACTCTCGGAGAGTACAACTTCCCATCTTGTGTCTCGTTGCTAAGACACTTTAAATATTAATTAGCCATGGCAGCAGAACTGCCGGCAATTAGGCCTCCGGTTTAAAGTGTGTGTTGAAGTGCGTAAACTCTCGCATGTGCCAAATGGCCAATGGCATCGGAATCTATATATACATAAATATAGAGTATACCCGTTCTCACAGCCAACTGCACGCACCACCTGCCAGAAGAACGGGCAGTCAGAGGCCTAATTGTAATTGTAATTGTTAACGATTAGACTACACAAATCACGAACAAGCTGCAAACGCCGGTAAGTATCTTCTGATATCCCCCATCTGTGCATCTGCAATGTCTTCGTGCCTCCGATTCTGAATCAGTCCCATTTGGAGCACCGTGTGTGAACCGAGTTTTAGGCATTATTAAGAGTAATATGTTTAATGCTGACGGAAGCAATACGAATAGATTGCACGGGAACGGGGCGCCAAAATAGACAGCTCGGCATGCACAGTGCGAAAAAACTAAAGTGGAAAAACATTTATGTTTTAATAATTCCACTCTATACTTTGCTTAAAATACTGATTTTTTTAAGTATTCTAACTTGGTAAATGTATATTTTAAGAACTTTTTCTAAGAACTACATCAGGTTTTTTCGCAAATATGTGTTGGTTTTTATAATTATTTGTATCTTAATTAATTAGATTAGTTTTTCATATTTTATAGTATATATTGTCGGATTCTTGTTAGGAGATGTTATCCAGATTCCCATGTTTCGCTGTATGTCACCCCAAATTAAGTTGATAATAAACAAACTGAGTACATAATTAATCTGGCGATAAGCAAACGAGGTTGTTATGTTTTTCCCTGTGTATGGAACCACCCCGCGGACCTTGTTTATCAACCTCTCCAGAGAGATCAGCAGACTCGGTCTCAGTTTTGGTCTACAAGCCCAGTCTTCCAGTCTTGGCCCGGTGCCTTCGGTCTGCGGCTCTGAATGACAGACACACTCTGAGCTCTTAACTCTTGTCTCTTGGCTGCTGGCGCTTGCGTGTTTGGCTACTGAATTTTAAAGCATTTGCCAGCACGCCGTGAAGTTGAAGAAGTTGTGGAGGGGAGGAGGGGAGTGGGGATCCTCATAAGGCTTCATTTACATTGGCAACGTTTTAATTAGCCGCTTATAAAGACACACAGCGGCGAGATCCATTAAGATGAATGGCTGGAACACCCACCGGCATTGCTACGTCACAGTTAAGCCGACTAATCAGCCGGCTTAAATCGCAACGATTATATATGGGCCAATTATAGCGAATCTTTTATTGTCGATAAATTCGCAGGTTCATTAAACCCACCGCCAGACCATAAACTGACTCACCCGCGGGGTTTAGCAGGCACTTTAGCCTAAGCCTTTGTCTCCAGTCTGTTTGCTTTTGTCATTCGGGGTGCTTGGCATGTGGACCCCACATCGGATCTCCATCGAGTGCATTCGGAATGAAGTTGTCCACTTACGCAACGCTATGCCGACCATCCCGATTCGGCCGTGCACTTGGCATTTCTGAGAGTTAGCCCCTGGTTATCGGGGTCATAACTGCCAACACGTCTGCAACTTTCATCGAAAGTCAAATATTTGTGGAGCACGCAAAAAGAAAAGTGTAACGAAAGGAAAAGACCTGCTAGCAGCTATCGATTGTCAGCCGCAAGATTCAATATTTGCTCATCCGTTCCAAAACGTTTAGCAGCGAATTCTTCGCGGGATTTGTGAAAGTCCCCGGGGGCAGGGAGCAGGTTAAAATGGGCGTTACGATTTCCAGTGGAGCTTGGCCTCCACCTGAATCGAATGGGGGCGATTGGCTGCCAATTGGATAGGCAGTCAAGATCGCTACCCATTCAGTCTGGGTCTATTGAGTCATAACCAGGGGCTCAAGTGGTTCGGGGAAAGAGCTCTTCAAACTGTCCAGCGAAGAAAGAAAGAGTGAGTGAGTACAGAAGAGAGTGAGTTGGGGGGAATCCCCATGTTCTGGCTGAGTTCTAATTGGAGTAATTAGTTAGCTAGCTGTTATGTCGTAATACAGCACTTATAATCAATAAAGGGAGAAAATTCGTTTCGGATTTAACTTAAAATCAGAGCTTTAGAATATGTTTATAAGCTTTCAATTTTAGAAGCGTATCGATACTAACATTTAGATAATAATAAAGATTGTTGTAGAGATTAGTAATCTATTTGATAATTGTTTTCATGGTTGAATTTAGAAATAGTTGAAAAGTAGTTGAAAAAGAAATCTTAGAAAAAATGAATTGAAAAGTACTTGAAATATGTCAAGGTAATAGCAATGAATTATGAAAAAAATGGTAATTACCATCTGGCATGTTTGCGAAAACATAAGATTCATAACATTAACTACTTTCGACCTTCAGCTGTCAGCGGAGATCAGTTATCTCTACAGATGGGTATTTTGACATTACATGTGAATCCTTAGCCATATAGAGCTTAACAAGCTCTGCCAAAAACAGCATCACCTCCCACATCAAGTTGAGACTGATTTGCACAATATATAACTCTACGAGCGGTTGATTTATACCCACCATAAAGCCGACCTGCGAAACTTTCCAAGCGGCCAACAATCAGAGCAACGCGGTAGATAGATCGTTAATGATGGCTTTATGGCCTTTTCCAGTAGATACAAAATTGTACCACGTCGCCCGTCAACTGGCGCAAAAATTCTTTTGGCCATTTTCCATTAATGATCGAGAAGTAAGTTTTAGATAATTGAAAACCAGTTGGCCAGTAAAAAGGAAAAGCAGATGAAACCCCAACGGAACGGAAAACATAATATAGCCCGTTGTTTGTATTGTAATTGCGTTAAATGCATTAATTAGCCGGCAAGCGGACGAGAAAGAAATCATTGGAAACGACGTTAATTACCCCGGCGGCTTATATTGTTTTGGCTACCCGCCAGAGGCAGCAATAGTGAACTATTATTTCAATTGGAATTTAATTTCGTGAGTGGGCATTGTTTGTATTTGCCATTTGTATGGCCTAAATGTGCGATCTCTGGGCTTGCAAAAAAATTCGTACCACGGTCGATCCCATCTGCCGACCTTGAGAGGCAAACGAGTCATTAATGGCATCACACCTTTGGTTGCCATGGCCCTTTCCACGGTCCACGGTGTCAATAAACCCCGGTTCTGGGGAATCTATCTAGTTACCGGTCGGCACAGCATCCTCCACGCACATCGCATCTTATCGCCGGGCCAGAAGATCATCCAATGCCACCATCAGCGACACTTAAGCTGTTATCAATGTATCTATTTTCATTGCTTTTAAACTGCTGGGCTGGCCATTATTGTCTCCCGTCTGCAGACGAGGCCGTAAAACTTTAATTTCAATTGAAACTCGATTAGCATCTGACTTTTTGAGGCACTGTCCCAGTTTTAATGACTTGGTTCTTATAAATAAAGTTTATTTTTAGTCTACAGTAGCGTTATTCAGCAAAAAACGATTTAACAAAAACAAAAAAGAGAACTCGACGAGGATGGGATTCGAACCCACGCGTGCAGAGCACATTGGATTAGCAGTCCAACGCCTTAACCTCTCGGCCACCTCGTCATATGCGACCTTGGCAGCCAAATGCTGCTTTCCTGCACCGCTTGTTCGGCCAGTAAGCAGTGCTCGTTCTTATCAGTGAAAGGGTCTTTAAGCAAAGCCCATACTACAATTTAAATAATAAAAATCAATATTTGCTGACAGTATTAAAACAGTTTAGATCATTTTAACTTTGGTTAATTATTGAGTAAAAACAGTAATAAAGCATCTAAAGTACCCGCCAATAGCAAAACACGGTAGCACTGCTTGCTGTCGATAACAATGTTTTACTGGTTCGCTCAGAACTAGTGCCTTGTTGGTCCTACCCGCATCACTGGACGAGGTGGCCGAGTGGTTAAGGCGTTGGACTGCTAATCCAATGTGCTCTGCACGCGTGGGTTCGAATCCCATCCTCGTCGATATACTTTTTGTTATTACTTTATTATTTTTAACAACTTTTGCGGTTAGCTTGATTGTATTATTAAACAATCAAAGAAGCAATAAGACTTAATTATGCTTGGAATAAAATAATAAAAACAAAGTTAATTTATATATGAGTCTTGTTAATAATAAAAAACGTTTGCAGGTATAGCTTTTAAAGCAAATATAACGTTGAATGCTTTTATGCTTACTCTTAACTAAAAACCTTTACTAGAAAGAGCACAAGAGAAATTCCGTGATGTATTGAAATAACTAATCACTGCCCATTGCTATAAAGAAAAGAGTCCAAGTGAATTTCCGTGATGTATGAAGATAGCTATTGAAGACAAGTAAAAATATTAAAAGATAGGCTTTTATATATCAAGGGGATACATTTAATTTAAGGACCTTTTTCGCATTTTATTTAACTTTAATATATGCATCTCTAATTTCAAAAAACGATCTAAATTCACTAAACCCAAGTTGACGAGGTGGCCGAGAGGTTAAGGCGTTGGACTGCTAATCCAATGTGCTCTGCACGCGTGGGTTCGAATCCCATCCTCGTCGAAGATCCTTTTTTATATTTTTTCAAATATTGTTTTATTGCTTTATTGTTTTTTTTTCTTAATCTCAATTTTGTTTATTAAGGTTTATTGCGAATTTAGATATTTTTGAGCAAGTATAAAAAAAATGAACTCATTAAATTTATCACCTAACAAGGATATTTTTTTACAAAAAAAATAAATTTCGACGAGGATGGGATTCGAACCCACGCGTGCAGAGCACATTGGATTAGCAGTCCAACGCCTTAACCTCTCGGCCACCTCGTCTTCGGATGCAATATAGTCAATATACTGTTAGTGGCAAAACAGATTTCATTTCTTATCAAAGAACCCAAGAACGCAACGCTAAAGCTTGGAACTAATTGAACTATCTCAAGATATAGATGATAAGTAAACTAAACTGATTACATAGTTGTTCAATCGCAGCGATGTTAACCGGAAGTATCTGTTCAATTTCTTTTGAAAGCTCTCAATTGTTTGTTTAATAATTATGTCAATGGAATTGGCAAAAATAATTGCAAGCAGCACAATTAAGCTTTTGAAGAGGTGTTTTGTTTGCCTTCGTTGATCATTTGTTTGCCGTTAAAGAAAGTAGCTGAGTGGGGCTCGTGTGGGGCGATTTCTTAAGTGCAGCTTAGGGTTTCGAAAGGGGTATTTAAGACTAAGACATCCTTTTGGAATTCGGATTCATACAAACATAACTAGAGTTTTTGTAATCGGAACACTTACACTCTGCATATTATAGGGTATTTTGCTTTCCAATCGTCTTAATATTTATAATTCGCCGTGTAATTTGTTTACTTAGCCCGTCTGGAGGGCGACTTCCTGAGGGGTTTTCAATAATTCAGATTCTCGGCCGGCGGTCGTGCCGCTTCTGACCCAGTTCTCTGCTGATCTTCGGTCTTCGCTTCGATTTCTTTTTATATCTCTCTTTTTGAGTAAAAAACAAAAGTGGTTTACTTTAGATGGGGCATGCGCAAGCGAGTGTGTCGGTAGCGAAGCGATGATGGGCCTGATGATTTAATACGAGAGCTTCTGCCTTTTAAATGGCAATAGCCATCAGCAGTGGCAGCGACAACTACGGCGTTTTGTTTGGGCCGTGTTTGTGTCCAGGCTGTCAGTTGGTGTTAATGAACCCTTGTAGCCTGATAGCTGTTAGTTGTTTACGTTCCGAATGCCGATACCACGATAGGAACGTCGATTATACACTGAGGGAAGTTAAAATATAGGTTGCAGCTATTTACTTCATAAGTCATAAGGAAAGTCTTCTTAAAATACAAACTGAAAATTTAATATAGTTCAAAATGATAAATTATAAATACTTTAGAAAAACAAAAATTTCAATACCTTCGACTCCATAATAGTAAATCTTGTTCTTTCTGACATTGCATGATTTTTCGGGCAGTGCGGCGACGACATTGTCACCTAACGTGGCTTCGTTAGGAAAGTGGCCAAGTTTGATGATCCGCAGGCACGCGCGTTTTATATTTAGCCCCACACCAGGGCGACTTGGATCCGGATCGGGATCCTCGGGCCTGGGGAGCGGGGCTAGTCACGTGCACAAGGACATTCCAAGGCTAATTACGTGTGGCATGGGGCTTGGCCAAGTTGGGTACTTCGGGCTTGGGCTTGGGCTTGGTCTTCGTCTTGGTCTTGGGCTTTAGCTCTGGGATAGTGTCTTTTGGCGGGTAATGGTAATAGTAATAGTAATACACACATAGAACACGAACCGTTCATTATTGTCGTCGCTTGTTGTGGAAGCCAAGCCGTTGCAATCTGCGGCATGTATCTGTATCTTTTGCATCTGCGTGGATGTTGCAGTTGCAGCAACTGCCGCTTAATTAGCTGCGTAATTTATTATTGCTCTAATCTCAACGCCGGCGCCAGTGCCGCTGGCTTTGACAAATAAACAAATTATTCATATTAGAATATTAATAGTGCCTTTGGGGCGTATCAGCTTGTGTATCTGGAGTATTTGGCATAATTATGACCTGTTTGATGGACCCTGTGCCTGGGAGCATGGCGCCCAGGCTTCTCCACACTTTGACTGGCATTTCATGCTCTTAGTATAAGAGTAATCGTTCGGGGGACAATAAAGCTGCTCTCTAACTAAATATGTAGGCACGCCGATGCAATCGCACAATTATGCCCAATTATGCAACTGGGAAGAGATCTTTAGATCAGGCGCAACAGCAGGTGCCTGAGCTGGGACTGAGTGCTGGGTGCTAGGTGGAATGCCAGGGTGATATCATTGACTAATGAGCGCATATCCGACTCTGCAGCTCGCACTCCAAGTATACGTCTTCTTTTGCTCCGTCATAAAAATTAAAATGCATAATCGCGGGCGTTGCTCGCAGGGCGCTTGTTACGTCAAGTCGGGGACCTTTTGTCGGCGGTAATTAACATTGCTCGCGATTCTTTGCCAGCTTACCAGCCAGCCAGAGATAGCAAAAGCAAAATGCAGCAATTGCATGTGGATATGGTTGTTTGCTGATGGCTGGGGTCGGGTTACTTCACAGTCGGGGCTAATTAAGCCGGCGTTTAAGCCGCTGGCAATTAGCCGATTTATCACTTGCCACAGAACCTCAAAATCATGGCCTCAGATCGCTGAGAAAAGCTTGGCAAATGCAAACAAACTTACGGCCCAAACGCTCTGCGCACTTAACTTCTTCACTTCTTCAACTCTGCGCATGCGCAGCGGCGACGCCGACGTCGACTGAGGAGCCACTGGGAATGTGGCCAGGGGATTCTGGCCAGGCCCACTTATATAAAGCGCCGATTCTGGCAGCGATCACACTCATTTCCAGTCGAACGCGTCTGCCGACCAGTGGGCCAATTGATTCGCTGGCATTCGAGCAGGACTCTGCGATCCTGTTAAGCAATCATCGATCTCCGCCGTAATACCTAGGTAAATTCAAAGAAAGTGCTTGGTGAAAAGTGACTGTGAAAAAAGGAAGAGTAATTGGGCTTACGTTGCATGAATATTTAGAAAGCATATCCAAAGAAAGAATGTTCCGTTTTGACTAAGTCATATTTGTATTTTTCTGTGGGTCATTAAATAAGTAAATTTTCTACAAAGTTAAAAGAAATTTTCAATTTAAAGTAAATTCAATTTAACTAAATTGGAAAACATTAATTTTGTATTAAACTTTCTGTCAGGATGCAATCCAAATTCCAATTCGCTAATCATTAAACCAAGATTTTCCGATTTTTATAAAATAGTTAAAACTAGAAACTACATTTTTGTATGTAAAATTTCTGAAAAGAAATTTAAAATAGGAATAGTATTCAAAAAGTTTTTTTATAATATTCAAGTTCAGATACGATTTCAGAAGCGCATAATTCAGTAGTTTGTTAAAAATTTTTTTTATTAATTAAAAGCCTTAAGATAACAACATACAATTTATAACATTGATGCAAATCCAGCGGCTTAGCTTCAAAGAATTACATATAATAGCTACATATTCAACCAGCCGTGGAAATCCAAAGTGCTGGCCATATATTTTCCGTTGTTTACATGTGCTGCTGGGGGAAAATCCGCTGGTTGCGCAATTGGAGTGTGAGAAACTAGCTGGAGGCATGCAAAGCAGCTCCAATGGTTTGGGGTCAGTCGGAGATCATTAGAATCAGTTTAGCTCATCGCCAATGCCATGTTCCATTTACAGCTACCACCTGAAATGGGCAACCAAATGTGGAGCATTATCTTGGGACTGCTGGTGCTGGAGCAACTGGTGGCCGAATCCGTGGCGGCCAATCTCGCCCAGCTGGTGAAGAAGCAGAGTCAGCAGAAGCAGGTGCAATCCTCGCAGACAGGACAACAGCCGGGGCAGCAACAACAGCTGCCTCAAGGACAGCAGATCCATGCCCAGCAGTATGTGCAGGATACCCTGGCCGAGCAGCAGGATCTGAAGGCCGAGGAGGAGGAGGATCACGATCCCTACCAGCTGTTGGAGGAGGCGAAACAGGAGTCGCGGTTGCCGAACTCTGCGCATTATCCCTGGAGTCCATATGCCGCCGCTTCGGGGAATCCCTATGAGAGCATGCCCAAGATGCTCCCTTTTATTGGCTATGCCCAGCCGGTGCTGATTCCTTTCCCGCTCTACCTCGCTCCGGACATGTTCTATCCCGCTTTTCCTGGCTCCAGCAACGATCTCGAGGAAGTGGTGATGTCGAGAGCAGCCGGTGGTCGTCGTCCTGCTGCAAATCACGCTTCAACCGCCCGCAATTCACCCATTTACTATGTGAGATTGCCCCCCACGCCCTATATGTTTTTGCCCAACATGCCGACGGCTCCATTTGGCGGAGGATTCTCACCACTGCTCACCTACCAACCGATGCCCTCGTTCTCCGCCTACGGTTCCGTATTTAATCTGCCCGTGAATTTCCTGGCCAATGGAAAACCCTCGGGAGTCTACCAGGTCAATGGATCACCGGGAGAGGGATTGGGATCCCTGTCAGCTGGCTTGGGTGGCGGAGGATTTGGCATGCGACCACCCACGCCCAGCAATCCCTACAGACCCATGTCGACTCCTTCGATGGGCGGATACGGAGGCTCCCAGCAGAACTTTGGCCTTGCCTCGATGCCAGTTCCTCAGCAGGACTCCAAGCTGACCTCCCTGAAGCGTCCCTTCGTGTTCAACGGTCGTCCCGAGGACATCTACATCCTGCCCAACAACATAAGTCCGCTCTACAACGATCAGAGCTACTACTGAGTGCAACTTCTGCAAATGCCTGTGGCACCAACTGAAAGTATTACATAACTCATTTACTAGATCGTTATTTGCATCATAACGAAGCTTAAATAGTAGTTTTTACAAAATATATCCACCGAAACTAAACAAGTATTTTCATTGGGATGTATCTCAGTATACGATTAAATAAATATATGTTGGAGTAGGGTTATTCTCGACCGACATCGAAGTAGCGCAGCGAGTTTCGGTTGCGCACACCTCAAGTCCCAAACGCAACTAAATGCATCGTTCCTTCTCCCTTCTGTTCTTACCACCGAACCACACTCGGCGACAGCGACACTACGCTGTCGCCCCGCTAAAACGCAACTTCTTAAAGCGACAACATGACGCAGGCTAATGCAATATTACCAATAGTGATGAAATAGGCCTTCTGATGTAATTCCCGAAAATATACCCATGCACTCATACCAACATCCACACACTCTTAGTATGCACCGACAAATGCATATATGAAATTATTAAAATAGCAATGACCATAGTTTTCCCAATATAATTCAATCATTTTTAGTTGTATAAATTGTATATTTTTGGCCGAAATATCAGATGGTTTTTAGACAAATAAATTAAAGTTATAATGTCCTTAACAGCCGAATTCCTCGGACTTAAAGCAGCAAAGGCAAACAATTTTGCAAATGGGGCTCAAGTTAAGGGCACATTTATATTATATCGGGGTTCAATCTCACAAAAGTCGAATGGAGTTCTCCACAATCAGTCGCCAATGGCTGCCACCTGGGCAGTTTTCCGCCTGATATATTCCTGGTCGCCCAGGTTGATGGCGGAGCCAATCAAGCCTCCCGAATTTAAGTCGAACTCGTAGACGCGTGGCACGCAGTTCGGAATGTTGACCTTTTCAATGGCCTCGTTGGAGATTCCTGAAGAGGAAAGTTTAAAATTGTGATGTTATTGTATATTTTAGAAGGTTTTATAAGAAGAATAATAGGGTAACGTTGTATAAGAAGAATAATAGTAGATTGAGCCACAAACTTTAAGAGGTATACAACTTGGAAATCCGTTTTCAATATACCATGACCTGTACTATGAAGGTTTTAGGTCACCTTTCCAAGGGTACATTTTTTGAGAAATTTCAAAAAATAAAAATATCAAGAAATTCAAACATTTAAAATGTATTTCCCTTGTGCACTGTGCTTACTCACCTTCGATGTGCTGAACGAGGGCGCGGGCCACAGTTCCGTGGACGCACATCAGCACCCGGGAGCCCTTGAGCACCTCCTGCTTCACCTCATTCCAGGCGGGCTCCACCCGGTCGACGCACATGTGCAGGGATTCCGAGAGCGGGAACTTTCCGGGGGGAACATCATCGAATATGGGATTGCTGCAGATGGTGTAGTAGTAGCGGTTGCTCTCCTCGATGGGCGGTGGAACGCAGTCGTATCCTCGTCTCCAGGCCTGAACCTGCTGCTCCCCATAGCGATCGGCTATCTTACGCTTCTTGTAACCAGTCAGATCTCCGTAGTGCCGTTCGCACAGCCGCCAGTCTTCTTTTATTGGCACATAGGCACAGTTCAATTTGCAGAGGACCAACTCGGCAGTTTGCCGGGATCTGCTTAATACGGATGAATAGACCACGTCGAATTCTAGCTGCGACTGTTCAAGTGCGGGAATCGCCACCGTCAAAGCCTCCTGGATGCCTAATTTGTAAGTTATATTATAATTGTTTTTAAGGTTTAATTCAGACTTTTTCTCACCAAACTCGCTTAATGGCGCATCGTGCCAGCCACAGAATTTGTTCTCTATATTAAAATCACTTTCGCCATGCCGTAAAACCACCAAACGATTTGTCTTCGTCATAAATTGGGAGCTGTAAAAAGAGAAGTAGTATTATAGATAGTCCCGATAATATTTAAAATTTAACTACTATATGTACAATACCACTATTCTGGTTAAAAACTTTTAGTTAAAAATAATGAACAAAAATACGTTTAAATTAATTGTTTCCCAGCTATACTCTAAAACTGATAACTGAAATGCTTATATGAACATTTGAATTTTGTTTATGAGTGCAAAATATTTAATTAATGAATATATTTATTTTCAATTTTTCGGTAGTCGTTATTCTATTATTTATGTTAAGCGAACAATAGATCGTCACACGTTTACCACGAATTTCGATGCAGTGGCACTTGGTACTTGACGTTGCCTTTATATAACCTCGCTTGTTTGGTTTATTTGGTTTATTTGGTTTATCCACAATAAAGTTTAGTGTAGGGCTTAGCTGCCCGATTAGCTTTGGGGTAAACTGCAATCTTTAGGGGTATACCTCATGGCTGTCGGCGACTGTGGTTTCCCGCGTATGATAACGGTATAGGTATAGGTGTTGGTATAGGTATAGGTACTTAAAACTGCCGAGCACCGGAGATTCGAGAATCTGAACGTGTGCTCACCTCGACGCCGTCCGGACTCGATTGAAACGCAGTGCAGCTGTGGACACCCCGCGAAGGCCCGAAAAAAAAGAAATACGAAAGCCTCGCGCATTCCGCACATATTTTTCGACTAGTGTATCTGAAAGATACAAGCGCGGCATAAGAAAAAAAACGCGCGCTCGGCCAACATGACGAGAGAAAAACAAAATATAATTCGCATTATCTGATGTCCAGACGGCAGCATAATCACACGCACACACCCCCACACAAAAGTTCCCCATTCATATTCACACAGATACTTTTTCGCGTCGTTTTGGTTTTTGTGTTTTGCTCGCCTCATTCTCAGTCTCATACTCGGTTCGAATCTCAATCTCTATCGCAGATTCTCCTGCAGATTCCCCCGCCCATATCGGCCAGGTATCCACCAGATACCAGATACTTCCTAGACGTAAACAACGCCCCCACACCTTCGCATACTTACGCCTGAATTTCGCGCATATTGTTATTCCCGCGGGTTGTGTAGTATCTGACTTTGTATCTTTCGTATCTTTTTCGATCTGTTGTGTTTTTGTATATATATACGTTACAGTTTGCTCTTCAAGAACTTGAAGAAAACCATGGTATTTTCCTGGTGCAGCTGCAGCCACGTTCCTGTATCTTTCGGATGCCACCTCGCACTAAGCCCGATTCTTATTGGCAAACAATTTTATCGCGGCGCAGTTGCTTTTTGTTTTTTTTTTTTTTTTTTGTTGCGGCTGCGGCGGTATATAATTGTTTTGTTGTCGTAGCCGCCGAACAGCTGATTTGCTGGGTTTTACGCTCAATTTCGGATCGACTGGGAAAATCAATAACTATAACTTTAACTGAAATTTTTGTACTTGTTTTTGTTGTGTGATAATAATGAGTTAAAACGAACTGTTCACGTTTCTGTCGTCTGAACTGCTAAATGGCAAAAACAATGCACATTACACTTAGTTTTTTGATGTAACTTATTTGGCATCACTAATTTAGAAGTGATAAGAAGTTGCATAAGTACACAAAACTATACCATTCTTGTTCATTATCTTTTATTGGCTACATATAAGTAAAGTTTTGTTTTGCAAAGCAGAATTAATAGTTTAGTTTGAAATTTCAAGTATTTTTGATTTTTGTTTTGAAAAATAAAATAAAACAATATTACAAACATTTCTTACATCCAAATATTTGGGAATGCATTTTTAGAAAACTTGCCATTATTCTCGATGATGTTTAAATTTATTTTTGAAGGCCTTTTAACATGATTTAAAGTCATTGTATTATTAATTAATATAATTTAGCTAATAAGTTTCAAATAAAATATTAACAACTTTGCTAATAAGGTGTTTGTCTTGCTCAATCCCAAAATATCTGCCACGCGCAATATGCAGCAGTGTATTTAAATTTAGCTGATTTGTTAAGTAAACTCACCTGAAAGCTGTTCGTAGTTCGTATTGTAAATGGAAATGAAAGTAAAAATATAAAAGCCATGTTCTATATTTCGATTGTGTGACATGTACATCTGGGAAATAATAAGAAACTTTTTGCATTCCGCAGCTGCGCAACTGACATACTACTGAAAACTGGATCTCAAGAGTCTGCAGTGCTTGCCTTTCTAAGCTAAGCTCACAAAATTAACTCATAACTCAAGGACCAACCAAAAAGGCAGTCAAAAATCTGACTCACAAGAGGATGTCATGAGCAGAGATCAAATTAAACACGATTTATGCATATTTTTTTTTAAAGAAATCATATGCAAAATGTTACAAAAATATGTTCAATTAAATAGCTGGGTATATTATTATACTAAAATCGTATTTTATGATTGCAATGGAGTAAGTATTAATATTTTACAAGGATTCATTCCTTATTTAAATAGTAAGTTTTTTATTAATAAGTAATATCAGTCTATAAATGGATTATGTATTTAATAAGTATTACTACAAAATGTAGCGCGCACGTTCTGCTCCCAGAAATACAATAGCCAATAACCCTTCCCATGTCAGAACTCAAGAAATATTAGAACAACTTTTTTCCACGTGCCCTATTAGGTGGCTATTTCCTGTCTTTTTTTATATTTTGAATAACTCTTAATAAATAGAATGATATATAAATGAGGAAATGAGCAAAACATAGATTATATACGACTGTTGTTTTGAGTCGGCGAATTCCAATTTGTGTAATCTCTTTTTGTCCCTATCGAACAAAATTTTTCAATTATTGTTTGCAATCTTGGGGAAACGTCGGGCTCGAACTCCAGTACCGGGTATTACACCGTCGAGTCGAGATAACCATCTTTTGCTGCTCCGTCGAGCGTTTGACAATGTTACTCTCCCAGTGACGGAAACTAAGACCCAAACTGAGGCCCTTTGGTATAAAGGTTTTGGCTTGAGCCGATCGTGGCTCAGTCTGCAGAGGAACGTGCGTGGATATATTTGGCTTCCGTGGTAAATCGAATTTGGACTAAGTTCTCAAAGATTGGAGTATACAGCGGGGTGATCAGGTGGAAAATGCATTTTCCGGCTTTTGATGACTTCTATCAGCGAATTCTGTTTCTGTTGCCGTTCGCCGCAAGTGAGTATGAGTACCGAAATGCAAGCCAGTGAGGTGTGTCGCGTCCAAAGAAAACAATACGTTGGTGGATCTCCTTGATATTGAGACGCCATCGATAAGACCCAGTCTCAAGTCCCAGATCTTGAGACGTCGCGACATGAAACAGTACATGACCATCGCCTATTACGTAGCTTGCTACTCACATCCATATGGGAATTTATGAGCCATCCCCTCCAACCGAACCCTCGTATGTCACACTCGACGCCCATAAAACTGTATCATCGCGGTTCATCTAATGGATAGCAAACAACCCGGTGGCTTGTAAATAATAACAATAATTAAATTTGCATCCACAAATGCCCCATGAAAGCCAATGAGCGCGTCAATTTCGGGGGCGGAGTAGATGTCGAAGTACCATCCATTGTTATAAGACCGGCGTGTGCGATCCATCGTTTGGAACAATGTAAACAAAAGGAGGTTTCCATGGTCCGGACCCGAAATCAAGCAATTATGGTTCGCTTAGACATATAACCCTAGGCCCTGTGAAATTGCAGAAATTGTGAAGACGTTTTTGGAATTTGGCAGAAATTGCTTCAACGGCCTTCTTAATGGCTTGCAAAATGACCACGCCTATGAATGTTGAAAACAGGAAAATATGCGAACTAAGAAATGGATGAAATTAAATTTGAAATAGTCCGATTTTTATAAAAGTAAAACCATAATCCTGAAATTGTTAAAAATTCGATATAATTTTGTTTATCTTTTTTCCCGATTTTGCCAATGGGAGCTTTATGATATACAAGGCCGAACCGGCCCGTTCCGACTTTAAATAAAGACAAAAACTTTTTCTAAGGTTTTACCAAAATAACTTTAAAACTGAGGGACTAGTATGCTGATCAAGAATATATATATTCTCTATAGGATCGGAAATGTGCCCTTCACTGCGATGCAAAATTTTCACTGAAATTATAATACCCTCTGCAAGGATATAAACATCTCTGTATTATCATTTAAAAAAGGCTTACTTATATCAACTTACAATGTAATTTTTGAATTTGCACTTCAGATTTGAGATCCAATGAATTCGACTACAAAACACCAGAGAGTTGGCAGGTTAAATACCCCCAGTGTGGAGGACCAGATCAATCGCCTATTGCGATTAGCAGACGAAAGGTTATTCCAATTAACTTGCACCCTCTGCTATTCGGACTATACGATGAGCCTTTTGATGATCTGGTGACTGTGAGAAACACTGGACATACAGGTATTAATAAAGGACATTTATTATTTAAATCGAAAGCTAATCCATTCTGATTTTAGTGGACTTTATGGTGCCTGCGACGATTTATGGTGTCAAGCCCTTCGTCACAGGCGGCTTATTGCGGGATTGCTACGAAGCTGAGGAAGTGCACTTCCATTGGGGATCTTCCGGCAAGAAGGGATCGGAACACGTTATCAATGGTCGTCGTCATGACCTGGAAATGCACATAGTCCATCGGAATAATAAATATCTGACCCTCAAAGAAGCACTAAACTACAGCGACGGCGTGACTGTGTTGGCAGTGCTTTTTAAGGTTGTAAGGGTAAGTCAAGATCAGGATTAAATACCAACTATATTATATAACTTTAAAAAGATCATATATTAGCCACACAATTATTTAAAATTATATACATTCTCTGTAAAGTAATTATGGGTGAATAACATATTGAAATTATATTTGTAAAATAAGCCAGATTAAGAACTAATCCACTGAATCTTTTATTTAGGCAGGTCCCATGTTCTACCAACCCGGACTCAACGAGGTCTTTAATTCGCTGCTCCACTTGAGCGACTTTAACAGCAGCTATACGGTGCCGGAACGTTTCACTCTGGGATCTTTGTTGGGCAATCTGGACAGAGGCAACTTCTACACGTACAAGGGATCCTTGACCACGCCCCCCTGCTCACCGGTGGTCCAGTGGCATGTGTTCGCCGAGGTGCTTCGCATTTCGGATAAGGAACTTCCCAAATTTTTTCAACTGCACGACAAGTGGGGTAATAAGCTGCTCAAAAATTTCCGACCGCTGCAGTCGCAGGAAAACCGACTGATTTTCCACCGCCAACCTTTCATTCCGCTGCAACAGGAGCCACTGCAAGAACTGATCTGGTTATAGCCAGAATATTAAACGTAACACCCTTTATTCTTATAAAAAGTAAAGTATTCTATATAGAGCTTGTACTGTTTACATCAGGGAAATCGAAACGCCGAGCTTGGGTACGTTACATCATTGGATTTTTACCTGGTAGTCCAGGGATTAGTCCTTCTTGCAGCGAGCCAGGTAGGAGGCGAGCAGTCCCAACTGCAGGGCACACAGAATCTTGGTGAGCGTGGGCGTGCGAGGCACTCCCGAAGGTATCTTCAAAAATGGGCGGGGAATCTCCGGTACCTGACTGCGCAAATCGGATAGATGCTTCATCTCTATGGTGGCCACCAGGGAGGTGCGATTCTGCATCAGATTCTTGGGCATGGTTGGCCATCTCACAGCCGGAACAAGATGTTCGCCCACCGACGTGGCAGTCATTGTGTGGAATTCATGGTCCCGACCATCGAAAGGTGGTCGTGGCACGCGCATTCGAGGATTGATCGGAGGATTGAAGGGCGGCGTTAGCACCACCTTGCGACGTTGATGGTCCAGGCCCTGAGACTCCCCCGGTCTGTCCTGTTCTAGGCTGGTGTCCATCGGCAGCCTGGAGTCTCGATCCGGTTCCCCCTTGAAGGGATCCTGGCCCTTGTAGCTCACCCGACGATCTTTGCGCATTATGCTGATCTTTTTGTCCATTATTTCCAGCTGTTTTTTCTGGTTTTCAATATTTGGCCGATGCTTTTCGGTTTTTTGAGTAATCTGGCGGCGGTCTACAGGCTTGACATCGCCAGGTTGAACGCTGAAGTCCCCCTGCTGTTTTCTTTTGCTTATGGGCCTTTTCTGCTGAGCTGGTGGAGTTTCCTTCTTAGGTTGTGCTGGTTCGGTTGGCTTGGCCTTGGAAACGTCCTTAGCCACCGGCTCAATTTTGGTTACCTCCTTATCCATCGGCTCAGTTTTGGACACCTCCTTAGCCATCGGCTTAGTTTTGAATACCGTCTCAGCCAGCGGTGCCTCCTGATCCGCAGCTGACGCTTCCGGCTGCCTGACTTTATCCAAGTGCTCAAATTTGACTGGAGTATTTGTGCGAGGGGGTTTGTGTTCCTTGGGCGAAGGCGGTTTGGTTTGGGGAGAAGGTTGTGGGACAGCGCCGGGCTGATTCTGGAACTGAGGAGTGCCTTCAGGGATGTGGGTCTGTTTTCTGGGCACTGGCATCGGCAAGGGAACGGGGGGAATTTGAGTGGGAGTGGGGTTCCTTGGTTGCTGAGTAATTCTCTTAGCAGCTTCGGTATCTAATTCTTCATCCGGCAAGCTTTCTTTTGACTCGTCCGCTTGGCTAATCGACGTGACATCTATATCATGCTGCAATGCTTCCTTTAGTTGCTGGTTAAGATTTTCTAACTTCTCCTGATCAGATTTACTGAGTGTTTCGTCCCTCTCATTAGTGTACGATTCGTTTATGCGCTCGTCCGCTTCGGCTTCGGCACCGATCTTCTCGTTGTTCATTAGCCAATCCCACTCGTGGTGACCAGTCTCACCATCCTTGCCTTCGCTGTAGTAGCGCATGTTGGCCTCGTCCTGATTTTGATACGGCTGCTTTTGCTTACCGACCTTCTTTGCCATCTTCTCGTTCTCGGGTATGCTAAAGTCCTTGTTCTCAGCCCGGACTTGAACGAGTTCTGCGTCGTGATGGTTATCCACATCCTGCAACCTATCTTCATGCTCTACTGGGAGCCTTGCGGTGTCTTCCCAGGCTGTGGCATCTTCCAGTTCGGCTGAAGAGTAAGAATGATCTTCCCCCCGGTGCTTTAGTTTTTGCCACTCGAGCAGCTCCTGGAGCTCCATGTTCTCTTTGGTGTAAGTGCGGTCCTCTTTACCTATTACAGGCTCCTCATCTAGATCAAAATCATGTTCGTCCTGTAATCTCATTTCAACAAGCCTCTCGGCCTCCAAAGGCTCCTCGGTATCCTTGAACATTAGGGCTTTGAGGTTTTCAGCTTCTGATCTCAATTTTTGTTGCTGGTTGTCAGTTTGTTCTTCCAGAGGTTGCTCTTCTTTAGCATTGGATCCAACAAAGTGCGATTCATCTGCTTCGTTTTTGAGTTCAAAAGTTTCCACATCCATTTGGTTTTCTAATTGAGAATTCTCGTGCTCCATTTGGCTTTGCGGTTGAAAAGTTTCTTCTTCAATTTGGCTTCTCATATCGGATGATTCGTTCTCCAATTGGTTTTCCATATGGGAAATTTCCTCCTCCATTTGGTTTTTAAGTTGGGAAGTTTCCTCCTCCATTTGGTTTTTAAGTTGGTAAGTTTCCTCCTCCATTTGGTTTTTAAGTTGGGAAGTTTCCTCCTCCATTTGGTTTTTAAGTTGGGAAGTTTCCTCCTCCATTTGGTGATTAAGTTGGGAAGTTTCCTCCTCCATTTGATTTTTAAGTTGGGAAGTTTTCTCCTCCATTTGGTTTTTAAGTTGCAGACTTTCCTCCTGCACTTGGCTTTCAGCGATTAGATTTTCCATTTTTTCTTTATCACCGAGAGCTTGAATAGTTTGCCTAATAGATTTAATAAGATTCTCCTGAGCTTTTATGTTGGCCTCTTCTTGTTCGTTGATTGCCGTTTCCAGATTAGACATCTCTGAAAGCCTACCGGATTTCGACTTCGCATCATTTATTAGTTGGATGTTATTTTTTGACGAATGGAGTGGCTCGGATTCCGAGCTCAAGTCCAGGACATCATGGGAATCGTTCATGGCTATGCTAGTCGGAAAGGCTTTTTCGGTGTGATCAGTTGCTGCGGAAGAGTTCAAGAATTTTTCCTGATCCATCCTGGCATTGTCGCCATCTTGACCTGCAATCAACCTGCTTGATATCACCAAGTCGTCATTGTTGCTGGAAGTTTCTCGCTCCTCCTCCAGCAAAAGCCGCACATGTCTATCACCTTCATTAATATCCATTTTAAAAGCCACCTGCATGTTGCCATCCCGAATGTCATCATGGAGTTTGGCCGCTTCCAAACTCAGTCGCCTGGGCATTTCGTCGTTCCCAAAGGAGGAATCCTGAAAAGACACTTGTCGCCGACTTGGGTCTTCGACATCATAGTCGTTGACCTCCGTCCAGTCTTCCATTACTTTCAGATGCTTTAAACTCTCGTTGCCCGACTCGGCCAAAACCTTGTCTAGAGCAGTTCTCAGCTTGGGGAGAGTGTTAGCCACTTCATCCAAGACGTGGTCCAAATTTTGTTCGCTCCTAGCTGACTCATGGTTCAGTAAATGCGAAATAGATGAATTGCTGTTAAAAGGATGAGGATAGGTTGAGATTATCTATAACAAGACACCCTCTTTACCTTAGGTCTGGATGGTTTTGCAGTGCCTCCAGCATTATTTCTGGCGAAGCTTCGCTTTGGCATATCAGATGGATGGCCGTGAAAAGGGGAAAACTGCAGGTATATTTGGGATATAGGAACGAACTGCTTGCTAACATTCCCACTTACTCCTTTTGCATGAGCTCCTTCTCCAGCAATGCATTCACATCAGCGGCCACCACGGGACCCAATATTTTACGACCATGGAGAAGGTTCGCTTCTATTTCCTCAATAGTTTTGCCAGAGGTGATGAAGCTCTTGGCAAAAGTTGCATTTTTATCGACTGCAGATAAGGGCATTCGAAATTTTTAAATTCTATATATAAGATTCTAGCCTTAACCCACCATAGCTTGAAGCAACCGAGTTGGCCACTCCGCAGCTCTCATAGAATGTGGACATTTTGGCCGAGGGGAAGAACGTCTTCGTAAACCGCATCATTTCCTTAATGCCCAGGTGAATGGCGGTCACCCGCGCGTTCTCGCCAAGGCGCAGACCATCTACAAAACCAGCTCCCAAAGCTATTATGTCCGTGAGCGTTCCGCAGAGCTCCACTCCATCAACGTCATTGACGGAAATCACACGGCAATTTTTAGTTTGCAGGACAGAGGTCAGCAGCTTGGCATGAGCATCATCACTGCAGCCGATGGTCGCCTCGCACAGCTTTCCCTGCGCCATCTCCATGGCACTGTGTGCGGACATCATTGAGTAGCACGGGATGCCCAGTCGCTCACTGATGGCGTGCGACACGAGCCCTATATCCTCGCCCCGCACCCTCATCAAGCCTTTGGTCATGGACACGGCAAATGCAGACTCCTTCACATTTCCGGCCAGGATGTTGCAGTAGGATTTGACAAACTCCTGGGGCGTGGAAAATATCAGGATATCTGCGTTCTGAGCAGCTTCCAAAAGATCACTCACAGCGATCTGAAAATGGATTAGGAAATAGATTTGATGATTGTTAAATTGATGGAAAATGGCTTTGCATTTAACAACCAGGTCCTCACCAGGTTCTTGGGCAGCTTAATCCCAGGCAGATACTTGACATTTTCGTGGCGACTGTTGATGACCTTCGAAAGGACGCTGTTTCGTATCAACTCGTCGTTGACATAGATATGCACCCGGCTGTGGAAGTCCCCCTGCAAAACATTGTTGCTCACGGCGGCTGCGATGGCCGAGCCCCTAAAAGTACAGTCCCAGAGAAATAAGTGTGGTTTATAGCTTGACAATCGCATAAACCTACCAGCCCTCGGCGCCAATGATGCATACTTTCAGCTTTCCCTCCATCGATCCACCTGTAAATCAACGTATTTCTATAATTTAGGGCCGAAACGCGACCAAATGACCGCCGGTGTGTTTACTGGATGTAGAACGCTTTAAATTTTATTCTGAATTTTGATAGTCCGGAGTTAGAGGTCGTCCAAAATGTAAAGTGAGTGTAGTGGATGAGTTGAGGAGCTTGAACGGCAAACACCCAACCTACTTTACAGACAGGGACGAAATTCGTAGACAATCTCTGATGCACCATCTCTTCTGGTTTGGTTCTGCATCTGACGCTCCTGCTGGGCTTCAATTTCTGAGATGGCGCGGATCTCGAACTCGGTGATGATCTGGGAGATGCGACTCTTGGCCTCTGCGGCCAGTTTGGGTGGCAAGCCCTTGACACTGACACAGGCGCTTTCGAAGAACAGGTCGTAGCTGTTTCTCTGAGGAATTGGAGGATTAGGAGCCGGTGGTGATGGAGCCGGCGATTGCTGGCTGCTCAATTTCTGGAAGTAGGCTCCCAGAACCTCACGATCTCGTCCAATGCTCTGGAGGAGTTCCTCGCGGTTCTGGGGGATGGGCTTTGAATAGGGAAGCTGATTTTGCCTTAGTGACATATGGATGCGATTTATGAGTAGAGAACTAGTCCTCTCCGGCTGTAAATACATATTTTAACCTTAATTCATGTTGAAAAGTGAAAATTTACTAATCCTACCTTTAAATTATCTTCCTCTTTGATGTAAGCAGCCTCCTCCTCACCGCTTTCCTCGTTTTTGGTGGTATTCTTCTCATACACTTTCGAGGTGTTCCACATTTTTCAATTTTAATTGTTTAATTAGCCTTTAAACGCTATAAAATTGATTAAAATCTTGAATTTAATAAATTCTTAAGTCTTGCAGCCGCGCTTTAGAGATGGCACCCGTTGGCTTACTCTTTGCCTATCAAAGCTATCGATAACATGACAGGTACGATTACTAAGCAGCCAGTAATTTTTAATTTAAATAGTTTGATTTATATATTTATTTATTCAATAAAATAACATCTTAACAATACTTTCTTTTGCACTATTTCTTTTATCCTAGTTAAATAATTAATTACAGAAATTAACACAAACAAAAGAATAAGGCCTAGTGATTGCATCTGTCCGTTAACCCTCAACTAACGCCGCTAAAACCAGGTTGCTGGGTGATTATTTGATTACCATGTCCTGCCGGTCGGTGAACATGCAATCCATTTGCCACTGCCGCCTCTTCCTTGGAACTGCTCTCATTGAGGCTGCGCAGCTCCAGTTCGCAAATCAGCTGCGACACCCGCATCTTGGCCTCCGCCACCAGCTTTGGGGTCAATGCCTTCACACTGGAACTGACGCTCTCGAAGAACAGATCCACATGGTTCTTCTCCTTGGGCGACGGAGTGTGATTCTGAGTCTGTGCCTGTGTCTGACTACCCATCAGCTCGCGAAAGGATTCCATTAACTCGTTTTTGTCCTGGTGAATCTGCATGAGTAGCTTGATACCCTCCTGGTTGGAGTCGGCGGAGGAGCCACTGCATCTGGGCAGGCTGGCTTTGGATTCTGACGTCTTAGTAGTGATTTCTGTTTCCGAAAGCAGTTCTTGTTTGTGTACTTCCATCTTGTCGATAATGGGGGAGCAGGAATTTGGATCAGGGATGACTACCATAGCGTCAGGATCGGCATTATTCTCTGGGGAAGGTTCCAAATCCTGATTTTCCGACGGTGGCGCCGCATGCTCATCCTCCTGCCGCATAGCCAACTTCCGCTGATGGTAGTATTTGCTACGCTCCTGACGAATACGGAACTCCTGGAGCGCCGCCCCCTCGCCCTTGGTGAGCAGTGCCTCCAGATTGCGCTTGTGCTTGGTGGTCCGCTCGTGGCGCACTAGGTGACACCGATTGCAGTCCATGGTACAATGGCAGGCGCGACAAAAAGGCTTGTTGGGATCCTCGGCCGCTCGTCGCAGCCATGGATCGAAGATCTTCAGCCACTTCTCGCAGAATTTCTGGTTGTACTTGGGCTTCACAGTTCTGGGCGTCCTGGAGCTCTGCTCCTTGTTCCGCTTAGAGGATTCCTTGATAGTCCGAGCCACTTTCACCCTTGCCGACTTCCTGAAACCGATTGGATTCAGGTATATGTAGTTGTTTTGTAATAATTCTCCGGATATTAAGGGCTTACCAATCCGAGTCAGAGGTGTTTTCCGAGAAGCTCATGGCGTCAATATTTCGAAAATATTTACTATGGTTTTTTGTTTTCTTTTTGTGGATCAGCTGTAGCAATATATCGACTATAAATCATCGATGTCACTTTTATCGATAACAAGCGGGAAACTTTTAAATCTTGATTGTATGTTTTTGAAATATCATCAATGGTATATTTAGAGTTTAATATAGTAGATATCTTGATACTTAAAAGATCTTTATTAAATAGCTGTATTGCAAAAGTTAAAAATAAATTGTATTTTATACTTTCAAAGCATAAAACATATATTTTTTTATCCAATAACATTTGAACTTAGTTACTAAAGGCTTTTGTGAATTGTCTTATTTACATTATCGGTGGCTAAATAACAATTTACTTCTTTGTCATGTGTTGCTTGCAATATTCCCAAATAAAAAGAGATCCAGTCACATGGACGTTTAAGGAGCGCACTAAACCAAACTGAGGAATTTCGACGGCGAAGTCCAAGAATCCAATAAGGTTCGCTGGAATTCCATGCTTTTCATGCCTAAGGGTTTGAAATGATTAATTTTGAAATATTGAAAAACAGTGAATCTGTTACACACCCCAATAATAGAATGCTTTTCTTGGGAAACTTAAAGTCAGTAAAGTCTGTGCTGTGTGCTGTTTGCTCAGCTCCAACGATTTTATAGCCCTCCATTTGCTTTTCCAACAGAAATTCAGAAAGAGTTTCCGGTTTCACCTCGACAATGCTCAAAGTTTTCTCGGCCGTCATGCTGGGAAAGAGATATTTTTTAAATATATTTAAATGTATGCTTCCACTTCAATCGCAATAAACATACCTTAAATTTGTGAAATCGCTCTTCTCTGCCTGCGATTTCAAACCCAATATCAGCGTTTTTACACCCAATACTTCACAAGTCCGCGCCAATCCTCCCAAATTGGGCAGCTTGTCTATAAGGGAAGCCACCACAATCAGCTCGTTGCTATCAGAAGTATGGCTCGCATCGACAAAGTCACTTTCCGGAAATATATCTCCTACCGGATTCATTTTTCTCTGCACATTTCCATTGCACGCACCCGTAGGCGATGCCAGCTCAGGTGTCAGCCCTGACTTTTTGGCTTTAAACGACTGACGAGCCCGTTCAAGTTTCATTCTAAAGTCATATCTACAGCTAATAAAATTAATGTTTTCATCAAAAGGTGCATTTGTCATCCAAAGAATACCGTCAGAAACATATGAGCACTGTGAGCCTATTTCCGGTAGCAAAAGTCGAGCTTCACTTTGAAACTCTTCCAATTTTTCGCCCAGCGTGACCTCGATAGAGTTCTTTAATGAATCAGCTATGATCAAGTCAAAGCTGAAAAGATATAAATATTTTTAAACAATTAAACATACCATTTAATATAATATAATCGGCACTTTACCTATTGAGTTCGCACTTAGTACAAAGACGATGCAGAACCAACTGAGCCAGCAGTCGAGTCTGAAAATTCGCTCCCATTGTGAGGGGCATTAGAACGGCAAAGATTTCGGATAACTGATCCAGTTTCAGACTTTCCCAGCGAGCCAAGCAGTAAATGTGCACAATAGAGACTAGCGACATTTGCTGGCTAGGCTTGAAAGTTGGCAGCAGCTTTAGTTGTTCCAGCAACGGATCGATACTGGGCAACATTTTGGCCACAAGGTACTCGTACATAAAGCTTATGTTAGGCTGATCACTAGGACACAACGCGGCCTCCCATAATTCTTTCGACCAAATCCAACGATCGCTTAGGTCAAGTAACGCTTTAGCAATTCGCATTTTTATCCTGTGTTCCTTGCAGTTGGCAAAATAACGTGGCTTCTTTTTGGACAGTTCGTTGTTCATGCTCAACAAATCGTCACAAATGCTACGTACGTCCAAATCTTTGTACTTATGTGCATATCCAATAAATTGCAATCGAGTCATGGCTTCCGCATCTGCAATCTGACCGAATGTAAGCTCGAAAGCGCGTTCTATCCTGTGGTATTATTAAATTAAATTATTAAATATATTAACATATAGCTTCTATAATTATATTTCCTACCGTGCATCGCCAGTAGTGGTTTCTCCTTCCAGAAGTTTTTTTAGGACAAGCGAAGATGGTGCTCTAATGTATTCTTCACTGTTCATGGTATTCAACAAGAAAGTGTTTTTTTGCAAAACGTCTACCACGCATTTCTCGTACTCGTCTGGACTAAGATTGTGGGCCGCGTAAGACAAGATTGCTTGCCTAAAAGTAAAGTTTAAAGTAAGTAAGTAAGTAAGTAAAAACTAAAAACTTCGTTCATGTTTAACACTCACGTTTCCCGACACTTGAGCTTTCCTAATCGGGAAATCAGAGCGGGCAACAAGTTCTGGTCCTCCAAGTTCAATGGTTCTTTATGCGTGGACAAAATAATTGATAAGTTTAAAAATGTGTCTTCAGAGCCTTGGTCTAGGAGTTCCAAGGGTTTATGGTTCAACTCCTTAAATTTGCTCCATGTTTGTATATTAAGTCTAACAAAGAGATCTACGCAATGCTCTCGCACAAAGGACGTTTCCTCCCTGGTCTGGCAATTCAGGCGATTATGAAGGTGTTCCTGCATTTCCTTGAGACTTACACCACTCTTAAGCATCGATGTATTCACGTCATAGACAGACCGATAGAATTCCAAATATTTTTCGGGCATGTCTAGCTCCAAGTGTAAAAATATGGGTAAAAGACGCCACCAACCGTGTTGTAATTTTGGCACTGTCCTCACTTTCTCCAAAAACGCAATGAAAACGTCGTGTTTGTAGTCCATTTGAGAGACAAGCTCGCAGCATCGACTGTTGAACTTAGCAATATGTTCTTCAAAATCGTTGCAATTTTTGATTTTTAATCCTAGTCTATGATGGTCATCATATTTGTCGATGGTATTGTACAAGCACTCGATAAAAAGCAGGTAGTCGCTTAAAGACAGGCTGTCAATTGTAGCCTGTATAAGAGGTAAAATCAAGTAATTGGTTAAATAAACAATGCAGTAAAACTTACACTTAAGGAAAAGTTTACTGCCTTGATTGCAGCATCTCGCAGAATAGTATTTTGAAGGGCGCGAATGCGGGCACTCAACTGGAAGAGCGACTCCTTAGAGACCACAGGCAACTGCTGTAGTTCCCAGCCCCACATCCAATGGAGGAGTGGGACACAATGCCACGGAACTTCAACTAGGGCCTCCAGCAAAGATTCCGACGGAAATTCCGCCATGAAGTCTTTTATTTGCTCCTGTGTGAGGCAATCGGGCACCTCCGGGTTGTAAAGTTGCGTTCGATTGGTAGCAGCTAGAAATTCCGGCAGCAGATTAAAGCGGGACAGTTGGGTCAGGTTGGAATGTGTAAGGAAGTACTTGAGGGTCCAGCGCAGCACAAGGATGTTGTTGTCTCCCAGGAGGCGTCTGCACAGGATCCTTAGCCAGGCAAGCCAATCATTACTTAAGCTATTAGACATCAATCCCAAGCGTGGAAGCAGGGTGCTCAAAGTGGGTAGCACCAGATGGGACTGCTGCTCCTCAAGGTTCTCCATGATGCCCACATAGGCGCTCCATTGAAGTTCGCTGCACTGCAGCGCAGCCATTACTTCTTTGTTTTCCTGCAGCTTGTGCATAAGGAAATAGGCAGAACGGCGATCTTCGCGTACCTCCGACTGCAGGAGATTTTGGGTGACAGCCAGCAATTCTAGCCCTAAATCTGAGCCCAGGTTGTTCGCAAACTCCTCGAAGAGATGAACCAGGATCTGAGCCGCATGTGGCTGATTCTCATTGCTTTGGCCTAGCGACCAAAGCTGTTGCAGCACGAACTTGGCCTCGATGCGCGGGAACTTCCTGACATGGAGCTGTACGCAGACCAGCAAATTGGCGACTAATTGCCGCCGACTAAGTGAATCCTCACGACTATCTGCAATCACAACGGAGACGAGTTTATGGAACACCTTTGGACCAAAGCGCACGTTCCACTTGCAGTTGGTCTGCAGCAGATTGTGGATGCACTGCAGAACCCGCTTCAGAGCCAGCTCGTTGTCCTTGTGCATGTGCACCAAGTTATACAGCATATCGTCCAGTTCGGCGATCTCGCCCAGCAAATTCTGGTTCTGAATGTAAGTTTCAACGGCCTGGACAACCGCGTGTGTGGCCGTCGCCGTGGTGGCTCTGGTCGTGGGCAACGACATGGTAATAGTTCCTTTCGTGATAACTTCTCAGTGATAACTGTAAAAATTTCGCATTAATGTTTTACAATTTAACGAAATTCAAGGAACGTGATTTGTTTACATGGTGCAATCCGATAAATGAGTTATCGATAAGCTTTCAAGCCAGTTTAACCCTTATGCCAACAAATACTATCGTTTAGAAAATAAAACCGTATAACGAACATTTAAAACATTTACTTTTTATCCGTTTTATTTTATTTTAACTGAGAAATGAAATTTTGTAGCCAAAAATTATATACAAAATTTGCTATAACTATTTACTGCCCTTTTTGGAAGAGTCTGGGTCCTTCAGGGATTCTTTTAGCTTTTTGCACACTGATTTCAAAATCCTTTCCTCCGATTCTGCATCTGCTCTCTTCTTGTCATCCGCTAATTTCTTACAAAGCTCAGCCTCTCTTTTCAATTTTCTTTCGGCCGCAACCTGCTTCCATCTTTTCTCCATTTCTACCAATTTCTTTTGTTTCTCCGCCTTTTTACATTTTTCGTCCTGTTTAATCTTTCTTTTTGCTTCACACAGCTGCTTGCAATTTACGAGTTCCAATTTCTTTTTCTTATCCTCCTCTAAGCGCTTTGCTTTTTCAGCCTCTTCCAGTTTGGCCACTTCCTCCTCAATTATCTTTAGTTCCGCCTCATTCCTTTTTTTCTCTTCAGCTAATTTGCATTTCATTTCTTCTTCCTGTTTCTTGCACCTTTCAGAATCCTCCTTTCTTTTCTTTTCTTCAGCTAATTTGCATTTCATTTCTTCTTCCTGTTTCTTGCACTTTTCAGCTTCCTCCTTTCTTTTTTTTTCTTCAGCTAATTTGCATTTCTTTTCTAGTTTCTGTTTCTTACACTTTTCAACTTCCTCCTTCCTTTTCTTTTCTTCAGCTAATTTGCATTTCTTTTCTAGTTCCTGTTTCTTGCACTTTTCAGCTTCCTCCTTCCTTTTCTTTCCTTCAGCTAATTTGGACTTCCTTTCTTTTTTCAGTTTTTTGCACTTTTTAGCTTCCTTTTTCTGATCTTCGGCTATATTGCAGATCCTTTCAAATTCTTCTCTGCTTTTCTTTTCTTCAGCTAATTTGCAGCACTTTTGAGCAAGTCTTTCTTCATTAATTCTCCTACATTCATCCGCCTCGCGCTTTCTCCTACATTCTTCCTCCTCGCGCTTCCTCCTACATTCTTCCGCCTCGCGTCTTTTGCGGCATTCTTCCTCCTGCTGCAGCTTTTGACAGGACTCCTTTTCTGCTCTCTCCTTGCACCGCTGCTCCATTGCTAGTTTTTGACAGAGCTCCTCCTGGTCCCTTTCCGCCGTCGTCTGCTGCCGGATGGTGAACAGTCGGAAAGTGATCTTATCTGCAGACATGGCATTTACCAGCACCACAGATCCCTTTTGTCCAGGCTCCAAGATGTCCATTTTGGCCATTAGCTTGAGGCCCGACTGCATAATGCGTCGAAAGTTGAAGCTACCTATAACCATTTCTTCAACGAGCAATGGATAAACGCCCCGGAAGAGCAAAGATTGGGCGGCCTGAAATTTGCATCCCGTGAGCATAACAATGGGACAAGGCGGCCTCATGTGACTGACCATCTGGGCCACCATGCCGCACGGACTAGCTACCACAATAACCCGGGCCTGACCCACCGTGGCCGCTTCCGCAATTGCCGTGGTTACCGCCGAAATGTGATCGGCAGCAGTGGTCCTAATCTCCCTCTTAAGGCTGTTCTGAATGTTTTCGTACCATAAAACTGCCTCGACTTTGGCACATATCCTGGCCATGCACTGCACACACTCCACCGGATACTTTCCCTTCGCCGTTTCTCCGGACAGCATTACGGCATCGCATCCGTCGAAGATCGCATTGGCAACATCCGAGGCCTCGGCACGCGTGGGTCGCGGTTTGTTCGTCATCGACTCCATCATCTGGGTGGCACAGATCACCGGCTTGCCCACCTTGTTGCACTTTGCCACGATGGACTTCTGCGCAAGTGGGACATCTTCCGTTGGTATCTCTATTCCCATGTCGCCGCGGGCCACCATTATGCCATCGGATTCGCGGATAATGTCGTCTATGTTGGCCAGACCCTGTTGGTTCTCTATCTTGGATATGATCTTTATGTGTTCACCCGTTGGTCCCAGTACCTGGCGTATTTCTTTCAAAGCCTTGGCATCACGGATGAACGACGCGAAGATCATGTCCACCTGCTGTTCTGCCCCGAATTTAAGGTCGCGCTTATCCTGCTCGGTTACAGAGGGAAGATCCACCGGAATACCCGGCAAATTGATTCCCTTGTGGGAGCCCAGCTTACCACCATTCTCAACCTGGCAGATCACCTCATCCGCCTTCGATTCCTTAACAACCAAGGCTATCAAGCCGTCGTCGACAAAGATCCGATTTCCGGGCTTGACTAGTCCCGGTAATCGCTGATAGTCCACGTAGATTATCTCCTTCGTGCACTTCTCCTCAAGTTCCTTTTTCGTGCTTAACGTGATTTTGTCGCCGGGCTTGAGCTCGATCTCGGCGGTGTCACTGCCGCCGGCCAGCTTTCCTGTCCGGATTTCCGGACCCTTTGTGTCCAGGGCGATTGCCACAGGCCTAGGCAAACCCGTTTGCTCCACATACATGGCAATCGCTTTACGTGCCGCCTGGATCGTCTTGCAATGATACTCGTGGGTGCCGTGGGAGAAGTTCATACGCACCACCCGCATCCCCGCACGGATGAGTTCCAGAAGCACTTCCGGACAGTTGGACGAGGGTCCAATGGTGCATATAATTCCGCTTAGGGGCACACTCAGAGCAGGTGCTTTGTACTGCAGTCGCGACTGATAATCCAATTGGGATGTGAAGGGTCCGCGGTCCAGCCGGAACTTCGGCGCTTCCTAGCGGAGATTGGTCAGTAAATGTCCCAAGACGAAGACATTAACGACTCACCTTCTCCTTTTGGCACTTGCTGGAAAAGCAGCGATATCTTAGGTTTAACGAGAGACTGAGACATGGTCTTAGTACGCAGAGGGTTGCCCTCTGGCAAAGGATTCTGGCGTATAGATGAATTTTGATGAAATTTTGAGAAACCGAAACGATATATATTTTAAAATTAATCTGTCAAAGCTTAAAAAGTCAAACATTATTAAATGAACGAAAAAGCTTTTGGATGATGATCGAAAGAGGAATCTATTAATTTTCTTTACTACCTAGAAGGTCCTTAAAACTATTTTTTTGCTACAAATGAAGAAGATTAATAAATCTTTTCATTCGAAAATTAAGTAGGTATTAAATACATTGTAGAAATTAAAATTGCAACTCCGATTATACAAAATTCCACATTAATTTCCATACATACATAAATACAGTGCTGACTTTATTATACTTTCGAAGAAATCTATATTATTCAACAACGGTATATTATATTTGTGTCTGTTTGAGGCCCGAGGCGGGCTTCGGCGCTTTCGACAGCGGGTCTAGCAGCCTCCTGCAGTTTCCAATATTCCGAATATTGTGTAATTAATAAATTAACTTGGTTATTAACAATAATAACGCGACGCCCGCGACAGTTGCGACGCATCAAGGTACTTCCTGAGCAGCAAAAATTATTCGACGGTGCTAAAATAAAAGATAATTCGAAAGATTAATATTGTTTGAAGAGGAAATATTATAAATTAGTGAATTAAATAACTATTTTGCCCTATCAAGCTAAAAATAGAAAGCCAGTTTTTAAATTTATTTTTATAAGCGTAAATTAGCATCAATATTTGAATTTAACCGGTTGAATATAATATCAACTAGCAAAAACTAGAAACTTACACAATGCGGATGGTGTTGGTAAATCCGGAGCCCTGCTTCCAGCCGGTGACAACAACGACGGCATCGCCGGTCTTGATGAAACCGTTCTTCTTGCCGACCGACAAGCCGAACTGCACGCGCACATCCACATCCTTCAGCCAGTCACCAAGAGCGGGTTCTGCGAGCACAAAACATGGTTAGAATTCTAAGGTGAAGAAGAAGACACAAGTCTTACCCTTGTAGATGAGTGGCACCAGGCCACGGTAGAGATGGGCCTGACGGGCGGTCTGCGGGAAACGGGTGACCGCGATGATGGGGCAGCGTGGGCGGTACTTGCTGACTTGGAAAGCCGACTTACCGCTGGTGGTGATCACCACAATGGCAGCGGCCTTGGCTTTGGTGGCAGCCTCAACAGCAGCGATGGCAGCGGCATGAGCGGCATCGATGGTAGAGGCACCACGAACCAGGTCGTTGAAGAGGTTCTGGTGCCAAAGGGCGGCCTCAGCCTCCTTGCAGGTCTTGGCCATGGTCAGGACGCACTCCAGTGGGTACTCGCCCTTGGCGGTCTCACCCGACAACATGACGCAATCAGCGCCATCGAGAACGGCGTTGGCCACATCAGAGATCTCAGCACGAGTGGGACGTGGTTTCTTCACCATGGACTCCAACATCTGGGTGGCGCAAATGACAGGCTTACCAGCCTTGTTGCAACGGGCGATCATGGCCTTCTGGGCGAGGAAGACCTTCTCGGCGGGAATCTCAATACCCAAATCGCCACGGGCCACCATGATACCATCACCGGCCTCGATAATCTCGTCCAGGTTGTGCATGCCCTGCTGGTTCTCGATCTTGGAAATGATCTTGATGTTCTTGCCTTTCTCGCCCAGAACCTTACGGATCTCGGTCAGAGCGGCGGCATTACGGATGAACGAGGCGAACACCATGTCGACCTCCTGCTCCACACCGAACAGCAAATCGCTCTTGTCCTTCTCAGAGACGGCGGGCAGATCGACGGGTACTCCGGGCAGATTCACGCCCTTGCGAGATCCCAAAGAACCGCCGTTCTCCACCTCGCAGGTGATCGTGTCCTTGGACACCTCACGCACGATCAGTGAGATCAGGCCGTCGTCGACGAAGACGCGGTTGCCGGGCTTCACCACGTTGACAATGTTCTCGTAATCCACGTACACAACCTCCAAAGATCCCTTCTCCAGGAAGTCCTTGTTGGTGGACAGCTTGATTTTCTCGCCCTTCTTCAGCTCGATTTCGGCGGTGCCGCTGCCTCCGATCAGACCGGTACGGATCTCGGGTCCCTTGGTATCCAGGGCAATGGCCACGGGGTGCTCGTAGCCCAGCTTCGCCGAGTAGTTCTTCACCGCCTGACGAACGTTGGCCACGGTGGCGGCGTGGTATTCGTGCGATCCGTGAGAGAAGTTCATGCGCGCAATGTTCATGCCGGTGGCCATCATCTTCTCCAGCATCTCCACGCTGCTGGAGGCTGGTCCAATGGTGCACACGATTCCGGACAGACGGACATGGGGCACTGGCGAGTCGAACTGCAGACGGCACATGTGCTCCAGTTGGGTATCAGCTCCGGCGGCCATGTTTTGCGGTACTTCGTTGGGCTGAAAAATAGAAAAGAGGATAATTTATTAATTGGTGAATTCTACATTTCTAGGATTATAACTTGTTGATAATGCTTGCTTATTTATCGGTTAATAGCACGAATTGTTTAGATAGTAGATTTAAAAATTTAACATCTAAATTAATATGATTTAATTAATTATAACCCTAGTCAAGTAATACGGTTGTTTATTTATAACTCGAAATAACATTGACATTGGCAAGTATGGTTTTTTTAGTTTTAATTCTGATTTGAACGGAAAGTTAAAAAAAATGGTATTTAGAGATAATTTCAACCATTGATTTTAGGTTTTGAAAGCCTAGTGGGCTGCTACAAGTTACTATTGACACTAATAATCAGCAGTCTTTCCATAGCAACAAGAAAACCTTTTTATTTTTTACAATCTAAGAAGTTCTTGCCAAAATACCGATTTTTATGAAATTGAAATCAACCCTTGATGACATTTTGCAAAGAGGCTATGAAATACGTAAAGAACCCCAAGCAAAAACGTGCATAATCCATGATTACTCCCCTATCGTTATTTTTACGGATGGATCAATATTGTTTTTTATCGACCAAATTAAACTTTACTACCGAGTTATAAATAGAAGGAACTAAGCGACAGGTATTGTATAAGCATGAGTGCAAAAAGTAAAAGATAACTTTAGATATCTAGAAGTTATTTTACAATGTAAACATGAATAAATGTATGAATTTATCAAGATAGACTTTGAGTTAAACTACCCTTTAGGTTAATCAATCATAACAATTAGATCATGATTAATAATAATACGAAATGTGATAACGTCCCGTTTTGATATGAAAACGAAGTTTGATATTTGTTCAATAGCATGTAATTAGGAAATTAACTGATAAGTAATTATATAGCCAGAAGGATGATGAAAACTCTAATTTTTTGTAAAATTGTCACATTTTTCGTTTTGCACTTTGATTTCCTGTTTAAATTAAATCAATGTGTAATTTTTTCGTTGAAAAAATCTTTATAAATATACAAACGAATATCGAATCAAAATGATACTCCCCAATGTTTAGTTTATAGTTTCTATACTCGGAATCTGTCGCTGTCGAATTTATTGATGTAAACAAAAAGCGGGTACTTGAAGTGCTTGAATGGGTGGGAGTGGGTGGCCCCAAGGAGAGGGCATGAGAAAGGCAGAGCGGGAGAGAGTGAACGAGAGAAAGCAAGCAGCATGCGGAAGAAAAGTGTGCAGCTACGTCGACGTCGACTTCGCTGCACATCCGAAGGTCAGTTCTGCCGACCGCGACCGACAGAACTTTCGCAGCTGCAGTTGCATAATTTCTATTTTTTTCCTAATGACTCTGATATCGGGTAACCACGGCTACCCAACTGATTATGTATATCTTTATGGACCAGTTCAGGTAAGTTCTAGACCCGTGACATTGGCGTACCTTCAGCTGCGGGGCCACATCGTAGATGGTTACGTTCACCATTTTGTTGCCTACCGAAGAGGCAGTAAGGAACCAACGGGAATCGTACTTGTGATCGAGATCGAATTTGGGATATAGACGCCTATATCTTCCAGCTGCACACACAACTCCACGCACAACACACACAAAGCCGCGGCTAGCCGAGTTCAATATTTTGTCAATATATTAACCAAGTTCGAGCCGAAAATCCGGATATATCGTAAGCGGACGCGGTGAGGACGAGACAAAAAGTTCGACTGTCACCCAGATTTTTTTGGCAAGCGGAAAATTTTCCGAGCCGCAGCAAAAGCGCTCAGAATGTCGGTAGCCCGAAAAGAAGAGAGCAGAAACGCAGAAAACCCGAGAGAGTTTGGTTTTGGGTCCAAAGAGCCGAGAGACGGACGCAACAGGCCACCCCTAAAGAGCCAACTTTCGCGAGAAGCGTTATAAAGCGAGCAGGAAGGGTATTTCCAAGGGTATGCTCGACAATGGAATTCCAACTACTCAGCAAACTAAAGAGCACCGCTTTGGTCAAGGGTCTAAAAATGCATTTCTAATCAAGATGAACTTTGAGTGATAACTCAAAGGTATGTATTATTGCCCTTTTATAAGGGCACACTTTTCTAATTTTCACTTTTCTGGAATTCATTTAATATCTGGCTCCTCAATTTTTTTATTTTCGACTATGTTAAGGCAAAACTACTTTACATGAATTTAAAGAAAAGTAGTCATTTAAAAGATATCTGTAAAAAGTGAAATAAGATAATTGAATATTAAAAAAAAATTTGAATGCCTTATAATCCTAACAGACCCATACCCTTACTCCTTTTGAGTAGGGGGTGCAAAATATGTATCCACAGTGCGTGAAGCCTCGGAGCTAACTCAGCAAAGCTCCGTTGCTAGGCAAGCCGGCAATCGGAACAGAAGGTCAACGATTCATGGAGTGTTTAATATTTTTGCAAATTAATAACACAAATGAGCACGCGATGTCACCAAGTGTGTGCGTGGGTAAACAAAAAACCGATCATCAGCTGTGAGATGTCGCTTATCAACTGACGGCGAAAAGAGCGCACTGTCCCACTTCCACACATTTTCCCCACTGTGCTGACCTTGACGAGTTAATCTGCTCCACAGAAGTATTCCTGACTCGCTCGCACTGTCATTATGCAAGTGCGTGAGCATTGGAATAGCTTTTCTTTTATCTTTCTCTCTTTGACGCTTATCGTGAGTGTCACGCGCAAAAAGCGTGCAGGGAAAGCTTTCTAATTCACAGCTTTTGTCGCCGGAAAACGCACGAGAGAAAAGTTCTGAAAGTGAAAGTGCTTTTCCAGAGCACATATGTAATAAGTATTATGTGTATATATGTATAATGCATTTGCCCTTGAACTTGTACAGGAAAGGACGTTGGCATCGTTACTAATATATGTTCTGGAATATATCAACAAAATGGTTATCACTAAAACCGAAATAGCAACAAAGTATTAAACAAAATTTAGACAACCCGGCACAGGCGAAATTTATGCAAAATTACTCATCGGTGCTGTTCCCATTCTGTTCGTCGTCACAAGGCAATTAAACGATTGCGATAATGGAAGTTTACAGCGCTTCGAGATTATTATTATTGTTGCATTATTCCCGATGGCGTGGTTTATACAGTGTACATTTCATGGTATGAGTTTTTGTATGGAATGACTTCTATTTCACCTTTACACATTCCGCTAACGAGACGTTTTTGCTAGTGTATGGGTGTGCGAATTCAATTTGCATGTGTGTTTGTGAGACGGCAAACTCAATTCTACATAATTTGGAGAAATTGCCTTCATCATCAACATCAACAACAACAAAATATGTCTACCGCGAAATTATTTTGCCATTTTTACCGCTGTTTAATTTAATGAGATCTTTCTGGCTGATGACACACCGGGATGATCTGATATTTACCTTCTTGAACAGTAAAGGTGAACTCGCAGAGAGATGTATATGCTCTTCCTGTTTTGGAATTAGTTTAATTTAATTTAAATTAAATGCACAGGCAGCGAACACTCCAATCAGAAAAACGGTGCGTCCGGCAAGCGATCTGTTCGGCGATTGAGAAAACAGTTGGACTCGGCTTTCGCAGATGCGCGCGTGAGCACATTCAAATGACCGCCCACTTGTCATCGCTAAGGTATCGCTTGCTTTGAGATAGGCACAGTCGTGACACGAAATATGAATTTAGAAAGCTTTTCATAGATATACAACATTTATTTTTGACACAATTCTGTTTAAGAAGTTACAAAAAAAAATTGTAACCATTGATAAAAGTTTTTTTTTTAACTTATATACTCCGCTTGACGTCAAAATCCATTTAATGTGTTAACAAATTAATCATTATATATGTATAACTTTTTATGAAATAATTGAATGTGAAAATAAACGTTTACTTTTTCGGTAGTACTTGTTGTAATCAACATGCGCTCATCTTTAGTTTTTAACGATCTTCTTCTTTCTACCCTTACGATTCGCCCCGAACCGTTTGTTTTGATTCTGATTTGTACGGTAAGCGTGTTGTTCTGTTTAATTAACTTGAATTTTAATTAAAAACAAACCTAAAAAACCTAAAATTAGCGTCATGGCGACGGAGGTTTCCCAACTGTTGCTGGCGGTGATCCAGGGCATTCCAGCCGGCGCCACCAACGAGGACCTAACCAAGGCGCATCCCGACGTCCCGGCGGCCACGAGGGTTGAGGCCTTGAATATACTGATCCAGCAGGGTGGAGTGGAGATCTTGAAGAAGGGCGAGAAGCTGGTGTACCGCGCCAAGGATCCGGAGAAGAAGAGCGCTTTGCCTAAGGATGCGGACAACGAGGAGAAGGTGGTCTACGGAATTGTAGAAGAGGGCGGCAACAAGGGCAAATGGATAAGGGACATACGCATGAAATCCAATCTTAACATGATACAGCTCAACAAGATCTTGAAGAATCTAGAGACGAAGAAGCTAATAAAAGCGGTCAAGTCTGTGAACGTAGGTTATATTATGCTTTTCTCGGCTATAATAAAATGACATAGAATCATTTATACACAGGCCAGCAAAAAGAAGGTTTACATGCTTTACAACCTGGAACCAGATCTTTCCATCACAGGAGGTGCTTGGTACCAGGATCAGGACTTCGAGGTTGAATTTGTGGACGTTCTTAATCAGCAGTGCCTGCGTTTCTTGCAAATGAAACGCGACAGTGCGGAGAAGAAGCGCGAGGGTCCGTTGGCTTTCAAGCAAATGTCCTGCTGCACGGTCAATGAGGTCCAGAAGTTCATCTCCGATCTGGGCATCAGCAAAGTCAATCTGGCGGAGGCCGATCTGGAGACCATCCTGAAAACCGTGGTTTACGACGGCAATGCGGAGCGGGTGCGTCAGCAGGATGGATCCCATGTCTACCGGGCTGTGAACTCTCCACTTCCACCCACCGGTCTTGTGCAGATGCCGTGCGGTATTTGTCCTGTCATTAAAAACTGTTCCAATTGCGGTGATGTAACTGCTATAACTTGTGAATATATGCGAGATTGGTTAGATTAAAAAAAAAGCGTTTTTGGATCTGTTCATTAACAAGGATTTAATTAAACTTGGCTTTTTTTTAAACAACGTTACAATAACGGTTTAAGTGGGACACACCTATTTGAAATATTGAAACTAAATCATAAAATAACATCTTGGAAAATGAAAAAAATAACAAAAGTATTAAACATTTTTTGCTGCTGTTTATTAGGTTAAAAAACCTTTATTTGTTAAGTATGAAAGAATGAAGTGCGGAAATAACTGTGGTTTTTAAGCGAAAGTGGTATGTTCAACAATTCATACATTTCGCAAACTAAGTTTTTGTAACGTAAAATGAATTTTTAAAATATTATATCGTAAATTGTCATTCAAAGTGTTGCACATCTACGGTATTCGCTTCGACATTCGTCAGCTGCTTGCGATTCGCCCGGAACGCAGGAACAGATACGTGGCTGTTGAATTTGTGAATGCCACCTCGAAAACTCCGACAGAAGCTGCGAGAAAAATAAAGATTAATTTAATTGTGTTTTTTAATATGCGATAGCTGTCACCAGTGCGCCAAGTGCAATTCCTTCAGCGCCTTAGGAAGCCTGTGTTTGTAGAAATGGGTCTGTGCAAATGCCCCAAGCGACTGGTGACCAACCAGTTTTGCTTTGAGCACCGCGTCAATGTTTGCGAACATTGCATGGTTCAGTCGCATCCGAAGGTAAGGATCTCATTAATCAGCTTTATAGACTCCTATTTTACATCTTGGTTGTGCCTTTCAGTGCATTGTGCAGTCGTATCTGCAGTGGCTGCGTGACAGCGACTATATTTCCAATTGCACCCTGTGCGGCACCACATTGGAGCAGGGCGATTGTGTGCGCCTAATCTGCTACCGTAAGGCGACACATCCTCCAGCAAATGCAGGCATCACTCACTGATCCCGATCTCCTGCCATTTACAGACGTTTTTCACTGGGACTGCCTGAATGCCCGCCAAGCCGCCCTACCTGCCAACACAGCGCCGCGGGGTCACCAGTGCCCCGCCTGCAGCGTGCAGATTTTCCCCAACAGCAACCTGGTCTCCCCCGTAGCCGAGGCCCTGAAGAACTTCCTGGCGCAGGCTAACTGGGGCAGGAATGGCCTGGGACTGGCCCTGGTAAGATTTCAACGATTCTATCCCTTTCTTCGACTAAAACACAATCTCACACAGCTCTCAGAGGATCAGAGCAGCAGTCTGAAGGCCATCAAGCCCAAGGTGGCCAACCAGGCGGCTGTTAGCAACATGACCAAAGTGCACCACGTCCATTTCGGGGGCGAACGGGAGCGCACGAAGCCAAACGGCAACGATGCCATGAGTCCACATTCCGTGCTCCTAATGGACGCATTTAATCCTCCCACTGCAGGCGACTATGGTGCGTAAGAAATTCCCATTTTCTATAATTATATCAGCTGTAGAATTTAAAGTGACTTTCATATAGTTTTCATGCAAGAAGGCCCAAAATGTTAATATATAAATTAGTCCTGATCATTATATATAAATTAAATTTTCGTAACTTCTTGAAATTTCGAGATGACTATCAAGTTACTCATTTTTAAAAATCTTGTTTTCAGTCGTTATAATTTTGTGAACTTTTTTTTATCCTCCGACAGCCAGCAGCCGCCGACCGTTGCTGCCACGTCAGTCGCCCATTGGTGGAACGGATCGGGACGATAATAAGTACCAGCGCCGCACGCCGGCCGAGCTCTTTTCGCGCTGGACACGCCGTTTCTATGCGCCATCCTCCCGGCCACCTTGGCGTCGCTTCTGGTTCCTGGTGCCGGCCGGCATCCTGGCCTTCGTCTTGTTCATCTATTTGATGGCTTGGCTGGGACGTGGAGGATCCGATGCCGTGGACGAGGGCTGGAACAACCCCAATCCGCAACCGAACCACTACGAATAGGAATGTGCATTCATAATCGAAACAAGCATACGTAGCATATTAACGATATCCAAAACCCCCCGTTCCCGAAAGAATAAAACTTTTTCAGCTATTTATATAACCTAACATTGCAACGCGAAATAATACAAAAGAATGTACATAAAGAACAATTTTGAGTCCTTATTCATCTAGTCAGCGTGCGGTTTTAATGTCTGGACTTGGCTTCCTTCGGTTGGTGGTTTGGCAACCACCTTGCGCTTTACCGGCGTCGTTGCCTGTTGCTTACGTTTGGGTGCATCCAGCACTTCATCGTACTCGTGCAGCTTTTTGGCCAGGAAGTACATCTCAGCCAAGGCTATGATGAGAGCGACAATCACTCCCAGCAAAATGCGAAATCCAAAGGGCAGAGGGCCCACCATCAAATTGACGCCAAAGAAACCGAAAGTAAAGCCAGCGGCCACGGAGAAGATGAACTGAACTACGGCAATGATCTGCTTGTTGAGGCTCTTAACTGGAAAACAAAATGAAGACAATGTTCAATTAGATTGGCAAAGGGTTCCAGTAACGATCAGACTCACTCTGATAGGAGATAGTGTCTTCGGGATAATGTTTTAGGCCGGCATCTACGTTCTTAGTCATCTTAAGGTAATCCCGGTTGTGCTGTTCAGCGCGCAGACGCTCGCAACGGGCTTCCAGCTCAGGATTGCGAGGCTTTAGCTCGTTTTCGGGCAAAATGAGTTCACAGGTGTCAATTAGTTGATGGAGAAAAACCTGGCAATGATCCTGGCGGCGCAGTTCCACCAAAGTGTTATTTAGCCAGTGCAAGTCGCTCAACAAGAGGAAATTTTTCTTCTCATTCGGAGTTTCTTCATCATTATCTTTTTCCTTTGAGGAATCCGGCTTATTCTTCAAAGGCTTTTCAGACGTAAATTTAATATTTTCAGTTAGTTTTTTCAGCAGAGGATGGTCAATCTTTGGACGTTTGCAGACTACTTCTTTATCCTTGATTATCTGTATATTAAGGGGCAGGGTAAATCCCTTTTGCTTCATAATCTTGGCCAGATTTTCGGTTACTTCTGGGAGGTACTCCTTCTGAGAATCCAGAAATTCCAGCAGCTTCTTTGAGGGCACAAGGCGCACTCGGGGGTCCACGATCGTTGACTTCAGCATGGTTCTACTTGGCAATGTTTAGTTTTAACTGAAGATCCGAGTAGAGTTCGGCAATTTCCTCTTCTTTTTCCTCGAATGAGTTCTCGATGCGGCGATAGCCGTGCTCCAAATTGGTCAGAAACTCCGCCCGGCGTTGCTCACGTGCCAGTCGCGCTTCCTGCAACTGGGTGCTGGCCTGTAAACCAGGAAAGGGGTAATTAATCAATGATAAAGGGGCTGAGATTACGGTGACCCACTAACAGTTCGTTCCACTTTCGCTTTCGCTAGTAATGCATTGACCCCGTCCAGCAGATGATTCACCTCCTTGTCCAGTTGGGTAAGGTTCTGCGTTCCAGATGCAATACACCGCTCGGAAAGATCGTACTTTAAGGATCCCACTGTTTCGGTGACCTGGAAAAGTTTCTCCACTTCACTGTCGTTGCGCCGCACCTCGAAATTCTCCAAGAAAGTTTCGATCTCGCCGTTTACAAACACGCGATGGTCTAAAATGCGAAGCGGCACTTTGTATAACTCTGTAAACAGCGGAAAAGCTCGGTTATTAATGTTTTTTCAAGAAATTTAAAAAAACTGCACCTCGTCCGACTTGGCTTATCATTATTTTTCTCCACCGACAGCTGTCACATGAGCACAGTGTTGGCAAACGTACTAGATTTGGGTACCTGCTAAGGTACCAAATAATTTGGTAAATAGGTACGTAGGTAAGGAAAATGTATTAGATTAAATATGTAAAACAAATAAGAATATATTTAATATTTATTTATTAAGTACAAAGAAAATAAACTTGTAACTTATTCATGGTTTCTTGCTTGACTAAAAATTTCACCAACTCAATTAGCAAAAATAAACAAATTTGTATAAATAACTATAACTACATTTAAATGAAGTAACTGAATAATAAAAACTTAAAGAAACTGTTTAAAATAAATGGTATACATAAAAATACGTGATGCCTTTGTCACTTATTTATATTATGAAATATTTTATAATTAAATATTTCCAGAAACGGCTGGTCACTCTTAAGTCTGACAACGTTGGCCCCGTGACGATTTACATTTTCTGTCGCTAGTTTTTCGACAAAATCACCAATTGAATTGATAAAAACGTAATGGGAAGCGCCAACCACCGCCTTAGAATGTCCCGCCCCTTTAAAACCGTTGAAATTAGGCACAAAGAAGGACTTTTTTGGCGGCCAGCTGAGTGACCAGGTGCGGCTGAACCACGCGGTAGGGGTTTTCCTAGGCCTTCTACGCCTGGCCACACTGCACTCACGTTCTCCACTTGCTGCGTTTTCCAGGAGCCGCCCGTAGAAAATTGGCCAATTTCACCAGGATGAGCGAGGAATTCAAGCTGCCCAAGCGCTCCCGCAAGCGCACCCGTGATGTGAAGCGCAAGGCGCGTCCGGAATTGGACGGGGAGAACGCGTGGGTGGCAATGCGGTACTGCGAAAACTTCGAGCCATTTTGGGACTTCACGGACAACTTGGAAAGGATCGAGGACTCGGAGGTGCCGGAGGCGGAGTTTATCGAACGCTTCGAGCGGCCCTACAAGCCTGTGGTGATCCGCGGCTGCACCGACGGCTGGCTGGCCCTAGAAAAGTGGACACTAGCTCGGCTGGCCAAGAAGTATCGGAACCAGAAGTTCAAGTGCGGCGAGGACAACGAGGGTTACAGCGTGAAGATGAAGATGAAGTACTACGTGGAATACATGCAGGGTACGCGCGACGACAGCCCGCTATACATCTTCGACAGCAGCTTCGGCGAACACCACCGGCGGAGGAAGCTCCTCGATGACTATGTGGTGCCCAAGTACTTCCGCGACGACCTCTTCCAGTTCTGCGGCGAGAATCGCCGTCCGCCGTACCGCTGGTTTGTCATGGGACCAGCTCGATCCGGCACCGGCATCCACATCGATCCGCTGGGCACCAGTGCCTGGAACACTCTCATCCGCGGTCACAAGCGCTGGTGCCTGTTTCCCACGCAAACGCCCAAGGAACTGCTAAAGGTTACAAGTGCCATGGGCGGCAAGCAGCGTGACGAGGCCATCACCTGGTTTAGCACAATATATCCTCGCACCCAGCTGCCTAACTGGCCAGAGCAGTATCGACCCATTGAGGTGCTTCAAGGAGAGGGCGAGACGGTGTTCGTGCCCGGCGGTTGGTGGCACGTGGTTCTCAATCTGGACGACACCATAGCCATCACCCAGAACTTCAGCTCGCAGACGAACTTCCCCTGCGTCTGGCACAAGACTGTTCGCGGGCGGCCCAAGTTGTCGCGCAAGTGGCTGCGCGTGCTGAGAGAACAGCGACCGGAGTTGGCACAGATCGCCGATAGTATTAACCTGAACGAGAGCACCGGCTTCGCCTCGGACAGCTCCAGCAACTCAAGCTCCTCCTCCTCGAGCAGTTCCTCGTCCTCGTCGGAGGAAAGCGAAGACGGCGGCGATTCCAACACGGACAGCGGCCAGGAAAGTCTCACTGCCAAGAAGAAAAAGAAAAGACGCATGGCGGGAGGTGGATCTGGGTCCGGTTCCATGGGCGGATCCTCGCGCTCCTGATGCAGGGAGCGGGCCAAGCGCAAAGGCTTGCTCATGCGCCTCTTTCAACGCCAGCTGATGCTGCTCCGACGGCTACCCCGCTGCCGCCGCAGTTAGCATGGAGATTATCATTCATCATACGTAGCCAGGTCGTTCCAGAGTTTTGTAATATTTTTCTACTTAGACAAGCATGTTTGCAGCTCTTTGATTCCGTGCTCGCCCTCATCGCAAGCCTGCTCCCTGATTTCAATAGATGCTCCAACATGACTCATTAGCGTAAACCTTAATTGCAAAAATAAATAAATCCAATATATTTGTAAAACGCCTCCGGGTTTTATTTAATTATGAACTTCACTCTTTTTTTTTTAATTAAAAAATCTTTCTTTTAAACATAATGGCTAGAAAGGAGCTTGTTAGCCCAAGCATTATCATTGTCATTACACGCCTTGTAAAGCATAGTAGCATAATATTGTTTAAAAAATAATTAATCCAATGATAAGATAAATTTGATTCCTAAAGAAAATGCTGGCAGTATTCAAACACTGTACGCAGCAATTCTTACCCCCAATCCAGATGTTGTAAAGAAACAGCCATAGATTTTTATTTTACAAAATTACTTTTCTCCGCTTTAATTAGAATTCTTTTTGCAAACAAAAATGCGATTTTATATAAATTGTTTTCCCTTTCGTATTGTATAAAAAAGAAACAAGTACATTGATGACATGCAACTTATAATTTTAGCTAAATTAAAATGTACCATTATCGGAAGGGAACACGGTCGATGGAAGGTCTTGGGGTTGTACATAATATATTTTTCAGCCAAACTAAACTATAAAGGAAATCAATAGTGACATTTACAATTAAAAATTTTTAAATAAAAGGTAGATAGATAAATTTTATTTATGGAACCGCGTCGTTGAAAGCACATGCTCTTAAATAAATCACCTTTAATTTGCTACAATTTGTTATTCATAATTATTATTAAAAGTTTCCCTTGCGCATTTTTTTCATCCTCCAGCTCCTTATTATTGTATCCCGATGTTTTAGATAGAAAAGTTTTTTGCACTTTGTTGTTGTGTTGTGTTTTTCACGTGGTTGTGTGGCTGGATTAAACAGTGTCGTTTAATTACAGATATACATTGTTTTGTTTTGTGTTTTTTTTATTATTATGAAATATTTGTATTTGTTTTGTATAAATTAGAAATTGCGCACGCAGCTTCGTTTTGCTTAAGGTCTGACGGTTTGGGTTGGGTTCATTTTCCTTTCGGTTCTGTTTTGTTGTCGAATTTTGTTTGAATTTTGTAGCCAAGTTATTGGTTTGAGTGTTGTTGAAATATGGTGTGGTGGTGGTTGTTAATTCTGACTTAATCGATATACTGCGCTAACCAACGGAAACCTTCGCCGTAGCCCTGTCGCTTCAGCACGGAACACATGAACAATTCCAACGGGCGGCCAGGCAAATCGGCGCGTGCAACTTTGCCCTGCAAATCAAACAAAAATGAATTATGTATTATTAATAAAATGGACAATTTAACGGAAGAGGGTTTTGTTTACCTTGCCGGTTGTTAGCTGATACAGTCCAAACACGTTTCTCAGCTCATCCTCGCTAGCCGCACCGGGCTTATCGATTTTGTTGCCCAATATGAGCACGGGGCAGTTAGACAGCGCCTCATCCGTGAGCAGCGAATCCAGCTCGTTTTTGCTCTCCTGGAAGCGACCGCGGTCCCAGGCGTCTATCAAGAAGACGATGGCATCCACAGCGGGGAAGTAGTCCTTCCAGACGCGTCGTGCTGTAAATAAGAATAACAAACTTTTTAACTTTTTCACAAAATTACTATTTTGAGAGAATAAATTTAAAACATCGATATTCTTTCTTAGGGTATTCTAATAGTCGATGGCTTTTAGCTTACAATCTATAATTTATAAACCATCAACTAAAACACACATAACGCACGTCATTGTTATCAGGCAATAAGTTGTTATATCTTTTCGCCGCTCAGACGATGTCGAGCCTCAGCTAACTTTGGTCTGATCACGGTTACCCGAATTGTTCCGAACCAAAAGCGATCGTCATGATGACGAGATGCACTCATAATAAAATAACTTAAAGTGCTGCCTCTTTATCAATAATAATTGCCTCAAGAAGCCATTTCACGATGTTTTACCATTTTTCATAATATACCTATTTATGTATACACATATACTAAGTTCACGTTCGTGAGAAAACTTAAGTTTTTCGTCTACAAACGTCTGTTTTTGTACTCGCTTAATCTTTAGCTTTTGTTTTTGTTTGTTATCTATATTGAATGTTTGCCTTCATACTTATATTATTCATAAATATTTTGCATATAGATGTACAGTGGGCAAAAGAGGTATTAAGATTTTAAATTTTGATGTCATCGTTTTGATAAGAAATTTGGAATGGTGACAAGACCTTGTTAAATATTTGTGTTATATAATGGGGGTGTCACAGAAAACTCTCTTGGGTATATGTTTCATACACTAAAAATAAATGAAGAAATATGTTTAAAATTTTTCATTTTCTGAAATAATCTTATGGGTTTAAAAAACTACCCTAAAAGTAAAATGTTCCAGTTAAATAAAATAACCTATTTCAACCTTATTAATTCTAAGACCACTGTAATGGCATTGCTTGGATGGGCGCTCGAGTGTGCGACGCTGATTGAACGCAACAAATGTAAAGAGTGTGAGCTGTATGGGTGACCCGCTGCGCTATATTTCTTGCCGATTGTCGTGGATTTTGCTCTTTTGCATTTGTCGCCCTGTGATATATGCATTCTGATCTATGTTTAGCCAATGGGCACGTTCGGAAACCCGCAAATATTTGGATGCACATTCCCTTGGGCTCCGGTAAAGATTAAACACTTACCTTGAGTGTGGCCACCCAAGTCGAATGTAGTGAAGCGCATGTTGCCGATGGACAGCTCTTCCGATGCTGGAAATGATTAAGGGAATTGGAGTTACTAATGGAGCTTCAACATAAATCTTTAAGGCTACTCACTCGGGTGTAGTGTGGGCACATGCTGCGCCAGCTTATCATCTTTGAGCATATGCAATAGTGTGGTTTTGCCAGCATTATCCAGGCCCAGGAACAATAATTTGCCAGACTTTTTCCACAGACCTGGAACGAGGAATATGTTTAATAAGCGCCTTTGACTCAATCGTCACCAATTAAAATACGCAGCTAAACTAACACTAGTGACAGATCACTTGTGTTTGCGCAGCCACAGACATTCGAACACACAGTTGGGGTCGAAAAAAAAGATATGAGGTAGTTACATATAGTTATTTCATTAAATTTGTTACCGAATTTCAGTACTCTGAAGCAAACAATTAAATCATCAAGTTCCTAACTTTTTAAGTATATTTAAAGTGGTCTTATAAGCATTATAAGCTTATTATTACAGAGATCCCTGATTTATTATTACCTTTAAAATTAACTTGATTTATTGTATAATACTTTTTACATATTATCATAGCGATGTATAACAAGACATTTAAACTCATAACTCATATTTGATAGAAATCTCTTTAGAATAAAACATATTTACACATATAAACCGCAGAGGAATACAGTTCTTTTGATCGGAAACACCTGTCTTAACCCTTACAAAGTTTACACGAGTAAGCCTATAGATCTTGCGATAATCCCACTGTACGTCAGTCAAATTTCAGTTTCTTTTGTCTGGTCATGTCTGTCTCTGCTGCTTTGTTGGCACTCGCTCAAGAAACGCTCCCCCAAGGCACAATGTCAGAGATTCAGGGACCTCGGAGAACCGCCTCACCAGTCGTGATGAAGATTCTTACCCAGGTATCCCAGCACTCCGGTGAACCAGTCCCAGATGAACATCCTGCTGATTTTTTGTGGCTATCAGTTGCGGGAAAAGCAGAGTGTTGTGTGTTTTTGTGGGGGGAAGAGAGCTGCTGGGCTAGACGGCTATAGGGATGGGATCGAAGTGATATATAGATAATAGATTAGTGCGCAATTAAAACTCAAGATCAATGTCCAGCTGAAACCGCAACAACAACAACCGCAGCGGCAGCAGTAACAAACGTTTGGCTTATAGGAAATCAATTCGACGTGTAGAATAACTTCCGGAACCTTGACACACATGCACACAAACACACACAGACAGCGGTCGGGGACCTTGCGGATATAGCTTCCTTCTAGCGGTACATTTTTCGGCCTATTATTCAGTTAATTAGGTTAAAACCTGTTCTTTGTGGGCAACACTTTCTTTCTTTCTTTCTATTTCCCTCTCTCTCACTGTCTGTGTGTGCGAGACTGGGTGAGTGTGTGTTTGTCAGTCTTTGTGTGCCTGTGTGGAACTACGTGGTAACACGCATATTATACTTTATAATATCATTTCGCCTTTCGAGCACATTTCGTAATCACACTTTGGATCGCAGGTTCACCCGTTTCAGCCGCGCCCTCGACCCGAAAAAAAACACCCAGACATCCCAGATTCAGATTCGGATTTTGCACTACGTGGACGCATTTCGGGATTTTTGATCCCGCTGCCTGCGGGTGTCTGGCTTTTCGGGGTTTTGATCGTTGCAATTGCCGCTGCCGCCGCGCGTTTTAATTGCGTTTCGCTGCTGGTTACCGTGCGGTTTCTGTCTGTTTTAATTATCAACTTAATTCGCCTTTTCTACCTCACGTTTTTATTGGAGTCAGTTTTTTCTAATCAAAGCCCCCAGTGTGACCAATAAGCGGGTATCGGTAAAATAACACGTGGCATGCGATAGTTGGCCAGCCCTGGTCATTTTCGAGTGGTCTGGCAACGCCGAATCTACGAGTCCATGTGGCATCTCTACTTAAAAGGTTGCCATGTAGGCAATTCAAAAAAGTTTATATTTATTGTACAAGTTCATAAGCTTTTTTTTACATTAGAAAACGAAACTTCAAAATTCAACTTACAAAATCAAATAAAAAAATATAAGCAGGCTGTTTCTTAGTTATTTTTAAACCAATTTACTATCCTTTAAATATATGATTTTTTTTGATATTAAAATAAATATTACCGAGTTTATCCAAAAGTCCCTCTAAAAAATCTCTCAGTGTTTTCGTTTTTGCTAACGGTTTCAGCCCTCAGAAATTAATTTTAAGTTTTATAAAAGTACAAACATCAAAATAATGCAACAAAAACAAACCACGTATATCAGAAAGATTTATGATATGATTTCAATGTAATAATATAATTTTCTTTTAATATTTCTGTAGGTACAAAGCATTAAAAGTCCTCCAATTGTAAATACAAAATTGCTTTAGGTACAAAATAGTTATTAAATTCGATGGAGTGGTTAATTGGCCTTCCGCATCTGCTGCAGGATGATGTCCTCCACCTGGACGCCATCGGGAGTGTCCAGGGCGTAGAGCACGGCCTTGGCCACATCCTTCGCCTGCAGCTTGGGCAGTTCGGCCACCGCCTGCGAGTAAACACTGAGGAAGTCCGTGTCCACCATTCCCGGACAGATGCTCTACGGCGTTCGTCGGAGAAAGAAGGGGTCGTCCATTACCCAAAGAAATAAAGAACAGGGAGCACGGAGCGCCATGTATGCACTGCATTTAACTTACCGTTAATTTAATATTTAATTTGAGAAAATGTATTTCCTGGCGCACCGTTTGGCAGAGGGCCGTAATTGCATGCTTCGTGGCCGGATAAACGCTGAATAAGGGCACCGGCACTTCCGGAATCCGATGGCCGAGCACGCTGTTGTCAAATGTCCATGTGTCCGGAGGACCAAAAAAAAAAGAGAGAGGGTCACAATCAGGGGGTGTGTGTGTGTGGGTAAATAAAGTCAACACAACGGATTCCGAGCACTTAAAACGGCAACAAAAAACAAGTAGCCGTCGAACACTTACGGAAAATGACGGTTAGCAGCTGACGGGGACTACAGATCCTCCATCGCCCCCGAAAAACCCACTTTGCATGCCTCAAAGAATGTGTGCGGATGTCGCAGGCTTGTTTTCTGTTTTCTGCATTCTGCATTCTGCGCCATGCATTCACCTGCCTGCATATGTCGCTGTGCATTTTGTGCAAACATTGCGTAAACTTCTTTTAATTTAACCCCCACACTCAGCCAAATGAACTGTATTAATAATTAAAATATTTAGAGTGATAGTTGCTAGTTATTAAAACCTATTATTTATACTATTTGTCCAACGAACAGTGGAAAAATTACCATGATTAATAACAAACGTTTTGGGTATTGAAAAAATAATTAAGTATAAATATTTGAAAAATGTGACCCCATTTAAAACAGACGTTAAACTAAAAGACAATTCATAAGTTACAATTAAAACTCTTTTAATAAATAATTTATAATATTTTTTCGAGTGCAGCTTTAAGAGTTTGTGGAGGGGACAATGCCCAGGCACAGGGGCGGTGGGCGTGGCTTGGAGCCTGGGGCATTTAATGCAAACAGATGACGACGCCGTTGCAGATGCTGGCCGGCCAGCATACTCTTGCATTTTTTAATTAATTAAGTCTTAATATTATTGCACTGACATTAAGCGAAATGCATATTGACGACCGCCCCCTTCCGTCCACCTGGTTCACCTGCCACGCCCCCTGGCACACACGCCCCCCGCAACGTCACACGCTCATTAGCAACGCCTCAGCAACGTTTTCAGAACGGGATTGTCTTTGCCTCGCAACGCAACCAAATAAATACATTTTCTCATTAATTAACGTTTGCGAAGTTCGAAGTCGCCATTTCCCCGCTTTTCCCGCTTTTCCCGCCGCCTGTCCGCAGCGCTCAATTGTATTCGGTTGCGGACAATACGCTTGTGTCCGCTGCTCATTATGCCGGAAAATGCGAATAAAAAACAGGAAAATTCGTATTTACGGTGTGTCTTTAATGCACTTCGATGTTACACTTTCCGATTGAGTAAGTAGGAATCTCAAGGGCTAGTAAAAATACGTTATGTTGTGGTAGAGCATTTAATCAACAAAAGTTTAGTTAATACCTTCTCTAAAAAGTTTTCTTGTAAAAAAAACAAATATTGCAAGTCAGAGAACTTTAACTTATGTTAAAACTTTTTTTTTTATGTTATTTTTAAAAACCTATAAACTTATGAAATCTTGTTCAGAAATATAAAATACTAGATTGTTGCATAACATAGATAGATTAAACTTCAATATATAAAACACCTATCCCAACGATCAAAGACCCTATCATATAACTCTTATCTGTTTTAACAAGACAGAATTCGTCTCGAATAAATTGCCATCTTTGCACTAACTAAAAGCCAATCAATAAATAAGATTGACGTTGGCTTTGTTGAATTTGCCTTAACATTTCCGCATGCTGACTGATTTTACAGACATGAAAAAAGCAAACACACACACGCACACACACACACACACACACACACAGGGACATTTACGCATGCATGGGCCCACCCACAGTGCGTATACGCAATTATTCAATTTTGCCTTTTGCTCATGGGCAAACGGCAATAATTGCTGTCTGGTTGGCTGGTTGGGCGGGTGTGCGTATATGCACTCAAGTAAATTTCATTAAAATTAAATCAATGCAATTTGAAATTAAAGCCATAGCGCAAATCAAACATGCGGCTTAATGCGCAACATTTTTGATTTTAAATGCGGTACGCATTGGAATACATGAAATAATAAAAATCACATTCGACGACTGCCAATGGAGGAATGCAAAATGCAAATGCAAATGCAATACGCATTCGGCTTAATGCAAAATACTTAATTATGTTGAATAATTGAGTTGTTGTTGGTTTCTGTTTGTTGCAGTTGTTGCTGTTGTTTGGGGCAAACACATTGGGCATGCAAAGCTTTTAATGCACCACCCGCACCGCAACACCAACATCACACATACGTGCCCCTTCTGCTTTCACCATTTAAATATCAATAAATGTTTGTGCTGTTGTGCTGTTTGTTTGCCGCATGGCTTTTAATTTAATTTAAATAACGCGCCACTCACATCTCGGACCCTTCTCCTTTGTGCCACCGCTCAATGCAAAATGCATTGAGCTGACCAACTCCGAAACACGGCTATTGACTGACCGGCTGCATTGTTTGCACTTTCATTAAGCCCCGATCGGCTGAACCCCCTCTAAGCCTCCAACACACAACACCCAATACCGAACACCCAATACCGAACACCCTACAGGACATAATTTGGTAAATATTTTGCCACTCAAGGCAGCAGCTTTTGGTCAGTTGTTTGCCCAGCACAAGCAAAACTATAAAGCAAATATGTACGAAAATGATTTACCTCCAACTCTATCCACTGTATGCCCACTGCCTTTGTGGGCCTGTGCACTAATTTCGATTTAAGCCCAATTTTCCTATTTCAGCTGGGTAAACATCGCTCCCGAAATGATAACAATTACCCCCGGTCCGGCAATTGTGCTGCTCTGTGTTTGCAGTTGTGCTAATTTTGTAGCTCTATCTAATTGTCTCGAGTCAATAGACAATCCTTTCATGTATGGCTTTCAATTGATGGCTCTCTCAGGCTTCAAACACTTTCATCGTATAGAAAGGCTTCATTTAAGGAAAATTAAATCTCTGGGTGTTGAAATCAGAATTGGATAGTCTCTGTACTTTAAGCCTGCGAACTAAATACGGGTTATTGTGCATTTCAATTGCATTTACTTAATTGCTGAAATATTTTTACCATGCCAATATCAATAAAAATAACCTGATATTTATTACGAATAAATGTAAAAATTGTTAACTGATTTAATTATTAAGTACAAGCGATTAATGGTTGGGTAATTTATAGCCAACTGACTCTTATCTGAGGGAAATTGCAGTGCCTGTAAGGAGACTCACCTGTTCATGACCACAATGTGACCGCGACCCTTGACCGCAGCCATGTGCTTCAGTGCCTCCCGCAGGCAGCTGGCGGTGGCCACCACATTCGTGTCGAACAGTTCCTTGATGTCCTTCGTGGGGGACTCTGAACCGGAAAGTATCATCTCAGAAATAACTAACTTTGTGTTGCCTATATTTACCGCTTAGGAAGTTGGCCTTCAAGATGCCAGCGTTGCAGATGAGCACATGAATGGCCTCGAATTTTACACTAATCCAGCTAAAAGCACTGGTCAACTGCTCCTCGTCGTTGAGGTCGCATTGCCGGGCAAATATTTTCCCCTCCCCGGTGACTTGATTCTTGAGAGCCTGTTTGAAACATCATAATCATATAAAGTGGATGATTATAATTAGAATTATAAACCTCAATGAGTTCCACTCGACGAGCTAGTCCCACAACCAGCATTCCGGCATTGGCCAATTCCAGAGCCGTGCTCGCTCCGATTCCCACGGAGGCGCCAGTGACCACCGCCACCTTGTTGCGCCAGTAGAAATTGCTTTCCATGATCAGAGAAGAATTAAATCTGGGTAGTCGAGATAAGGTACAAGCAGAGATAACCTCACGGCTTCGTGGACCAAAGACAACTGCTGTTGGAGGTTGCTGCCGATCGTTGATGCATCTATCGCAGCTGCAAATGCAGCACAGTGGGTCTAGTGCACATAAAAGTAAGTCAAAAATGGTAACTAATATTCATCTTTATTTGTTTAGATTATTAATGAGAAGCACGAGCGTTTACTTGAGTCACTTTCTTTGAAGTAAAACATAAAACTTAACACATATAAAATTAAATACATTCAAATGGTTTCGTTAATTTTGTTAATTATAGTATTTTACATATAGATAAGTTGATCTTAAAAGTGAGTTCAAAATGGTATCTAATATTAATCCTTATTTGATTAGATTAT